CTAGGTAGTTGACAAAAATGGAGCAGCTTGTGACGCGGGGAAGCGTTGCTTTCACTCTCGACGACTGTGGATACAAAACAAGACGACACCTGCGTTTGCGCTACTTTAGCATGCCCGACTGCTCCACCTGAAAGACCCTTTGAGGGTCCACGCGCGACATCAAGGCTATCCCTGGATTCTCAAATCTACGTGGCAAAATGTCTTCAACTCTCTCAACTGAGCCCGTTTCGCCGAAAGCTACTCCGCTCCCACCACTGCCGTCTGAGGATCCGCTCACGTCCCAACAATGGAAGACGCTTCTTGCTATTGCGGATGCGGTCATCCCAGCAATCAAGCCCATGTCCACGGCGAAGACGCGCACTGAAATCGCTGCGACCGACACCGATTACTCGACCGCGATTAGCAAGCTGAGGGCTCTAACGCCGGAGAATGACCCTGATGCGGTAACAGCGGTGAAGGACTACCTGGATGACTATGCGAGTCAGGATCCAGCGTTTCGAGCGGAATTACAACGTGTCTTCGCTATGTACATGCCGCAGAACCAAAGAAAGGAGCTGTGTATGGTGCTGAATGTCCTCAATACTAGAGCGGGGTCGCTGGCACTGACTGGTTATCTTACACCAATTAGCGAACAACCCGCTCATGTAAGAGAGTCAATCATCCAGGGTTGGGCTACCGCGCGGCTAGGAGCGCTTCGCCAACTGCGTCGCTCGTTGGTAATCATTACTAAACAGGCTTGGATCAAGACGTCGCCTGCATTGAGACGCGTTATAGGTGCCCCACGCGTGCCCCTGGGCATGAAGCCTGGGAAGGGTTTCGACTATGAGTTCATTCAGATTCCTCCCGGCGACAAGCCTGAAGTTATCGAGACAGACGTGGTGATTGTGGGAAGTGGGTGTGGAGGTGGTGTGACCGCGAAGAACCTCGCGGAAGCCGGGCACCGAGTGTTGATCGTAGAGAAGGCATATCACTGGACTCCAGATCACTTTCCAATGGCTGAATTGGATGGATGGCACCATCTTTTCATGAGTGGATCGTTCTTGACATCCGATGATAGTTCTGTCAGTGTTGTAGCAGGGCAGTCCATGGGCGGTGGAGGTACTGTCAACTGGTCTGCTTCGCTCCAAACACAGGGCTATGTCCGTCGCGAGTGGGCAGGACGAGGTCTTCCATTTTTCACATCTGCAGAATTCCAAGAGTCTTTAGATCGTGTCTGTGATCGCATGGGCGTCTCAGACAAGAACATCAAGCAGAATCGCAACAACGAGATACTACTTGAAGGTGCCAGGAAACTCGGCTGGACCGCTAAGCCTGTGCCACAAAATACAGGTGGACAGCAGCACTATTGCGGTTATTGCAACTTTGGCTGCGGCTCGTGTGAAAAGCAAGGCCCGGTAGTATCCTTCCTCCCTGACGCTGCCCGAGCGGGAGCAAAGTTCATCGAAGGCTTCCACGCAGAGAGAATCATCTTCTCCAATAAGAACGGCCGAAAGATAGCAACCGGCGTACTTGGCACATGGACATCCCGTGACGCTCAAGGCGGCGTTGCTGGTTCTCCCTTAACAACCCGCCGTGTTCTCATCAAAGCAAAGCGTGTTGTCGTATCAGCAGGAACCATGCAATCTCCGCTTCTCCTCATGCGTTCTGGACTCAAAAACCCGCAGATAGGTCGCAACCTGTACCTTCACCCCGTCACTTTCCTCGGCGCTTATCACAAGGAAGAGATCAAACCTTGGGAAGGCGGGATACTCACTGCGGTAGTAGGCGAGTTCGAAAACATGGACGGCAAAGGCCATGGTGTCAAGCTTGAAGCTACGAACATGGTTCCTTCTGCGTGTCTTATGTGGGTTGATTGGAAGAGCGCTATGCAATACAAAATCGACGCGGCGAAGTTGAAACACATGGTTGGGTACATTTCGATTGCAAGAGACCGCGATACAGGGCGAGTGTATCCAGATCCAGTCGACGGCCGCGTGAGGTTCTCGTACCAAACATCCAAGTTTGACCAAAAACACGTATTAGAAGGTGTTATTGCGCTGGCGAAGATTCAGTATGTGGAAGGAGCACAAGAAATCTTCACCGTAATACCCAATATGCGACCATTCGTTCGGGATCCTTCCATGCCCGCGGGCGATGGTATCAATGACCCAGAATTCCAGGCCTGGATCCAGGATATCAGAAATATGGGCCTACCGTCACCTGAGAGTGTGTACGTCTCCGCGCACCAAATGGGTACTTGCCGGATGAGTGCGAAAGAGAAAGACGGTGTCGTTGACCCGCGAGGCGCTGTCTGGGGCACTGAGGGTCTGTATGTGGCTGATGCGAGTGTGTTCCCTAGTGCTAGTGGAGTTAACCCCATGGTTACAAATATGGCTATTAGTGATTGGATCAGTCGAGGGATCAAAGAGGGGATGGAGGAGAGGCCGAGGTTGTAGGAGTATAATTCCAAAGAGGTTGTGTACCTCCTGACGGGAACACCAATGACTTTGAAAGATGGTAATAGACATAAAGCGCTTTTAGAATTCGAGTGCTATGAGAATGCATGATAGCTTCTATGATTGACGCACGCTATGCTACTGGAGACTTTTCTTCAATGATTTCCCCAAGCCTTTTGCAGAACATCCCTTACTGAGCTCACTTTGATCTCAGGAAACACCTGGTTGAGTGTCTTTTCGGGCTTCAAGTCAAACACCCCGTCATGGAAAAACTTTCCGAAAGTTGCCATGAGTAACTGGGCATTCTCCTTGGGCATGATAGGATAGATGTCTTTGTGAGTCTCAAGCTCAGTTACCGTTCCTGTTTTGAGCTTCTCGATCGAGTCGTATGTAACTCTGAATTTCGTTCCTATTTCCATGTTAGTGAGTACACTCTGGTACTCCCTGGCGGGCTATATTACCTTTGACTTCTTCCGCAGTCTTGACAAAATCATTCCATGTAAGCCTGTCCCCAAGAATGTAGCTCTCCTCGTCCCACTGTGGGAGGTCCAAGCTCGCAGCCACGAATTTCGCAATGTCCACAGTGTGGATAAATGAGATTGGAGTTGACCCAGTACCGGGAAGAGCGGCGAACTCGTTTTGCATGTCGACGGCCATGGTAAGGGGGGTTACATGTGTTGGTACGTGAGGGTAACCCCAGTAATCCAGAAAGAAACCCACATAGAACCGCGTGTGTTCGAGGGATGTCTTCTTTAGGACCTCCACACCCTCGGACTTGACGCGGCCGATGATGAAGTTAGCGGCGTCGGCTTGCCTACGTGGTACGTTCAATGTAAGCAGTGCTTTTGCCAAATAGAGTCGGAATTTCGCTAGCACTTACTCTCGAGTCATGGGGACGCCCCAGATACTTGGAACAAAGCGCTTCGTTACCTTTGACGCATCTGCAGCCATCACCAGGTTGTTCTGCGGCTTTGCCGAAGTGGTCAAAAAGATCGTGGAGATCACTGTATGAACATCATTCTCTTCCAAGATCTTCTTCATACTCTCGATGTTGTCGTAATCGACAGCGATGATTTCACAGCCAATCTCGGCTGCAAGCTTAGGGTTTGCCTTGATGTTCTTAGTACACCGAGGTTTCTTTTACCACACAAGTAGTTTTTGCTTACCGATCTGCTCAAGATCTTCACCTGATGTTTGCCCTGGCGAAGAACTGTCTCCGCAATAGTGCGACCCAGGCCATTTGCACCACCAGCAATTGCGATGACAACCATGTTGAATGATTTCGGGAAGTTTTCAGAGAGGATTGATAGGAGATCTGTAGCAATGATGGCTTAAAGGTTTTTGACAGAGACCTATAGTGCAACGATGCTCTATATGCGTATGAAACGTCAAAGTGACAAGCTCAAGACGTATACGCATAACTATGTAGTCTGGAATTAGAGTTGAGTGTTCGTCCGTTTAAATCTTTGTAACTCATTGTTGCGAGTGCGCATAGTGAATGTGAATACGCCGGACGTCAAAACTCGGAGAATCATTAGTGTTTAATAAACAGCATGGATGTTTAGCTAACAAGAGGCGTTAAGACTTAATAAGCTTTTTGCGCAATCGAATTATGAGTTTCTTGCCTAGCCTTGACAACGGTTATCCACATAGTTGATTTGTGGTCAACCCTGGGTGGCTACAGTGGTAGCACGCAGATCCAAATGGTGGACCTCTCGGATATCAACACTACATCAGTATTGACCCAGCGATTGCAACATCGCTCTGAGAAATGATAGGTGGTGGTCTGTTGTTTAGTGCTGTTCGTGCATGGTGATGTTTATGTCGTACTACAATTCCCCGCAATAGTTGTTAGCCCGACGGCGAAGAAAGAAGTCCCGCCAGCCGGCGCTAAAGTCCACCACCTGGAGGAAGCTAGAATAGGCGCTATGTCGCACAGTCCTTGCAGCGACACCTCCGTAATTTCACCAGCGCGTTTTACAGTGTTGATCACTGATCGGATTCTACTTACCAGAAATTCGAGCTCGCACCTTACGCCTCAGCCATCTCAATGTGGCTGGGATACCTGTATAGGTTGAGGTCTTACCAAGCGACGATATCAGGGACGAGAAGATGATCTTTACACAGCACAGTGTTCGTCCGTCTTCGTCTAATCATATCAATAATCTCTAGGTATATAGTTCTTTCGCGATCTACTCTCACATAGTATCGCATCAAACCGAACCAGAAAACTCACATTCAATCCGCGCCTCCACCATTTACTGCAACCCTTCGAATCTTACAATGGCACCCTCTTGGTTTGTTGCGCATCTAGTGGCTTGCGGTATTCTCTCTTCCGTTCAAGCTCTCCAACTGCCAAATTATGTCGGGTTGAAGACGTCACAGAATAATAGCATTCTCGATATCACATTTCACAATCCGAACTCGACTCTGAACTTCTGGAATCAAGACACCACGAACGGGTTGACTGATATCGTAGCGAAGCTTCAAAAGGACAATGAGACTAAAGTTGTTGTCTTTCGGAGCGACGTCCCAAGATATTGGATAGGTCACCTCGATCTAACAATGCCTGACCTCAGTAAGTCATCCCGTTGAACATTTGGATTCGAACAGAACTGACGATTCGAAACAGCGGAGACGTGGCCAAGTTATGCCGAGCTTATTTATAATATCTCTGCGCTACCGCAAGTTACCATCGGCGCTGTAGAGGGCAGGGCGCGGGGTATTGGAAACGAATTCCTTGTTTCGCTCGACATGCGCTTTGCAACCAAAAATGATACTCTGATCGGACAACCAGAGGTTGGCAGTGGACTCATTCCAGGCGGAGGAGGAAGTCAGTTTCTTCCAGGACTGATCGGTAAGTCATATCTCTCTAAACTCTTCACATGATACATGGACTGACTTCATCTACCACCACTCAGGACGAGGGCTAGCAATGGAATATATCTTGAGTGCGAAAGATATAAGCGCTTCCGAAGCAGAGAAAATTGGCTGGATAAACAAGGCTTTCGACACATCGGCCGAGATGAACACCTACATCGACGGTCTTACTTCACGCCTGCGACTGTTTCCTCAGCAAGCGCTAGCGAGTGCTAAGAAGTCGATCAACCGGCGGACAGCACCAAAGCTAGAGGATATTCAACCTGACGCATCAGCTTTCGTCAAGCGTCTTGAGGATCCAGTTGTGCAAGCATTGAGTGCCAAGACAGCAGCTGTGTACCAGAAGTCTTCAGCCTTCGAAATCGAGCTTGATCTAGGCAATTCGCTACTGCAGTTATACCAATAGACTGAGAGCGACGATGGTGTATGGCAGGGAAGCCAATGAAGCTTGGGGTCGTCGTTGCGCCGGACAAACGAATGGGCCCAGAACTCTGCCTGGGCCCCATGTAGTTGAACCTTTGGGCTTAGTACAGATGAAGATTTACCTTCTGTTCCTTTCGCTGTCGTTGTTCATGCCAACATCTTAATGTTCATTGTCCCAAATAGACATACATGTATCTAAGCTCTGCCGCCATCGAATATGGTTAGTATGAGTTGTTTTGATATGTATCTACGCTGGTAAATAGATATACTATACCCTAGCGCAGGTATAAGGTCCTGTCTGGGTCAGCTATAATCATATGCGGTGATTTGGTGGGTATATCTGGGTATACTTGGGTATACCATACCCAACCTCAACCCACGCTTTGACCACCCCAACCCAACCCAACCCATACCCACCTTTACCGCTGGAATCATGGGTTAGGGTCACCAAACCCGACCCAAACCCGACCTAACCTTGACCCAACCCTGACCCATTCACCAGCGTATATGTACCTAAGATCGACAGGTTCACCCGACAAGTACATCAACGAGATCACTAGAGAAGCAAATAAACACCACTCACAGTAATTCACATGAAGATTTAATGAGTAAGCTATCCTGCCTAGGACTTCATTTTCGACGACCACTTATTGCGACAACCTCACAAACCCAACGTTTGGAACGATTTCACCGTATCGACAATAGACTCCTCTAGATCTCTGTACTTCATCCCCAAGATTTCGACCGATCGTTTGTTACTGTATCTATACAGCCTGTCGGTTCCACCGTCTGGATAGTCACCACCTGGCGTGGCACCGGCCGAGATTTTCCTGTTGTATTCAGGAAAGCGTTTCTCGATAATGGCGAGTATCTCTCTATGTGAATAGTAGCCCGCTACCGTGAAGAAACGCTTGTTTGCTGCTGCGGGTTGTTCGAGTGCTGCAACATGTGCTGCAGCAACATCGCGGACGTCTACCCACAGATAGAGAAGGTTATTGTCGGGTATCTCGTCTTGAAACTTGCCCTGTGCCGCCTCAAGAATGCGTTGGTTAGAGGTGTTCATGTTCTCAAGAGTTTCTAGACCGTTAATCTGGCTTCTCGTTAGCAACTGTCTCTTCATACCTAGAGCTGAACGAACTCACAACGGGACCAAAGACCATTGGAGGATTGATGACAGCAATGTCAAAAGCAGGGTTTTCGCCCGCTAAGAAATCCCATGCAGCCTTCTCGGCGAACGTTTTGCCAGCGCTGTATGCCATGATAGCGTTCGCTTGCGCTTCTTGCTCGGTGACAGGGTTCCAGTCTTCTTCCTGATAAACGTAGCCTGGCCGGGTACCTTTACTAGCGTCGGCCATCGCGGCGAAGGAAGAGGTTATAACGACACGTTTCACTGAAGAAGCGTTGGCCTTGATGCTCTTGAGAATTCCAACCGTACCTTCAACTGCTGGGTCTATCAAGTCTTTCTTGATGTCGGTGATGTTGAAGCGGTTCGGACTAGCCATGTGCAGCACTGCTTCGAACGGTGGGTTGGAGACGACGGCCTTGTCAAAGGCGCCTGGTGTAGCAATGTCTGGCACAATAGCGAATCCTAATTGACCGTTCTTGACATAGAGTTCGTAAGCTGTCGTGAGTTTCTCGACTTTCTGTTGGGTGCGGACTGTAGTGACTACTGAGTGCCCGCGCTTCAGCAGTAGATCGAGAGTATGGGCTGCGATGAAGCCATTGCCACCAGTAAGGAGAACGCGCGTCATTGTAGAGAATTGGGATAATGTGAAGTATATGTTTCAAGTGCGAATCAGCATGAAAATATTGATCAAGCTTTGGTGCCGCTGCAGCAGATACTGCAACTGTCGAGTATAGCTTTTCATATACGCATAGAACGGTATTTAGGTTGCACCGTCGGTTCTTTCGGTCTGCCGGTGATGGGTCAGCCATGACTTTAGCTCGCCTTCTCTGGACTTCCTCGTCGGATCGACGGTATATCTACAACGCCGTGCTAGGAGTAATTTGATGTACCTGAGAATGAGACCAACCGCTAGCGTAAAACATGGTTTCGCGATGGCCGAAGTACTCGTCATGTTGTATGAAGCTCCGCGTCTGATTATTAAACAACCACGGACTGGTGGGCGGTCCAACCTCGAAGTCATATTGCGTCAGCTCTCAATATGATTAGCGATATTGCAGCGCTTACTTGCTGCGTTTTGTACAAATGCTATTAATTTTTGGAAATTGGAAAGCGAATGCTTCAGTTCACGTATGGACAGGTGTCAAGCACTGTATCGTGTCAAGAATCCATACTAGTCTGCATCGTAACATTACCACCATGTCCAAAAGCCTAGCCCTGGAAGTCTTCTTCCCGGACGTTGCACAGAGAATAGATGAACCGAGATCGTGGCTATCGACCGACGACTACCTCTTGGTAAAGACAACTACAGTAGCGGTCAATACCACCGAATGAACGCATTTCTACATCGCGCAGTTCATGAAATGTGTAGGCGGCTGTCTTGGCCGCGACTACGCTGGTATTGTCGAAGAAGTGGGCTAAGATATCCAGAAAGGAGACCGTACCTGTGGTTTTGTGAGTGAGAGGTGAGTTGCTCTCCTCCTTCGCGTTGGAGAGCCTGGGAATCCTCCCTGATAGCAGACTCAGTGATCGAGAGCTGGTTTTAGATAGCAGCTTTGGTCAATTTTTCGTCGTGACAGACGACTTCCGAATCCGCATACCAGATAACATCCCAGACGTAAAAGCCGCGACTCTGAGTGTAGCCATAACGATAGCTGATCGAGGACTCTATCAACCACTGGAGCTGCCGCTCTGTTAGTGTTAGCAAGTTAGTTTACACCATGTAAGACTGATAACACCACCCGATAGATGTCGTTATCATAGCATCTGCTTTCGTATCATACCCTCTCTTTCGTCTTCTCACACTTCATCTCATATTTCTCTGTGAGCTGAGGTTGGCTTTATCCGTTCTGCGTATGCTGCGGAAGTGTACAGGCACTGTATAGCGGCTTTCGTCGGCCTTCGCTTATCAGCACTGCCATGCAGTGATACGACTCGAAGGATCATGCCCAGATAGCGCTGCGGCGAAGGATCAATGGCCTCCAAACGATCAGCCGTCGCATGAAGTTGGTGAGGCGAAGGCGCACCCAGGTGTCTTGGAGCCTGGCGATAGGTATGGCCAACGCGCTGCCTGACATGTGAAACAAAGGCAGTAAGGCACAGATGATCCACCGTGGAAGGCCAGAATGTTGAAGCACATCTGATTCGCTCTCGGTCCATGTGCCGCGTTGATCTGTGCGGCCCGGATAAGGGTCCAAGCTTGTGACATCACCGTCGCAACGTCGGTGGGATGGCCTCGAAACCTCACTCGCCCGTTGAGTTCCTCGACGCGCGATCTCCAACTTTGCTACCGCGAAGAGGATAGGCGTTGTCTTAGGACCCTGAGCGCCTGAGACTACGGGACCCAAAACAACGTGTTGCATGCTACCCGTAGAGTTTGTCGGTGTGTCTCTTATAGTGCACATGGCGCCTTTTCGCTCAGGCAGGGTTTGCCTGCGATTGCGCGAATTGAAGACGACGACTGCCACGCAATTCCTTGACCACTGCCACCGAGCACGCCATTGCAGTACTCTCTCCCTGCCTCAACGACTCCTTCACCACCACACCGACTCCGCCTGAATACAACGCAACGTCTACAAACCTCGACGGCGACGCCATCACAATAATCGCCATGACCAGCGTACTGAAAGGCGGCTTTGGCTCGCCAAACGGTGCGCCTTTGCTGGCGACCAACTCCGGCACTGAGTTTGTCAACACCGTCTGCCCGCTCAAAGGCGCCCTTGATGGCTATGACAACACAATACCCTGCAGCAAACAGAAGATCCACGTCCCGCAAAACTTCTGCGATGCCATGGCCATCCGCGAAGAAGTCTATGGCGAGCAGGGCGTGCCTCTTGAAGCCGAGTTCGACGAAGACGATGCCCGCAGCTGGCACTGGGTCGCTTATGCTTCCGTTGCCACCCACACAACCCACCCCCCGAAGGCACTGCGCCGCTCCGACTCTGGCAACACGCCCGCTGACGACGCGCGACGCGCCTCTGCCACCGCCACCCGCGTTCCCGTCGCGACTATTCGGCTCATTCCTCCGCCCCACGGACCGAACAAGTACGTCGACGAGGACAAGACGGACAAACATGCCGATGCAGACCCACCTGGCGAGGAACAGGAGGCCAAGCACCCGCCGGAGCCTTACATCAAGCTCGGCAGACTTGCAGTCCTGGCGCCCTACCGAAGCCTCGGCCTTGCGAAGCTGCTCGTCAACGCTGCGCTCGACTATGCCATGATGAACCCCGACCTGATTTACCGGTCTCCGTCTCCCACCGCTTTGGAGATGGCACAGATGCTGGGCAACAACAAGGAGCGCGAGATTACTTGGCAAGGGTTGGTCATGATCCACGCCCAAGCTAACCTCCAGAGCATGTGGGAGAAGCACGGTTTCCACGAGGAGCTGAGGAACGATGACGGTGAAGTCGAGATACCAGCAGAGCCTCACTGGATCGAGGAAGGCATCGAACACGTAGGCATGTGGAAGAGACTGTCTGTCGAGAAACGAAAGAGGTTGTCTCTATCCTCCCTGGACTCTTCCTGAGCCTGGTCGCGTCTCCGCCCGCGTACATTGGCTCAACATTTTCACGCAATTCGCGTGTAGGAGCCTAGAAATCACTCCCTACTTCTTTGCGGACCCCTTCATAAGACTATTTACTTACACTTGTGTTTCAAGTCTTCACGCCGGGCATCACCCAGGATCTATCATCGCTACAAGACCCTGGATATAATGACGACTTTCACACTCGTTTCACCTATGCGACGATTCAACATTGCTTATACCCCCACACCGCACGATCACGACGACACGGCCGAACTTCACTAAAACTTGCTTTATTTGCTTATAGACAAGATGGATAGGAGTGCAAGCGATAGATGGCGTAGTGGTATTTTGTATCAAATCAACACCAAAAGTTACATCTCGTACATCTCATTTATTTGCGTGTTCACCTGTTCTCTGTCATTACACGAGGTCTCGTTCCCACTGAGTTGTGATCCGTGTAGGCAGACACTAAAGCTGACTTACTTACCGTAAGTGCATCTGGAGGAAGGCGCATCCCATCAGCACGACCACGTCGCGAACACACCAGTTTCATCGCATTCACAACACGTGGGCACAGTGGCAAAAATGAAGCACATCAAAATACCTCCCGTTGTCGAAAAGTGGTTGATTCTGCGCCTCTACCACACACCGTTGCAAAGAGCTAGTTCCGGTCTCTCACTTCCCTCTGTCTATTTATCTTTCCCCCACGTCAACAAAGGGAAAACGACGCGCCGCTCTTCCACCGCTTCCATGTCCGAGCCCACAATCAAGAAACCCAATTTCTCAACTCGAGTCCTCAGTCTTCTCCGCTCACTTTGTCGGCCCATCATCATGCTTCCGTTTATCGGTCTTACAGTCGTTATCTTGCTCACCGTGCTGTACGGCAATGTCCACGCTGTTCGCCTTCCCAGCGCCGATGATAAACACAAGTACAAGGTCGCTGTCAGCCACTTTTCTTTAACAGACACTGCCCGCAAAGATTCATACAAGCCGGATGAGGACCGCCGGCTTATGGTCAGCCTGTACATGCCCGTACCAAAGGAGTCATGCTCGAACGAATGTCAAAACAGCTATATGCCCCCTCAGACCGCTGCGATTGCGAATGAGCAGTTCATCGAAGGCGGGAAGCGTGATGCAGGCATATTCGAGGAGATGGCCTATGGCGTTTGCTGTGGCAGTTCTACCGACAACGATGCAAGCAAATTCCCAGTCATAGTCCTGGAACCGCATGTTGACACGAGTAGACTACTCTACTCCACCATGGCACGTTTCGTTAGCGCAAACGGTGTCGCCGTTGTTGTCATCGACCATCCTGGCGACGCTTCCATTGTCCAGTTCTCTTCTTCTCGCACCCGCGACCTCCAGACTGTATACAACAGTGGTACTGTCCCTCTCTCTAACTTCTCCCCCATCACAACGTGGAACACCACAGTCCAAAATGCTGTCGATACGCGCACGGCCGACATCGCGTTTACGCTCTCTCAGATCAACAACGTCGCTCTTTTGCAACAGCATTTCACAACTCAACGTTTTACGTCAGGATTGAAGACAGCGACGTACGGTATCATTGGTCACGGCCTTGGTGGCACAGTAGCAACCTCACTCGGTCTCACCTCTTCTGCCGTAAAGTTCAGCATAAATCTTTCTGGCACACCGCCCCTCTTATCTTCAGATGTTCGAAACGTTCCTCTTTTCTTCTTTGGACGCGCCGACTTCCGCCGCGAGCACGACATCCACTGGCCGACGACCTGGTCGCACCTCACTGGGCCAGCTACAGAGTTTGACCTCGACGAATCTGCCATCTTCGATGCGTCCGACCTTCCCATAATTGTTGAGCTAGCTAGGACGGGGGGTGGAAAGAAGGGCATCAAAGCCCGCGGGCTGAGTGGGAACGCTCCAGCGGAGGGCGCGCGTGCGGTCACCTGCTTTCTGGAGAACATTGTGAAGGAACATTTCAAGCTAAATGGACAAGGCATGGATCTGAGCAGCTGTGTTAGGAGGTTTGTGGGTGTGAAGCCATATCCTGGACACAAGAAGCAAGAATAGCTGATACAGCCAAAAATTCCCTCGGATGGAAGGCACATCTGTGAGATTTATTAACAGGCAAAAGGAGATGAAGGCTATACAAGAGTGAAACGTCTAGGCATAGTCAAGATATGAAAATGCAAGAGTTTCGAACCAAATCGATTTGGGCTGAGCATTTCATGATTATAGGAATTGCATATACGCTCAAAACCCAAACACATTCTCTCCCTCCTTGAAACCCCACTTCTCCAGTGCCGGCAAGGCAGCCTTCTGGATCATACCGGGAGGCCCACAAAGGAAAACGCCCGTTCCCTCTTCTGGCTTAAACAGAACTTCTCGAATCAGATCAGCATCTACATGACCCTTCTTGCCCTTCCAGTCGTCACTCGGATGACTGAGGATATGAGTAATCTTCAGTCTGCCTCCGCTCGACTTCTCGAACTCGTCAAGCTCTTTGTGCAGCAAGATGTCCTTTTCAGACTTGTTCGCATCCAGAACACAAATCTGTATATCAGGATCGCTCGATAACATCGCACGTGCGATGAGTGAGTATCCAGGCGTGATGCCACTTCCACCGAGAACGAGGTTGATCTTCTTGAACGTGTAGTCTTTTCCGGAGATGCTAAAGACGCCGTTGCCGTTGTATACTATCTCGCCAGTTGGGCCTCGGATCTCAATCTCCTCGCCGAGAGGCATGCAATCGAGAATGTTGGACATTGCGCCGCCAGGCTGCGAGTTAGATGGAAAGTAAGTCTTGACAGTGAGTTCGAAGGTACCAACGCCGTCTGCGAGATTCCGGTTGTCAGTTTTCTTATTGTTGCTTTCATCAGATAAATCAGGAAGAAGTGGCTTGGTAGGCGTGTATGGTCGGATGAGCATCTTGTCTTGGAGATGGTAGCCTAGTTGTACGTGTTGGCATGTTGATAGACCCAGATCGGGTGTATCTTTTGGTAGTTGGAAGGTGTACGCGCGCGTATCCTCCGAGATGGGTTTACGGTCGAGAAGTTTGACTGGTACCCATCGGTGTTTCTGCAGAACAACTTTACTTTGTTTCGAAGACGATTGTGACTGCTCTTTCGCAGCTGCTTCTGCGTTTTTCTTGATGAAAGCAGCAGTCTTGTCCGTCACTACACCAATTGCGCATTCTATTCGGAGTGTTAGTGTATGTGCAACAACGATAATTGAAAGACTTACCGTTGAGCTTCTTGTAAGCATAACCGTCATGTATGCTCTCGAATTCATTACTAGTCTCTGCGTGCACTTTGCCGGCATGGCCCAACACGGCAGCTTTACCTCCAGGATGCCATTCCAACACGCTCGTCGCATCGTAAACCTTTCCATCGACCACGATCCAGCAATCATCCTCTTTATCATGCTTCTCGATCTCCTGACGAGTGAACTGCTTCTGTGGTGTACCGGCCGACTGTTTGACAGCCGCCATCTGGTTCTCAACGCTCGGCTTCATCCACCCACCATCCGCCGTGCCTGGCTCCACTGGATGACGGAACATGATTGAAGGCATATCAGAGTCATCTCCCTGTACGATTGAAGGTCGAACAATGTACCAGCAGTTGTTCATCATACCCATGACGTTCCAATTTGGATCTTTCGGCTGGGTGTTCTTGAAGACGTTAAAGCAGCGCACAGTGATGCTGTTCGCTCTGAGTAAGTGCGAAATCTCAATGTCCACATGCCAGTGTAGCCACGTCCAGAACTTGTTGCCATGTCGGATGGGCGCATCTGGGAATTTTCGAATACAATACAGCCACGTCTCTCCATCGTCCAGCGAGACCTCCACTCTCTGTACCTCATGGCCACCGCCGTCGTATGCGTAGCCTTCTATACGGTACGTCTTTCCTTTCTTGGCCTCGGAAAGCGGTATCTTTTCCCCTTGCGCAGGCTTCACAATGACCGAGTTCAAGTTTTGCTCATTGCAAGCCGTGTCAGGATGGCGGAACAACGTCTCCGCAAATTGGCCGTCCTTTTCCGTAACAAATGATGGTAGGACGCGGTTATCCCAAATATGATAATGCGAGTCGTTTTCCTTCTCCGATATCCAGATACGCTTCAGCCACTTGACGCAGCGTCCACCAACATACCCCGGTATCATCAGTCGTACCGGGTATCCGTGATCAGGGGGAAGCGGGAGATCGTTCATTTCGTATGCGAGGATAACATCGTTTGTCACATCCATCACGTAGTCAAATGGTAGACATGTGGAATACTTCCCCTCACTGGGCTCGTCTGCGCCCTCGAAATTAACCCAGTAGCGTTTGCCTTCAGGCATCTTTGCTGGTAAGCCAGCTTTAAGCAGGATGTCTTTCACCAACGGTCCTTTCCAGTATGCGCAACTGACAGCCGCGCTACCCCAACTGAATCCCTTAGACTTTTTGATCATGTTCAGCTCTTTCCGGCGGTTACCGTCACACGCCAAAGCTACCGGAATGTTGATGGTATCAAAATCGTTCTTCAGATTGTCCATGGACAATACAAGCTTACCGCCTTCGACATCCAACTCGTGGAATTCCCACAGCAGTCTTGGGACAGCGCCGTGATTGCGCACATAGTGCAATTCGTTAGGCGTAATCAGTCCAGCGTCGTAGAGATGTGATAGGTTTGCCTCGGCGTTCATTGGATGCTTACCCGTCAGGCGAATTAAATCTGAAGAACGTGGCAGCCAGTTGTCCGGGGAAAATTGATCTGCTTCATCGATGGAGATGGTACTACGGTTGTGCGTTTGAGGGCTTTTGCGCTTCCCATCGTTTTGTTCAAGGGTTTGGATGTAGTCCTTCTCGTGTTGTAGAGTTCGAAGCAATGCGATTTCTTGCACGGAGTAACGCTCTCGAAGCTTCTCATACTCTGTCTTGTTCTTATTTGCGGCTTCATCGCTAGAGTAGCCAGAGTCCTCCCCACTTTCGGCATATGCGTCATGATGCTTGTCGCTGTCGCCCTGAGTTCGCTTCCATTGCTCTTCGTCCAATGTACCGTCGCCTCCCTTTTTGTCCTTTGTACCGTCATCTTGGTGCTCGGACTTCTTTTGCTGCTCTTCTTTCTCACGCTTCTCGATGTTCGCCGGCCACTCCTCTTGGTTCTTGACCCAATCTTCTGTGCACGGGAGCACAAACCTCCAGCCTAAGCTTCTGTTCTCAGGGTGTCGTAGGTGAAGATCCTTTTCTTCTAGCACAATATCTCGAAAGTTGACAAGATCACCCTTCTTCTCTCTTCCCATCAAGTCTTTGTGACCCTCGCGTGCTTCTTCGACGTCGTCGCGCATCTTGGTCTCATCACTCTCGTGGGTGATGCCAGCCCGGCGGTCATCGCGATTCTTGTAGCCGACGCGATGTTGGTGGTTATGTTCAGTCGACCAGTCAGGCTCCTGCTCGATCTCCTCCCGCGTTGAGCCAGGGTGATCGGTAATGTGGACTCGCCAGGGTACTGGAGGCATCTTTACGCGTTTCTCAAGAGCAGCAAGCCCAAAGAATTACTACATCCTCGCGAATATGCATGTCGCACGCGAGGATATGTATCGAACTGACCGTAAGCATGATGCTGTCGTTGTGTCGTCATGGCTGGTTTACTTTTCTGATGCACGACGCGCTCCGCACAATCTCGTTGGTTGACCCACAGTGACTAATCCGTACTATTTGTAAATGCAACGCTTCCGCGGGTAGATCGGAACGTTGGGGTCCCGCCGACTAGTTAGTCTCAGCCTAAAAGTCGCTTCCATTGCCGGAGAACTATGGTAGGTGAGTTTCAACGTTAAGATGAGGTGCCGGGTTTGCAGCTTGAGATGAAGGGCCGCGTCGAAAGAGGCTGGATCACGAGTCATAGTAGCTTCGAGCTCCCATACAGACACCTCAAACAGGTTGCTCAGGACATGGAAATAGTGCTGAAAGTATGTTACATTTGCGCAAGCATTAGCTTGCTTTGTCGTGATTCTCTTGCTTTGTCATGGTCCTCTACACTATCTTACACATTAATCTTGCCAACTTTCCCATCCCTCCTCCCTCCAAACGCCGCTCTTGCCTCCTTCTTTTAACACAACCCTCACATCCTGCACCCGCTGAAATTTGTCCACTGCCTTACACATGTCCACCACACTGAGCGCTGCACCCATGACTGCCGTCAAAGCTTCCATTTCGACCCCCGTAGGACCCGTACACTGGACCTTTGCTTCGATCTGGATGCCGCCGTAGCCGGGGTCGATGCTGTACGGGGATATGGGTATCGATGGCAGGGAGTCTGGGGAGGATCCACCCGAGTTGGACCCAGAAGCACGAAGTTCGACCCCGACATGCGTCAAGGCAATCGGATGGCATAAAGGTATTACCTCGGGGCATTTCTTTGCTGCCATGATGCCCGCTATTCGCGATGTACCCAGAACATCGCCTTTTTTCAAGCTGTTCGAGCGTATCAATTGGAGGGGAGTAGGGTTAGTAAAGTACACGGTTCCGACGGCGATGGCTGTGCGTGTTGTGTGTTGCTTGTTCGAGACGCTGACCATGTGTGCGGAGCCGGAGGCGGTCAGGTGGGGGAGGTGTGGTTGAGGACTCGCGGGCTGGGCTTCTGATGATGGAGGAGGTTGTGAGGTTTGCGGTTGTCGTTGATGTAGTTTATCTTTCCCATCCGTCTTGGTGATTGAGCTCGGCTTGGATTCGGCTTCAGACGAAGGGAAGGTGGCGTAACGTGAGGAGGTCGAGTACATCCTACGACCCACCAACCTAGACGTCGTCGAGCCACTGGACTCTCCTCTTACTGCTCCAGTCATATCATGTTGCGCCTGTGCCACTGCCTCAACATCAGGTTGCTGCTGCTGCAGCGGCTCATGTTTCGTATCATCGGCCAGGAACCCCAGACCTTCCGCTTCCATCTCATCCCAATCCAGCTTGCCTTCCGCATCACTAGTCAGAGAGTATCTCTCAGAGAACACATCATGCCACCTCATTGCCATCCTCTCTGCTGCATCATTGTCAAGATTGTGATCTATCACCATCTGATCTAATACCGCCTTTAGCTTTTCGTCGACTATTCCTTCAACCATCTGGCCCGTGAGATTAACATTTTCAAACCTCGCCTGCCATCTTTCAATCAAGATCTTCAGCCATGTTTGTAGTGTGCGTTTATTCTCAGAGGTCCAGACCTCGTAGGGTAACACGTCGAGGCGTGGATAGGATTTTTTAAGCCGGTCTCGTAGGGTGAGGACTTGCTGCTGAAGTTGGGGGATGGGAGCGTCGAAAGTGACGATGAGATCTTCGTCGATAGGTAAAATGCCGGATGGCGGAACAACGAGACCAGGACGTTTGCTTGGTGAGGATGAGGGCGAGGATGATAGGAGATCAAATGCATGTCCTTCGCCAGGCACCGTCGGCACTCGTCCCTTGTCCATGATTGGATCTGCAAGCGCATTTTCCTCGGAGCTTCGATCTAATTCGTTTCGACCCAAGACCGAATAAGGACCTGACCCCCCAACTGACCTTATGACCCAGTCGGAGGGTAAGACTTTCCTGTGTCTTTGTTCTTGTGGTATCTTAGGAGGATGTGTAGGTTCCTTCCTGATCTTTTTTAATGCATCATCCAATATATCACCAAGACTTTTGCCGTCCTGCTCTTTTTCTTCTTCCCTTGCTCTTACAACCATCCTAGCCCTTCGTTCAGCTTCTTCCTGTTCTTCCAACTGTTTCACCAACGCCCTTTTCTTCTTCAAAATCTCTTCTTTCTGCTTCCTCAGCTTAGCTTGTCGCCTGAGAGCAGCGAATCGACTTGTATACTTTTCCACGGTCTCTCCAAGAAGTTCTTCATACTCGAACCTTTGTGCTTCAAGCCTCTCTTTCTCCTTAGCTTCCTTTACGTTCGTTGCAGGCCTGTCGATTTGGTGGACGACGCGGGCGATGCGATCTTGTAGGTTGATGATATTTGTTTCTAATATCTGGATCGTTCGATCGCTTCCTTGTGGTAACTTTACTTCAGCCAAAAAGTCTCGTATGGAATGCAGATCCATTCCTGTCGCGTTCTTGATGGCCTTACCAGCTTCTGGAATATCCTCAGCCTTTTGCAGTGGCTCCAGCTGAGATAGCTTCTCCGCAGCAGACACAGGCGAGGTAGAGAAGGCGCGAACAGTGGTTGAAGGGGGCTGAGACACGATATTCAGATAGGGCAGTGGTGAGCTGGGTATGCGATGTCGTGCCAACAAGGCATGGGGGTTGTCGAATGGTCTTCTCCGTAGTACAGGCCGCTGGGAGTTCTGGCTCGCTAGAAGCTTGTCATCTAGACAGGGTCAGCAAGATACATCACAGACTCAACTGCCGTAAGCGATGGTAGAATCGGGTATATGATTGGTATATGTAGCCACATGTCCATCTCTAAGCGATAGTGTAGACTCACAATCAAGGAGAACGCTCAGAACGCCAACTATGCAGTGACCGCCGTGGTATCGTAAGGCATCCAACTAGAACCATCGTGAAGGAAAACAGAAAGAGTCCAGATTTACCCACCAATTAAGATCATGGGCCGATTCTCCATGTTGGCCAGATCATCCAAGTCGGCGTGCTTTTCCGCTTTGCGTTTGACGGCAGCACCAACAACGTCAAGGAGTTCGCGCTCGCGTTGGCCCCAGCCAAGGATTGTCTCATCGCTCAAGCGGCCTTCGTGTCGGTCCATCTCAATCTGCCTGATGCGCTCAAATGCTTCCTGGTCAATGGGCTCGCCATTGTTGCCCTGTCGCAGAACGTCGCGCAAAGACACCTCGGCGTTGCCGTGTAAGCAGACTTTCAGATTGCCGTCACTCGTTATTCGTAACCGATTGCACGTCCCACAAAAGTCATTTGTCATGCTCGTGATGAAGCCGACCTTGCCCACGAAGCCTGGCACCTCGTACGTCTTACTGGTGTCGTTCTTGTGTCCTGGCACCGGCCTGAGCCCCGGATATTTGGTCCTGATGATATCCAGCATCTCCTGGAAGCTGATCATCTTGTTCTCACTCCACTTGTTTCCACCAAAAGGCATGTACTCGATGAAGCGTACTTCGATGTCCTTTTCGCGGCCCATCTCGACAAAGGGTAGAATCTCGCGCTCGTTCAACCCCCGCATGACGACGCAGTTGACCTTGAGCTTGACGTTGGCGCCTAGCTTGTTCATCTCCAGTATGCGATCAATCGACTTCATGACAGCATCGAAGCCTTTCCGCCGAGTCATGATCTGGAACTGGAACGGGTCCAGTGTATCCAGACTGAGGTTGACGCCAGTCAGACCCGCTTCCACCATTGCGTCCAGCTTACGGTGTAGCGAGATGCCGTTGGTTGTGAGTGCGAGTTCGCGCAGGCCTTTCGGGCGCAGACTGCCGATCTGCTGCATGAGCGGGACGATGTCGCGACGGACGGTGGGCTCGCCGCCAGTGAGGCGGATCTTGGTGACACCCTGTGAGACGAATAGCGAGGAGAGGTAGAAGATCTCGGGTGTGGTAAGCATATTGGCCGACGGAGACAGTGGTATGCCCTCTGCTGTTTGTTAGCAGCGTCCTTTGCTGTGTAAGCGTACCAATCGCACCTTCTGGCATGCAGTACAGACACCGCAGATTGCATCGCTCTGTGATACTGATCCGGAGATAGTCATGCTGCCTATTGAACGTGTCCGTCAAGAAGTCCGAGAAGGGTTTCGCATTCTTGATCGCTTTCCTCCGGGCGTCTCCACTCGAACGTGACGGTACCGCAACCGGTGGAATCCCCGCGGGAAAGTCGACATTCGGCTCCTGGGTCGCGGCGTTGGTCGCAACGCCTCTTGTCTGTAATGCGCTTATTGACGGTTGTCGTAGATGATTGCCACAGCCAGCAACTCGTCGCAGCGCGGCCGGGCCCGCCCGTATCCTAGCCATCTGCGCCATTAGGAGGAGTCGAGTTTGTAAAAGCCTCGTCCAACATTGGGAGGGGCGCACATGGGGAGTTATATACGCCAGAGAAGGATAGGGCGGAGATGACTGAGATGTGACATGCGGCAGATGCTTTAGGTGGGCTGTCCGAGCCGATTACAGGGATCTGCTGCCAAGTGCGGCGACCTTACTAAGATACCCTCAGCAAGGGTGGGGTAAGCAAGTGTATCCAAATCAGTCTAGATCTTGAGCCTAAGTGGTCCTGATAGCCCTTCTGCTATTTATCCCTCAGACGCTCCGTGGACATAGGAAGTATGATGTCTGTTGATAATTTCACGGAACAGTTCCGATGGTTCCGACAGTGGCCAAAATGGCACATGCACACTACAGCATCCTTGTCCAACATGGGAGTCTTGGGCATTTTCCATGTTCTCTATGACCCACGCGTTGTGTGGATATACAAAGCGTGTCAGGCTTACTAGAGCGGCCCGCGGACATGTGTCTTGACACGACCGCAAGCTGTTCTATACAACCAGTGCCCCTCTTCACGCCCTACCACTACCTTGGCCTAGCATCGTCCTGTTTCTATTCGCGTCATCATTCTTGTTCCTACTTTCCCGCCTCTCTCTCTCTCTCTCTCTCATGGACGAGCTCCCGAGACCTACTCTTACCCTTTTCTGTTGGAAAGATTATACACGTCGGCCTATCAAAACTGTGTTCACTGTCTGGGGAGTTGTATAGGTCGATACCACGTCTTGCTCTGAAAGGAATATTCTGCGTTCCAAGGCGCGAAAGGCTATTAGTCGGCGAACTGTCATGAAACGCCTTGACTACTGGTGATTGTGCCAGCTCGCGGACAAGATGCGGATGCCACTTCACGCAGTTCGGACATGTCCGTTGTAGACAAGGCTGTTGGTATGTAATACTGTTTTGCCACTTCCCTTTCTGCTGTCGATGTGGTCCGCCGTAGTGAAATTGGTGCAGCTTTGCTTTGCAGGACGTGGGCTCATTGTGTGAGCTATTGTGCTTTCTTCGCCTTACTTGACGAGCTTTGATAGCCGTGGGAGCTGGTCGAAGTCGAAGTATCAGTCTTGGCTTCGAAAACGGTCTATTTGATCTGTGGAAATGGGCTTCAGGCTGATAGTCGTTCCATATGTGCTTTGGTATTCTTATCTTGAGACCCATCTAGCCTAAGAAGTTGTGGCACTTGACTAATGTGGGATTATGGTGTAGAGAGCGCCCAGTGGCAGAACTACTTGCTGTTCTTCCTGCTGTGATGTCGCAATTAGTTGTCAGCTAAATGTTTATAGAACTGTTTGCTGGTCACCGACAGCTTGTACTTACGCAACAAGCGAGACACTGTGAAGAAGGCGTGACTTCTGCAGCAGAGTTGTTCTAAATAGATGAAACCAGATTCATTGTCTAACAAACAATTGGGTGGGCATGACCTCGTCTAGTGCCCCTTCTAATAGTGTGTCAATGTCAATGGATAAGTACATTGCGATGCTGCAGATGTGCTCCTAGTGCAATGCTGAAGGTCAAATGCTGAATGCCAGTATGAAATACGCGCTAAACAGCGACATCTACTCGTAACACTGATCCCAAAGGCCACCGCTCCTTGCAAAGCTCTGGCTGTCTACAAACTTACTCAACGTACACCTGCCATGCTTGTCACCACCACAGAAGTCCAATGGATGTACGCGGTCGTTAACAATGACACGAACTGACTCTTCCTTCTCGTGCTTACACTGCAGCTTCTCCACGTAGAGACGTGCTGCAAATGGCACACTCCATGCTGCCGAATAACCATGTGTCTTCTTTGTATCCTCGATAGTGGTGTTCGATAACGGCTTCGTTTTGTTGTAAAGGCCGAGCGCAGCCAAAACGCCACTAATGTCATTGTCGTGGCTGAAGTCGGCGTATACCTTGCGGTCGAGGGGGAATGTCTTGGGATCGGAGTCTAGGGTGCGATTCGTGTTGGTGTTGTCGTCAACAGGCTTGTTCGTTAATCGCGCCAGCAGTTCATTGACGTATCCAACGCCCTGAGTCGGACCAAGCGGGTTGCCAACGCCGTAGCCGTAGAACTTGCCCAGTGTCTGGAAGTAGTCGTATTCACGCCACTCCTTTTTCGTAAAGATTCTGCAGAAGTCTGACATCTTGGCTGACGGATGCGCCAATGTATCAAATGGGCACATGTCCATCAAGTACACGATGGAGGTGGCGCTGAGGTTCGTTCCAAGAGCAGAGTTGATGCGCTGTTGGATTGGTGGCACAAACTTGTCAGCCCAGACATGCTGTGCCCTATCCCCGAGACCATGATGTGGACCGCCCTCAAATGCTGGACAGATGTCGTGGGAGAGAGTATTGTTCCAATTCGGCCCTTCTGGAATCACCACATCGATCTTTCGCGGCTCTTCCTTCAGTGATTGCGCGACACCCTCAAGCCACCTCTCAGCTGACTCAACTACACGGTGTTGTCCGCCCGCGCGTACGAATGGTACGTTGTCGTCGATGAGCTTCCGGTAACGGCGGTGGAAGTGAGCTCCCGAGTTGACCATTTCCTGCCTCCCAGCATCCGTCAGCTCATCCGCACCCAATGTATAATCGTAATCCTTCAAGAATCTGAACTCTTGCGGATACGATGTGCTCGTGTTTTGTATGTCTGCGATCAAGATGTGGTAGGCGAGGGTTTTCCCCAGAGTGGGATCGCGGCCGCCGTGGCGGGACAAGACGTTCGCGAAGGTGACTTCGCAGCCCTTCGGAGGCGCTACGTTGATGTCCGAGGGTACGGAATACCAAAGCGAATATTGACCCCAGAAGTGGCTCGTCTTCGGGCTACAGCGGTAGCCTTCGTTGACGCTGTCACAGGACTTGTTGATGGAGACATTAAGGAGGCTTTAGAGCGTCAGCTTTGGACCATTGAGAGGACTGATGCTTCATACTTGGAGGCTCCGTATAGAACTACGCATGCGCCGAGTGCTCGTAGAACCCATATGCCCAAGCCTTTCGACCGTTGGTCGCGTCGAGATCTGTGCGAAAGAGGCTCCTTCTCGCTCAACGGCAGAGGCGCATAGTCTTGGGAACGAGGGCCACGCATCCTGTTCCAGGGCTTACTCATCTAGAGAAGTAACGGCAATGATATCCACGAGTCCGTGAATTGATACGACGAAGTGACAAAAATTCCAAGTTTACCTCTGGAGTACGTGTCGGTGTTGGAATGTCGCGTAGCCGCGGTGACGTATGCGCCCATCATGGTGCTGTCGGCAGAATCCGAGGACGCCAAGCTCGAGCGCAAGAGCATCCACGAAAGTCAACCACCACCGCACTCCGTCCTTTTCACTTGCATAGCGTTGTCATCTGATCGCATCACCTATCGATACAGCCATGTTGAAAAACGCCCTTGACGCGCAGTAGGGGGCTAGATACGGTCGCGTCCGTAGCCGATGGCGGCTTTCGGTCTTGCATGCAATTGCGCGATGTAACGCCGTTTCGTCAGCTAGAGATAGACGCGAGCGTGGCCTATGATTGGCGTCTACCCCATGTTTTCGGTCAAAGTGGAGACCGTCATCAGGGCGTCTTATCTATGGATGAACCACAAGTAAGCTTTGACAAGCTTCAACCACTAGGCTGGACATGCCCTATCCGTATCAGCCGACGTCGATGGCGGCATGCCTAACGACACAGCATCCGCGCGTTCTTCGGGGTCGCATCGTCAAGCCGAGGATTATATAGAGTCCGTCTCCTCGTCTCTCGTTCCGTAGACATCGAGTCCCTGTCTCGTCAGTTCATTCGCCGCCTGGACACGCCACCATGAAGCCCGATGAGCGACATACACTGGATGACGAGGCCCAATTGCAGGCTCTCGGCCACAAGGGTGAGCTGAAGCGCAACTTCAGTCTACTGTCTATGCTTGGGCTTGCTTTCGCCATCTTGAACTCGTGGACGGCGCTTTCATCGTCAATCGGACTAGCTCTGCCTTCCGGTGGCTCAACCAGCGTCATATGGGGACTCGTCACAGCCGGTATATGCAACTTGTGTCTGGCCGCGTCCCTGGCCGAATTTCTATCGGCATATCCCACTGCTGGTGGACAGTAAGCATCTCCGAGCAGTTTTTTGTATTATCAACTCACAATGTTGCAGATATCATTGGGTTGCCGTCATTACCCCGCGGAAATGGGTTCCACTCGCGTCTTTTATCACTGGGTGGATCAATGTATCCGGATGGCTTGCACTGACTACTTCCGGAGGTTTACTAGCGTCTCAACTCATCTCTGGCCTAATCGCGTTGTACCATCCCAACTTCACGCTGCATCCATGGCAGGTCTGGCTGATTTATGTCGCTTGGACGATCATCGCCTTCATCATCAACGCCTTTATGAACAACCTTCTGCCTTACGTCAATCGTGGCGCTTTCATCTGGTCAATCGGCGGCTTTGCGATTGTCTGCATTACCGTCCTAGCTTGCTCATCCCCGGAATACGCGTCTGCAGAATTCGTCTTCACCGAATTTATCAATGAGACGGGCTGGCCGGACGGTATTGCTTGGCTTCTGGGCTTGCTCCAAGGTGGTTTTGGGCTTACCGGTTACGATGCAGTCGCACATATGATCGAGGAGATTCCGAATGCTGCGGTTGAGGGGCCAAAGATCATGATCTACTGCGTCTGTATTGGAACAGTAACTGGCTTCATCTTCCTCATGGTCTTGCTATTTGTCTCCGGTGGCGACGCAGAGTCCATCATCTCAGCAGCGCCAGGCCCCTTGTTACAGATCTTGTATAATGCTACAAGCAGCCGAGCTGGAGCAGCATGTCTACTAATGTTCCCATTGGTTTGCATTCTCTTCGCAGAGACTGCCATCATGACCACCTCTAGTCGCATGACATACGCATTCGCTCGGGATGGCGGCCTTCCATTTTCCAAGTTTTTCGCAAAGGTGCACCCACGCCTAGGTCAGCCGCTCAACGCCCTAATTCTGGCTGCGACTTTGACTATTCTCTTTGGATTGATCTTAATCGGATCGAGCAGCGCTTTCAACGCTCTTATCTCAGCATCAGTTGTTGCCTTGGGTGTGAGTTATGCGATACCCGTTATGATCAATGTCTGCCGTGGTAGGAAGATGCTCGGACCCAGAGCCTTTGTTTTGCCTGGACCTTTCGGCTGGATTGCGAACTTGATTGGTATCGCATACACTATTGTCACTACTGTTCTCTTCTTGTTCCCGCCTGAATTGCCCGTCTCAGCTTCGAGCATGAGTAAGTGTTTTTTGCCGATTACATGTATTATGCTAACTAGTCCAGACTACTGCGTCGTCGCCTTTGGTATAATCCTGTTCATTAGCACCTTCCAATGGTTCGTAGATGGACGCAAGAATTTTACTGGCCCTCGAGCAGATGTGGGCCTCGAAGTCTTGGAAGCCATGAAAAGCCATGAGCCAACCGACGCTACTGCTCAACATTCCAAGGCTGTCGATGGGGGGAAAGACTTACATGAGATGGAGAGGTAGGAACTACTACAAACAGCAACATAATCTATGATTCTATGTCCCTAGGCGCTACTCTTCCAAGTTTACATCATGGCCTAGACACGGTCATGCGCTTTGGCCACATAGCCAGTGGAAGTGCAAATTAGGCCCAGCCTTTGTCATTGAAATCACCCTCCGCGCCATTATATCAACACAACCTTTCACTTCGCTTGGCACTGTGACAGTACCGATGCCCCACGCTCTCCTAACTATATATACCATTCTCCGTTCACAGCATTGTTCCACTTGCACCACCTCGTAGAACGGGCTAATTATCCATCGAAGCCTTCCTTCAACACATCGAATAACCAAAAGCGAATACCAAATATGCTTAGCACCTTTCGCAGACTCATTAACTATTGTGGTAGCGCGAATGCCCCCAGGAAGCCTGACGATATACCGACCAAGGCGGCGTCTTCCCAAATTAGTAGTTCGCCGTCAACGTCAAATAGCAATTCCGATCCAGCATATCGCGCTGCCTTCAACTCTGGAGCCCCTCTTACGCAGTTTGCGAAAAGGGTGCCACATGCGCAGTCGTCTTCCAGCGCTCCTAATTCAGCGCTGTCTGGATATCTCTTCTCGCGTGTCAAGGGAACAGGCACCTCTAACATTAACGATATCCCGCCACCACAAGTTCCCCTATATGCCAAACCAGTGACGACCTCCGCTGACAAGAGAACTAAAGACCCCTCTACCGAATCTGAGGATATCGACATGCCCGATGCGGACTTCCGGTCACCTCCGACACTTTCAACAACACTGCCTGATGGGGACGACGCCCACCATCTATCGAACAAATATTCACAAGACAACGGAAAAGACATAGCAGCTGAAAGTGTTCCAAGCGGGCCATCTGACACCGTTTCGTCAACATCAGTCCACCGCAGCAGCCGCCCTCAATCGATCCCAGTGCGTCAACAAGACCGCCAGCAAACACCCATCACACCACATACTAAGAAAAGCTGGGTCGACGACATTGTCATAGAAGAAGACACACCTGAGAATAACCTCCCCGTCGGCTACCTTGGCACTTTCCGCGGCTCGCGTCACTTCATTCCAGAATATCCAGGCATGCTACCTTGCAGTCATAACACCAAACATCTCCTCCTCTGCGGCCACTGGGTTTCCAGTTCCGAGCCATGTGGTAGCAACTGCAAAAAGCAGAATCATGCCGAAAAGCCCTTCAACTGCCCAACATGTCAAGAGATCGTTCGCGAAGTCCTCACCGGATCGATCCTCTCAGCGGTCGAGTCGATACGGTGGAGGAAACTAAAGGAAAAGGGCAACAACATAGTTTATGTGTCGTGTTGTGTCGAGCAAGTCGTCCGCGCTGCACCCCAGATTAAGAGCGGCGTCACCGAGGCTGTAGCCGGACTTCTCTTGGAAAATTATGGACGTAAATGTGAGCAGGCAGACAACCCAGATCCTGAGGGACTCGAGACAATCGAGTGGATTGTGGGAGACATGCAAGAGCGAACTGAGCGCAAGCAGCGCGAGAGATTCGCTCAAGAGAACCCTCTCAACACACACGACAAACGCAAGAGCTATGAAGATGCGACGAATCTGTCTGTTAATGAAGTCAACCTTGGAACAGACCGCTCAGCTGCTCATGATGAGCAGCCACGAGGTAGTTCCTCCACGGGCGAAGACGACAAGCAAGATGCATTGTCGTCCAGCCACAAAAGGCAAAAAACGAAGCTAGAGACCCACCGCGAGCCCACGACACCCCAAAGCCGCGGCACGAAGCGCCCTCGTCCGTCCACTTCCGCCTCGTGTGAAAACATGTCGCCATTCGCCTCCGTCGCTGGTAGTAAGCGTATCAAAACTCCCATGGAGAAGGTCTACACTCCGCCTTCCTCTACGTTTGGTGAGGCTAGTTTTCCCTCTCCAAATGCCAGTGTTGTTGGAGTTATGAAGCGGAAGCATCGGAATGATGTAGACATGAATGGCGAAGGTGATGTTCGAATGGAGAGTGGATTCAAGAGATGTAGAGTTGAGATTTGGCGGGCTTCGCAGGAGCGAGTGAAGATGCAGATGTCAGGATTCGCTGGATTTGCAGCAGCATGGGATGAGGACAAAGATGATTCTTAAGGGTGCATACTAGAAGGTTGGAGGACTTGGAAGAGCCTGGATAGGTCCGGTATTGTCGAACTCCGAGCTCTCGTAGTCCAGTTCAATTCAGTGTTGACTTGCCTGCGTCATGTAATGGATCGTCCTCTTGCAGGGCCGATGACAAGATTGAATTATGGAGTGGATGCTAATTAAAGTTCGTCATTGCTTCACAACACGCCTAGACCACATTATCGTGACCTGCCGGAATTATGTCCCTCGATAAAAGTTAGGTAGGCCCGAATATGTTGTGGCACGCGATCAATATTCTAGGCTTGTGATGTGACAAAGTATGGAACGGAACCACATGCGGTCCCGTTGCACAAGGTCGCATATACACTTGAGCACACCAACTGCCACTGAGTCTTAGTTGTAAGATTGTATACCCAAGATAAGGCTTGTTGCTCTCAAGCAATGGTTAAATAAACAACAAGAGCGATACCCTTGACTACCTAGGTATGACGGCCACAGGGATAACATGACGTCACCACCCTTCCTAAGGTGACACAAGTGCCCACTTTAACCTCCGATTACTCTTCACGCGTATCACCAGAGGTAGTTGCGAGCGAGAATCAGTGTTACATCCGCAATCGTTCCAGGTACATGCCCTGTAGCTGAACTAGCTGTTTGCAGATGCTACCCACTATCCTTCGTTCAAACACGATAATCCAGACTGCGCGTTTGACGAGCATGGTGGAAACATCAACGCGATGTCCGACACGCCACATCTATATCTGGTCGCGTGCGACAGCGATCGGTCCTGATGGGTTTCCGGAGTAAGACGCAGAGGAAGTTGAGATATGAGAGCTACAAGGTGATGAGGTCAACCAAGTATGAAGTTTCTTTATACGTGAGTCTCAGCCCTAATACCGCTATCTAATTGTGTAAATTTCTAACCAAAAATTATAGCAGTGAGCGTTCTCATACATGATCGCGTCTCGCGTGTTCAAATACCGATCGCCGCTCGCGCCTCCAATACTCCGATGATTCACACCAAAGCCATCGTCGCAAAGTTCACTGCAAGATCAGCAATCAACAATCAGCCATTGGCCTTCGCCCTAGACGCGGGCTAGCCACATCCTTTCGGCATGCCCTTCTCAACCCGAACACAAGCAGAACCCGCGAGTGCTGAGGGTCTGTCAAGCGCCATCCCGCACGCCATCTAGCGGGCCCAGAGAATTCACGTTCGGTATAGACTTGGGTAGGGATTTAGGGCCGGGTATGGGGACGGTTCGGAGATTGGGTAGAACCTCAGTATGCGGTAAGCTCACGGCGATCGTTCCAGTGATGTACATCTAGTGTTCTCGCTAACCCACATATAGCGACCACACCGCAAATCCTACACCCCCGCCAAGCGGGGCTGGGTGGCAGACTTGATGTTGTGGTAGACTCCACGAACCACCAAGCTTGCAAAATTCGCTGACTTCGGCTTGCTAGGAATGTGCCAACCTTAATGATTTTGTCTGCAACACGTCGTCTGGGGTGCTTACCCTCACGATAGTGCATGCAAGCAGTCAATACGATATACAATACCTCAAACGAGCACCTAAGTTCTCACACCTCTAATCCGCCCCATTCCAGGTGACCCTCATGCAGGTTTCGGCGCAGGCGATTTGCTTTATGCTTTGTTCGGCAAGGGTTCATCTGGACGTGTTGGTGTGGGTGGGCGCCCGATGCTTCTCATTGGCCCGCATTGCCCTGACAGTCACTCGCGTGCAGTCAGCCTATGCCACGAAGGAGACATGCAACAGTACTCGGAGGCCTACAGGTACGGTGAACTATCGTTACCGGGTCCCCAGTTGACCGTCGGCCGGTGAGGGCAAAAGCAATCCTGGTACACGATGTCGTCTGGTAGTGTTTGGACTAGCGAAAAGAAGAAAGCAACATGGATAAGAGAACCTCTTTGTGTATATGGAAATCAATATGAGTTCTATAAGTTCGTAGCAAGAACTAGACCGCGATACCGATATTCACTTTCACCGTTCCTGCCATCTACCGAAAACACTTCGAAGTCTTGGCTGTTCAGTCCACCATCACTCGGCTTTCTAGTATACGGTTGCAACATCTGCATCGTGCTATGGCGTCGTTCGCCTATGCGTTTTTATTGGCCATTGGTCTACTAGTGGCAAAGGTAATCGCCTGGAAGCCATCAATCTTCCACGACGACGACTGACGATGATAGTTCCTCTATGTTGGCCTTACGTGCCCTACGAAGCATCTACCTGGTCCTTGGTATACTCGCTTCACGCATTACCGTCTGAAGCGTGCCGTAGTAACAGGACAACGTATCTTCTACATTGACTCCCTTCACGAGAAATATGGACCCATTGTGCGACTATCTCCCACTGAAGTCGCCGTCGCCGACCTGGATGCCTTCAAGGAGATTCACAAGATTGGTACCAAGTACATGAAGAGCGAGTGGTATCTCCGTCTGGCCAACTTCCCTAAGGCCGGTGTTTTTACCATGCTTGACCCACGTGAGCATGGACCTCGAAGGAAGCTATTGTCGAGATCCTTCAGCAGGACCTACCTTGTTGAACATTGGGAGTCGGTGGTAAGAGACAAGGCGCTTATGGCCGTGACCAAGATCAAAGCCGATGCCATGCAAAGCACCGCCGATGTCTACAACTGGTGGATGCTTCTCGCATCAGACGTTAGCGCCCACCTCGCCTTCGGAGACTCATTTGGCATGTTGGAGTCGGGACATGTAAGCAATCAAAGCGATAGACACTTGATGCACCAGCTAACGGTTCACAGCAAAATCAATTCATGCGTGTGCTCAAGAAGTTGACAATGGGTGCGGGTATCATGGTCGAGATGCCTTTCCTCCGCCTCCTACGCTTTGTTCCCGTTCCTGCAGTACAAGAGATGTTCAACGCCAACGAGTTCATTCTTGCCGGCGCAGGCAAAGCCGTAGAAACAGCACGATCGCGCACTGGCGAGAACAACATATTCGCCAAGGTCATTGAGGACTGCGAGAAAGAAGGTGAGGGCCACATCGATGACATGGATGTCAGAATCGAAGCTATGAACGTCATCATCGCGGGTACCGATACTACGGGTGTTACTCTGACTTACCTCACATGGGCGGTGCTGCAACGACCGGAGCTGCAGGCGGCGCTCGAGGCTGAGACCGCGGCGTTGGAAGAGGGCTTCACGGAGAATGATTTGATTAAGCTGCCATTGCTTAACGCTGTTATCGAGGAGACGCTTCGATTGTATGGCGCTGCGCCGAGCAGTCTGCCGAGAGTTGTACCTCAGGGTGGTACCAAATTCGCTGGACATTATATCCCACAGGGAGTTACAGTTGACACCCAGGCGTATACCTTCCATCGCGACCCTAAGATCTGGAGTGATCCCTTGACGTAGGTCGCTTCGCCGTCTCATACTGAACACCATCAGCTAATGCTCATAGCTTCAACCCACAACGCTGGATCGCCGACAAAGAGGGTATGGTTGCAGAGGCTCAATCACCCGCCGCTAAGCTCGCGTTTCATCCTTTCGGTGCTGGTGCACGATCGTGTATCGGTATCCATCTGGCGCGCATGGAACTGAGATATGCTGTTGCATTCTTCTTCCGTGACTGCAAAGGTATAAGGTTGGCCGAATCAACAACGCCCGAGAGTATGGAGTTTGAGGTAAGTCAGATGTGAAGGCTGTACATGTGGAATGCGCGCTGACGTTGATAACAGAATTTCTTCCTAATTGCACCAAAAGCGCATCGTTGTGAGATCACATTCAAGCAGGGCCTGTAGAGTGAGAATGGCTGGCGGAGCACTATAGTAAGATGTAGTTGTCACCACAAACGATACTTGTTCATGATCCGACGAGTTAAAGTTGTATTGTTCCTTTTTGTGGGCGCTGTGAGAACCTTAGAGCTACGTCATGGTCTAATCGCCAAATAACGTCTTCGTATCTTGATCGAGTGTGCAGCAAATTAGCAGGAGCACTCATAGGTAAACCTGCGACAGACTTACCCAGAACCTACAAGATGCTGCAAACGACGCCGTGCTTTCTCTTACCATCTCTCTTCTCAGCTAGGCTGTTCCAGTCCATCTTCTCAGTCATACCCCAATGATCCTTCCACGCCCTCTGGTTTGGATCCTCCTCATTGACGCTAGCCTCGCTGTAATGATAGTGGAAGTCCTCGGCCTCTTGCTGCTGCCTCTGAGCCTCTCTCGAACTGAATGACGCTTTGTCTTGCTCGAACTGAGCGAAGTCGGCCTTACGATGAGTCTGATCATGGTCAGAGACAGAGGTGGTGACACCGTCAGAGAAGAGGCCTGAGGATCAGTGCACAAGATCAGAATATTTCTCGATTCCAGTTCTTACAGACTCTTACCGGATGTAGTAGTGGCAGCGACAGGCATTCTGGTAGCCGCAGGCTGGGCAACGGGGGAGGCCAGGGCAACAGTGGCCACGGTGACCACCAAAGGGATGATGGTGTTGTGCATTTCTAGAACGATGTATAAAGAGACTATGTCGGTAATTTTAGTGATAGATTGCTGAGCTAAAATGATGACTAGGATAGGTATAGATGAGGGTCGTGCTCGCGAATTATGAGAAAAGATGGTGAGGCGAAGTGTCTCTAGTATGGTACTTTGGAAACAACACTGCGATCAGGCTTATGTATTGTTAAAAATCTCAATCGTCTTTAGTATGAAGAAACAGGGTCCGGAGGATGTGGCGATACTTTGTGCGCCATTTACAGCAAGAATTGGAACCATATGGCCACAGTAATCGCGGTGTAGCTGATCTGTGCGACAGCAACTTTTTGATATTTCTATCCGCACACGTGGGCTGGACGACAAAGAATCGAGTTTGGTAACGAGAAAAATTAGGTTTCTTATCCGTCGATCCAACGCCGGGGAAAGCCGTCCAATGGTTGGAGAACGATATGACAGCTCATATATAGTAGCTTCTCTTATCTGCATCACCATTATGAAATCCCATCACTACTACGTGCACTTTACAACTAAGTTCGCACATTTCCAGATTTTCGGCTTTGTTGGGTATGGAAAAGTACTCAATGGATCGGAAGCGTGGTTCAGGCAGTTTTGATTCCTTTTCTTCTGACTCTGGCCAACAATTCTCAAGTCATGGCGGATTTTAGCCTCAAGCTTCCGTTCTCTGAATCTCTAAATGGTAGCCCACATTTTGGAATAGAAGGTGCCGTCCATCCGTTGACACGTGGAGTGGTAGATCCAAGAAAATCGCATGTTCCCGAATTCTGACGAAGGCATGGTCAGTGACTTCGTGGCCACTTACCTCGACGTGTTCAATAACTGGACACCATGTTTCTTTCAATCGTGCAAGATCCTGAAGATATGTCGCGTCTAGATCTGCGAACTGGCAGCGTTGCAGCTTCAATAATCTGAGTGACACCGGTAGGTCACCGAGCTTAGCAAGCTTCTCGAATTCGATCGTCAGGTGCGACAAATGCTCAAAGTCGCGAAACGAGGGGCACATATAGTCATCTGGGCCCACACCAGTCTCCCACAGGTCTTGCTGAAAATCTGGATCACCAAGGTCGTAGTAGTAACGAAAGTCCAAGTGCAGCGTCTCTAAAATCCGCCGATGGTTTTCTAGTAGCGCTTTCACCATATCTCGAGGGCAAACCAGTGGTTGGTAGGCTACGTCCCACATCATGCAATCATGGCGCCTCCCGTCTGGAATGATGAGTTTGAAGACGGTTAAGCGTGGACATGCGTACAAGAGTGCCTTCATAATAGAGAGCGGCCCCAAGCTCCAAAACAGTTCAGCTACTGTGTGTGTCACTATATTAGTAGTAGGACACTCGCCTGCTATGTCTGATACATCGCTCTCAGTCGTGAATCTTTCGAAGGCAGGATAATGCATGAGGGGAATAAAGTCTTCCAGATTGATTGGTCCCTTCTCATATCGCTTGTGCCTGCAGATCTTTGAGTCAGCAAAATCTGCAGATTGTGCCTGAATGCAGGTGCTGAGTCGCTAAGCAGCTTCTATATTCTGTAGGTGTACTTACAAGTGGAACGTCTTCAACTTAGCAAGGAATGAAGTGTCGGCATCCCTTTTCTCGTGCATGTGTTTTAGCAGCGCGCGTGGAGGTTCGATCTGCGCTTCAAGGTGAACATGTTGGACGTTTGGCACTCGGGCAAGAACGTATAACGCAAGCGGTTTGTAGCAGAGTTCCGGTTCGATCTCACCATCATGCCCTCCTATCAATGTTGATAACCTCATGAATGTGTCATCGCGTCCAAGGTCAGGCCACTCGTAGCGTATTCCTCGGTCGTTGAATAAAATCAGCTCTCGCGTCTTATTTGCTAGCTCGGGATATTCTATCGAAGTTTTGAGGAAGATCTTGAGAGATTTCAAAGGGTCTGCCACTGGCTCTGCCAATTGCACACAAGTGTAAAGCGCCGGTCGCGCGACAGATACTAGCGTGCGGGACGTTCGACATAAGCTCAGTAAGGCTCCAACATTGGACGCATCGCCCGATGTGAAGTATGCAACAATGGAAAGTAAGATCTCATTAGAGAGGTCCGTGAGTTTGGCCATCGTCTGATGCGAAGTCGCGATGGGAAGTAAGCTCATGGCAAAAGGTGCGTTAGCCTGGTGACGGCGACAATGCCCGTCCAGGCTCGCTTCCAGCTCCCTAAGCAGGGCTGGCTAGCCCCCAGCCACTCAAGGTGTCCGCACCCCTAGTCTCATCACACCTCATCGCGCCTCATAACTTTCGCGAGAACAAAACACGTATGATCCCAGTAAAACCAAGCATATCGTTTCGGGTAAGCAGATAGCTTTGCACTTCTCATTGCTACAGCATCTAATCATGTTATCAAGATTGATCAACAAGCGCGTCGGCCCATCATCTGTCCGACCACAGTTGCTCGGGAAGCGATCTTTATTTTCCAATCAGTAATCGTAGTTTACAGTACCGCCACTGTGTATGGTAACGATGCTCCGATCATACCACGTCCCTAGACACCGCGGTGTTCCCCATGCGTTTCTGCACAAGCAATGGGCACTTTGAAATTAGCTATCAAGCTACAAGTGAAAGTTTAGGATCGGCCGGGACCATGATTAGAAAACCATTCTGCAGGTCCTCTTGTCATATATAGACCAAAGTGTGGAGGCCTAGACAGTGATCACACCTCTCACAATCACCAGCTCTGATCAGAACTCCGTTCGACCAACAAAATCCGGCATCCGCAAGAAAGAAAATGAGGTGGTTTACTTCTTTTACCGCCCTCATCGGCGCATCAAGCGTGGCCGCGTTTCCTTCCGGGCTAGCTGTCAGGTAAGCTCACTACAAGAATGTCGAGGGAAGATCCGAATGGAAGGTAACAAGGCCATATAGTGGATGTCGAGAAGTTGCTCTAATTGACCCTCCGGCCAAGTTGGTCCAAGTCGTCCCGACCAAATACGTTGACGTCAATGGCGACCAAATCGCGTACCGGGTTTTTGGTGCGAAAAGAGGAAACCCCGTTATCTTTCTCGCCAACTTCCGTGCGACTATGGACATCGCGGATCCCTTACTTTTCAATTACATTGCTCAATTCAGACCCGTTATCTTGTTCGACAACGCCGGTGTCGGTCACAGCACTGGTGAGATCGGCGACTCTATCGCGGCCCAGGGGGACACAGCGGTTGCCTTCCTGAAGGCTATCAAAGTGAAAAAGGTCAACTTGCTCGGTTTCTCTATGGGAGGCGGTGTTGCGCAGCACATTGCCATCAACTACCCTGACCTTGTGGAGAAGGCTGTCATCGCTGGATCGATTGTTGGAAATGGGCCTGGTATTGAACTGGCCACGGATGCGACTTTTGCTATTGCTCGCCAGCCTGTAGTTCCCCAAGACCAAGGCCTGGGCTTGTTCTTCTACCCTTCCAACACTAGCACAGCTGCAGCTATCGACTACGCTAATCGCATCACCGAGCGGAATGTGCCAGGCGAGAACAAGACGAACCAAGTGCAAGAGCCTGGTACCTCTAGACACCTCAAAGCTATCCTCGACTTCACCCGGAACTCCACATACCTGGAGCAAGCGAAAAATATCAAGGCGCCGCTTTTTATTACCTCCGGAACACGCGATGTTTTAGCACCTTCCTCTGGCGACTTTGTCCTCCAGCAAAAGGTTCCTGGCTCCTATTTGCAAGTCTTCCCAGACTCCGGACATGGTCACCTCTTTCAGTTTCCAAAGGCTTTCTCCGAACTAGTGCAGGAGTTTCTAGGCGCCTGAAAGGTGTTGAATGTATGATAGTAGACGAACAGTGGTTCTCACGGTTCTATACAAGTAGGTATATTTACATCCTAATATATGAGTGGTTTTTACATGGAGGCCTTTGCAAAGGAGTGGTAGTTGTCCAGCGGTGCATCCTTCTCCATAAGTTTCCACAGTTGCTCGATTTGCTGCACTGTCTCAGACTTCAAAGGGCCCGCATCAAGTGCTGATAGCGTCTTCTCCAGCTGCGCTGGCCGGCTTGCTCCAATGATGATTGCGTCACCAAGTCCCGCATCGAGCTTGGAGTTGAAGACCGCCCAGCGGTAGGCTAGGTTTACGCCCGAGTCGCCTGCTGACTCCGCAATCTTATTCCATTGCCTCAAGGCTTCGATCACAGTGGGCTTGTTGTACATGGTATTATACATCTTGCCGCCAAATGTTGATGGGTCGAACCTCCCCTCTGCCTTCTTGCTCTCCAAGTCGTCCGGATTCTTGGCGAAGAAGCCACCAGCGAGTGGCGAGTAGGCATAAAAGGCAATACCTAGTTCGCGCAGGATAGGAAAAAGATCTTGCTCAATCGTGCGAGCAAAGGCATTGTAATTGCCCTGGTATACGGAAGGAACAACTCCGCCTTTTGATTTTGCGTACGCATAGATCTTTCGTACATCATCGGGTAGGAAGTTGGAAAGACCGAAGCGCTCGAACTTGCCCTGGCGATGTAGCTCCTGAATGGCATCCACGGTCTCTTCGATGGGTGTTTTGTCATCGGGAGCATGGAGGTAATAAATATCGACCTTTTCGGTTCCAAGGAGTGAGAGGGATGTTTGAATACCATCCTTAAGTGAGGAGCCAGTAAGCGCTCTCGGAGCGAATGCTGGAGATTTGGTGTCAATGATGAACGACTGGGCAGCTTTCACCTCTCCGAGACATTTCTCACTGTCGCCATAGACGCGGGCAGTGTCAATGTTTCTAATACCTCTGCTCTTAAGGATGTCCAGAAGAGCCTGTAAATCGTCTTTCGTGAAAGATTCGATCTGGTGAGAGCCGAAGACGTATGTTGGGTGAGACATCTTGCGAGAGATATTGAGCTGGTGTTGATAGTAGTGTAGATGGGATGATAGTAATGTCCGGTCTCGCGTGGAGGTGGTCACTTATATATGATGCAGCACACTGCCGAGGTCTTTCAGTCGATACTGAGGAGACGTGACATCAACCAATATCATGACGACTCTCGTCAATATGCTTACTAATAGACTATCTAGCTTCTATAGACTCGATTCACAGCTGCGGCAAACGATCAATAGCTACACCCGCACCTAGGCAATGCTGATAAATAATGTCGAAGTGCTGTCAGTACGTGGTGAGATTGAGGTACAGTTCATACGTCGTCCAATCGAAATACCGTCGATACGTCATCCGATCGGAGTGATATCGACACGTCTTGCAAGACTAGTCGCAGTATCCACCTCGGGAGTTAGCGCGGCTCCTGATTTCGTCCGCGTGAACTAGCCAAGGCAGGCTACCGGTACGTACCGTGCGTGATGACCCAACACGCACGACGGCCCAACGCGCATTTCGAACATCAAAACAGCCCTAGAATTCAAGACTATAACGTACCTGGCTGTTCCATGGATAAGCTGCGCAGACATCCGAGTCGCTTGCATTCGTTAAGACTTCACCAAAACACCCTTGGTCTGCTAACGTGCTCCTAACAGCCCTACTTTACCGCATCAGACGAAAGTGAGATACAGCTCACGTTTTAGCCTATCAAGCAAGGCGTAATTCTATTGAAGCAATGCGCTACAGTAATATAAAGAGTTTTGGAAAGACGATAGAGTGTGGTCGACCCACCTTCCGTGCGCCCAGGCACAAATCTCCGAGTGGACCGCTATTGTGATTGGCTGCATCTTTATTGTTCAACTACTACTCGGGAGCTATTCAAAACTCACTTGAGCCATGGCTTCGAACTACTTATCTACATACTTTGCACTATCCAGAGATCCCTTTGAAGTTTCTTGGTGCAGGATGTAAAGGATAGAATCCTCTAATATGCTGTCCCCTCAGCTGATTAAAGAAGTATGGCCAGCCAGGTGGTCCACGATTCTACACAACACGCACGAACCCGTATGACGAGTAACTTTAGCAAGTGCGGCATCTCTGGAGCCGCGCAGTCTTCTCTTCCAACTCTCTGCATGTCTTCAGAGAGCGCGCTCAACTTCTTTGTCCTTGGCTATCGCGACTCTTATCTCCGTCACTCTCATTAATCACCAAACATGGTCATCCCAATCGAAAATTACCTGCAGGTCTGGATTCTGGCTTTGTCTGGCGCGTCCATCGCGATAGCTTGGATTGCAGTCATTCTGCGTCTTGTCGCGAAACACATTCGCAGAAAGTTCGACTACAGCGACTATTGCATTGTCGCAGCCTTGGTGCCACATCATTCTTCCATCTCACAGCGCTATGTTACGGTCGAGGCATCCATCGCATATGCCTCGCAACTAGTATCTGTGAGAAAAGCGCACCTACTGACATAACCTAGGTCTCACACACAGCGCTATGCGCCAATTGCATCTATCTTGCGTACTACGGCGCCTTCGGTTTCGACATGTACACCATAGTAGCCCGCTTCGGCATCGGTGTGCTCTACATCCTCTTCAAAGGCGTGCTAGTTATGACCATTGTATGGAATATCACTGTCTGTCTCTCGAAGCTATCCGTCCTGCTCATGTACACTTCAATCATACCCAACACATCCATGCTCGTCATATGCCGCTACATTGGAGCAACAATCATCGTTTGGATATTAGTGGATTTGATCACGGCCTTGTCTATCTGTAAACCGCTCGCGCAGGCATGGAAGGATCCGGATAAGTGCACTAGCCAAAATCCGTTCTATTTTTCCCAGGGCGTGTTGAACCTCATCATCGATATGGTCATTATCGTGCTGCCGATGCCGTATATATTCCGCCTACGAGTGTCGTGGAGTCGCAAAGTGGTTGCGATTGTCATGTTGGGACTGGGCACCGGGTACGTACATGCGACAGACATATTCACGTTTGCAATGAGCTGACTTTAGTTGTAGGACTATAGCTATCACGATCTATCGCCAGAAGCTACTCTGGAAGCTGGACTTTGACGACATCCCTAAAACACCGAATATAATCTTTGCCATGATTTTGAGCGAGCTGGAAACCGCAGTCATGATCCTGGTAGCTTGCATACCACTCATGCGTCCTTTATTCTGGAGGAATGAGGGCCAAAGCCCACCCAACGGTCGTCACAATGCGAACATCTATGTCGAGGGAGGGCATTTGGAAAGGGGAAACAAGCGTAGAGGTGCGAGGAATCTGCAGTTACTTTATCCGCCGTCTTGGTTCGACAACAAGGACGATTCGAAGGTTGCGGCGCAGTCATTGAAGGTTGTGCATGTCGCGGATGTGGCATCTACTTCTGCAACTGAAACATCTCAGGGTTCAAGCTGCTCTAAAGATTCTGTCGTCGATAAAAAAAGATGGGAAGCACCGAAAACATGGCATATATCCACATGATTTGGTGCTAGATGAGGTGGATTGGCTGATTCCAAAAACAGCCACTGAATAATAGTCGAAGGCCGTACTTTCTACAGCTTTTTCTCTCATTACCCTAGCGCAGTACCTTCCTTGTTCACCAGGGTCAGACCTTCGAGCTTACCATATGTCTTCACATCTTTAACGACTCCGTTCACATCCCACCCAAAGTCAACAATTCCGCCGCCTCTCAATCTCAATCCTTTTACATTCCCGCCGCTCCAGCTTGTTGGAATCGCAGGACCCAACACCACAGTTTTTCTATCCTCTTCACCACCCGCAGCTGTCGGCATGTCCGTGACAAGCATGCTCAGCACGGCGCCTCCAAACCCAAAGTTTGCGTCGATCTGGAATGGCGTTTCGATACCGGAATACATACTGAATCCATTTCCAGCAAAATTTTGCTCGATGGCATACCGGAGCTCATAGTAAGCTTGATCTGTGTCATTCAGTCTGGCCCAACAAGCTGAGCGCCAGACCTTTGCCCATCCGGCATTCGCATCCTGGCCATTACCGTTACCTCGGCTGTACAGTTTCTGCCGGATAGCGTCTTGAACAGTGCTATTTGTGTAGCCATCAAGGAAGGAGGAGAGCGAGTAACCGGGGTACCAGCCGACTAGCTCAGAGAGATGGCGATGAGTGTCGTTGATGAATTCCAAACCATATGGCTCTTCAGGAAGCTTCCATTCTTTGATCTGGCCCCACGATCCAACGTGAAACCCTTTGTCAAGCCGCTGAAGCGAATCGGTGACATTGCTTATGAAAGCAGTGTCTGATTCGCCCACTATGGTCATCGTGGAGAGTACCGCCTCGAAGACCTGATGTACGAGCTGCTGATAGTGCGCACATCCAAATGTTGTCGGACCGTGCTCGGGACTGTTGCATGGGTTGACAACCAGTGATCCGTCGTCATTAAAGATGTCTTCTTGAAGCTGGCTGAGCCAAAACTCTGCAACACCTTTCATAAGCGGATATCCTTGATCTCGCAGCCACGCCTCGTCGCGCGAGTAATCCCAATGATCGAACACATGCTGCATCATCCATGCGGCAGAAGCTGGGTAATTTGCCCACTCAGCACCACTCTTCATTCCGGTATGGCCGAAAATATTCATCTCGTTGTGTACCACCCATCCTGGTGCGCCGTATAGTAGCTCAGCTGTCTCGCTACCACGCGGAACCCAATTGTCGGTCATGTAGTCCCATAATGGTGACTGGAGGTCGGTCAATCCAGTCTGGTCGGCTGTCCAATGGTTCATTTGCAAATTAATGTTTGCATGGTAGTCTGCTGACCACGCAGCCCAGAGACCTTCGCTCCATCGTCCCTGGAGATTTGGTGGAAGAGAGCCTGGCCGTGAACTGGAGATAAAGAGGTACTGCGCGTAGTCAAAGAGTAGGTTCTCGATGTATGGGTCGCCCGCTGTGTTATTTGCGTTGTATCGTGCGATGACTTCTGATGTTGGTGTCTGGGAAGACCTCAAGGGATCTGGAAGAGATAATGTAAAGCGGCCTGTGAGAGAAGTGAAGTCGTCGATGTGGCGTTTGACTAAACCAGAAAGTGTTTTTGCAGCGGCGTTAGAAGTCGTTGCTTCGACGGCTGGACCTGGATCTTCGCCGCGGAATGAGTAGTCAGACTCTGGTGTTCCTTTCTTTGCGTCGTAATTTGTTCCAGCGCCTAGCACTATCGTAACGCTATTTGTACCGTTGCCAGATCCAATGGTCAGCAGATTGGTGCTGCTATCGCACCTCGTGTTGATATTGCTGCCAGATGCCACTCGCGCAATCGCATCATACCGCATACCTTCAGGCGGACCAAGCTCTGTCACACCCCCCAGTCTCAGATAACCGGAATCCGTGCCGTTGCCACTAACGCAGGTAGCGTTCCGCAGCTCAGGGTCGACCAGCTCATTATCCAATCTTACTTCAACAGCTGGCAGTCCATTTGAAGACCGAATCGTATAGACGCAAACTTGATCCGGAAAGGAGCAAAAGGCTTCAGTCTCGATATGGCTACCGTTCAAGCTAAACGAGGTAGTATGTATGCCATTGCTCAAGTCCAATGTGCGTGTATAATTGGCAACATCGACATCCACCAGCGAAGGAATGGTTACACTCAAGTTGCCGAGAACTTGATAGGAACCGTATGCGTCATCTAGACCCAGCAATTCTGTCACGTTCCCCGTTCCATTGGTGAAGATCCACTCCCGGATACCCGGCAGAGACTCAGCAACGGAAGAGTTTGGATTTCCACCGCTGTAGTTCTATGCGTCGCATCAGTATGACTTGAGTATGTACCAGATTTATTCAGACTTACGGATGCTGAAAATGGACCGCCTGACCACAGAGTGTCCAGATTCAGAGTAAGTGTCTCAGTACCTGGTGGACCAATTGGCATTGCACCAAGACGACCATTTCCGATCGGGTAGGTGGTGCGGATGATGTCGCTGCTATTTGCAGGGGTGGTGGACCATAATGATAACGCTGTCGAAACTGGGATGAATGTGCAAAGGAAAGGTAATAAACGAGATGTTTGCGACATCTTGAGCACAAGACCTTTTCCGTCGGAGTGCAACAGGATTAACGTTGAAATGCGTGGAGTGGTTGTACTACATGTACCTTTATGAGGGCTGCGACTATGCTGCTATTCTGGGGTTAGCTTGCGGGGAAGTATAGTGCCGTATGGCGATCGCTGTAGAGATTCTCCACGAACGGCATTCTGAAACAATTATTCCGGCGCAGTCACTGCTGCTTAAGAAGCATTATAGAGCGATTTTGTTGTGACGGAAGCGGAGTGCTACTTATATTAAGGGTCACGGACGTAAGCACGAACACATCGACTAGAGTATAGATGCGACGTGCATTCGGCTTGTCTATCTTGGCTTCCTATTCGTTTGTTGAGAACCCATTAGCCAGGAGATTGGACACAGGGGCGTTCCGATGTCCTGGAAGTGCTGTCGTTGTCGCCTGCCGAAGTACAATCTCGGACATTGACCTTTTGGAGTCGTTGCAGCAGCAAAGTGGTCGTCTGGGACGTATGGGCATCAGCCTCATCCGCGCATTCCGTACATCAGGCGTTCATGATTAGTAATCCTAAAGTTGCATCTGTGCAGATGCTACATGAGATGCATCATGTATTTCTTATGAATTGATGGTTGACAGTGATGGTGCTGCAATTGATACATCGAAGAATGGGAGGGGTGATGATGTCTTCGGAGGGGATCTAGCCAATCGGCGATTGTATTGACCGACGCCGCGCTAACATTCGCAGACGATCATGTCACGATATCGCAGCTGCCGCAAACACCAATTGCGAGTCGAGACTTCACAATGAGGACGCCATATACCTGCAGACAATGTCTGTCGCTAGTCAAGACGTCGAGATCTCAATTACGGCCGTCGCAGGGCCTTCGCCAGCTCGCGCCCAAGGTGTCGTCGCAACGGAATCACTCCACCAAAAGTCCAGCACCGCCAAAGCTCGCCCTGCCCAAGCGTAACCTCTCCACGACGCCGAACCGGGCCTTTGAGAAGCCGTTCGAACCATTCGAATACATTGACCCAGAGGGTCATCGACGGAAGCTGGTCCTGACCGAGGACAACCTTTTTAACTCTTTCTCCGATTCACCTATACCCGAAATACGCAAACGTGCTGCGTTTATGCGCCAGCATGCTTACTGTCCACACCCCTCGCATCAGCCGACACGTCCGGCGAACAACCCCATGGACCTAGAGGCACGCAAGTCATCCGAGACAGGCGCTCCACCCGCCCATGTAGATTTCGAGTGTCCAGACTGTGGCGTACCAGTATACTGCTGTGAAGAGCACTGGGCCGACGACTACGAGGCGCATCTGGAGGTCTGCGACGTTTTGAAACAAATCAATGAAGACGACCATGATCTGAGAAGTGGACGTTTCTTCAAGGAATTCCAATTTGCGGAGCCCCAGATGGAGGAGATTCTGGTCAACATGACAAGTTGGGATACATACATGTACACCCGAGACTTTGACGCCCTGAATGAGGACCGAGAGATGCGCCAGGCGACGAAGCTGTTGACATACCCCATCACGATCGCGAGTGTTCTGAATGAGTTGAGTCCCTACAACATCCGGAAGAACGGGCGCATGACACCCGAAGGGTTGAAGAGCTTCAGCGGTACGTAGGCTTCGAATGCCCACTTAGGATGATGCTAATTTCAACAGCCCTCCGTCACACCCTCCACCCACCGCGAACAGGTGGTGGAGACACCTGGAAGAACGCCCGCCTTGCTCCTCCATCCGTTCGCCTCTTCATTCTCGGCGCACGCGCAGAATCCTCCCTACCCCGCGAAACATGGATGCAACTTTCCTACCTTTTCCACCGCGTACAATTCTCCCTTAACTTCATCGGCCCTGAGAGTATGGCAAACCGCGAGAAGGAACTACCGCTGCCCGAACGCACTCCTCTCAACCCCTTCGGTGCTGTTGTCGAGGACCGCATCAGCAACTCCTTGAAGATCAGCACCTTCGTCGAGTACTACCACAACATCCACAAGACGGGCTACTTTTACCCGTACGATCCGTACTTTGACTGCTTCGTCGTCTTCCATCCCGGTTTCGGCAACCCAGCCTCCGCGCACGAATGGGAGGAGACGCTACCCCTTCTCCTCGAGACCAAGGTTCCTATCATCGCAACCGGGTACAGCCCATGGGACATGCAGCAGGATGTCGACTTCCTGAACAAGAGGTTTGGCAATGAGATGGACATGTTGCTTGAGCCGGGTGAGAACCTGTTCAGGAGTCTGAGGTGGGACCTGAATGACCTGGACCCACATGACGTTACCTGCAGCAACTGGGGTGTGTATGCTTTCCGTGGTAAGCGGTACGAGACCACCAAGAAGGATGAGGATGAGGAGGTGCACAGCGATCGCACAGCATGATTGCGCGCCATGTTCGTATGTAGATATATGTACAGTATTGTATATCAAACTCCCACTGTGCAAGGACGATTGCTCCATGTCCTATCTACCACACACACCAAAATGCTGAAGTTCACAAGTATAAGAGGAACACGATGTTAAGTTAGGACAAGTGCACTTCATCGCTGACATGATCGAAGCGTGCGAGACGAGTATCATCATAGGAGGTAGGAGCCCAATCAATCTGCGGAAGGACCACGAAAAAAGAACTTTAGCAGCTACGACATTGTTATGGACACCGTTCCCATTCGCCGACGGCTGAACGCAAAATGCATCTTATCGCTTCAATTTCATTTCCATGAATTTACAACGCCTCTTAGTACTCCTCCATGGTGGGTTTACAGTTTAATCTGTCCAACGCAGCGTCCTGTTCAGAACTCCACGGAGCCAAAGCCCTATGTTTGCCATGAGGTTGATAGTCGAGCGCGTGAGTCGATGCAACGCGTTTCTTTATTTCGTCAAGCACGAGGTCATGTCATTGCTGGGACCGCCGCACCATCAGTCTTTTACGTATCTGGAGGAGACATCGGACGTCCCCTTCGCAGTATGCAATGATTGGTGTTGGAATCGGTCGCTCGTTGAATACCTTGTGGTCGGCTTCGAACAGTCTCTCTCCCGTATTCTTGGCCTTTGATCAATCTAATCGGTGTCGGGAGAATCCACACGACAAGGTCGTCTCGAAACATCTCTTCAGTCTGTTGAAGTATCTTCTCAATTCAGTAGTCTCTCGTTTGTTACTCTCCATGAGTTGTACGTCCTCGACACCTTGCAGGGCGATACCATAGTGGGAAAACAATGCGTCGGAGTCGTTGCGAACATCGAAGAAGACCTTGGGGATCTCTTCATCCTGCAATATGTTCTTTAGGGTGGTTTTACCTACACCCGCTGTGTTGAATGCTTCTTCGCACAGTGTGTGAACGTCGATAAAGTAGGCCTGCTTCGGTGAGGTCTCTAGGTCGATGAGAAGGGTCAAGATAGAGACTGAGCCTTCGCGACGAAAATTTAGACCTTCAAGTTCGATGTAAATAACTGACCTGGGGAGTGCTTTCTTCCGTCTGAGTGTATGGATGGAGACAAGCTTGTCAGCCAGCTCGGCGACAGATTGTAACGTATTGACGACTTTCGTTTCTGACGCCTGCATGGCTTTTAGGATCGCTTTCGACACGGCTGATGCAAATATCTTTGTAAGAGTTCGATTCTGAACGTTTGCTCATGAATCTGACGGGTGAGGTTCACTTGAATAGACCTCGAAGCCCAGGTGTGTTGTCACTGCTGTGTAACCACACCTGCTGTGTACCTAAACATACCTGCTGTACCGCACTCGGCTAACGAAGCAACGCGCCATGCAGATCCATAGCCTAGCCTTCTGACAGGAAAAGATGTAACATGTGTAATAGCAAGTCCTTTTTCCCCTGTCTCCGTAGAATCTGATGCGAAAGGCGCAAATAAAACAAGCAAAAATTGCGCGATATCGTGATCGTGATATCAGCCGTTAGGTCTGCATCAGCTTAGGCTGATTCGATGTCAAGGAACCTCTCGTGTCAAACAACAAGGTTAGTTTCAGCCTGGCCTTTCGCAGAGATCCATGTCAAGAATCCTGTTTGCAGCAAGTGTTACGTCGCTTAAAGCACATCAAAGTGATCGAATATTGAAAACAAGAATTCTTGTTTACTAGGCCCTACTGACGCTCCATACATTGCGTTACATATCTCCAACATTCCTCCAAGGGAGATGTGGTCGCTCATCTCCAACCGGAATTACTAAGTGGCAAAGAGAAGTAGACTTGTCCATATCGCTTAGCAGCCTTGACGGCCAAGAGCTCGGAAAACATCGATACATGCAGCACCAGTGTACAAGTTGTCGGCTTGACCCTCAGGGCAGGAGCAAGAGGGGTCGATGAAAGCAGGGGTACCAGAGCCGTCTGCATGAGAGTCGCCGCAGATGTTGGCGCAACGGCCCTTCTGGTACTCGCAAGAGATGGCACCTCCAGCGCAGATTCGCTTGCCGTTAGGTCCAGTCTTTTGAGCCGCAGCGCCGAGGGCGAGGATAGCGACAGAGAGGATGGTGGTGAGCTGCATGTTGGCGTTGTGAAGTTGTGTGGCTTTGGCGGGGAAGAGTTGTAGAGTTGCTATAAACAACGATTAGCAGGATACTTTGAGACATGAAGTTAATCATTCGTACGATTTTGATCCTAGGGAAGGCTGACTAAGTGATTGAATCGATGATTTGACGACTGAGTGCGGTGGATAATCCAAATGGTGGGAGGGAACTGAAGGCATTTATATTTCTCCGTGAGACACAACTCCCATCACTACCTTGATACTGACAGTATGGCTATGCTCCAAAGGACCGGATAACGATACCGCCAAACCAAAGACCCCAAGCTGTCGTTGTACAGAAGGTCCGGATCTCGGTGTGATTCGTATTCCAATCTCTTGGTGGATTGGCAGGTGCTAACGTACTCTGCCGCTTCGCCGTGTGCCAATCCAAGTTGACGTTGGAACAGAGCTGCGCATTTGGCACCCATTGCCGATCGGTCGTGTATCGTACGCAGTCGCGGCCTCACCGCAAACCGGCCTTACTCTATAGGGGTCTTAAAGGGACGCACGGTACCTACATCGTACCTTATAGAGCGAGCCAAGATAAGACCTCCACTGTAGGGTCGCGTTCATACTAGGAATTCATTACTAGGTCTGGGGAACTGAATTGGGCGCTCTAGAGTCAGGAGAAGACATCGACTAGACACTTGAAGGACCACGTGCAAGAACCATATGCTGTGGTCATCTTCGGAATTCGCAAGATTGAACAGAGATTTTCGACGCAACGTACCTAAGAATTCGAGCAACCTGTATTGCACGGCGACTGCGATGGCTATTTCGCGCGGAAGGCAGGGACTGCCACGACAGTCGCATCCTGCGCCAAACCGGGTAGAATGAAGCATGAGGCTGAGGACGTCTCCATACTGGAAAGCCGGTGTGAGATTCGAAGCTCTAGGTGACCCTGGGATTATTCGCTAGTACTGGTATCCGTGCTGTGATTGTACCTGGTACCTTGGCAACGGCCCTGACATGCTCTAGTTGCCTGGCATCATTGTGCTCTCTTTCTCCCTCATAATCAACGCCTATATCGATCTATCTCCTCTGGCCCAATTGAGATCCATCTAATGTGTTGGAACATGCCGCAGCCGATGAGCTATGCTGCTCACATTGATAAGCGACAGCAAGCAAGACGGTGAACAGACACGGGGATAGCCTAGCAACATTGAATACATCACCAGACAATCAAGCACTACAATCGGCAGAGCTTCCTTCTGAATCTAGACATTCCTTGCCGCATCGGTCAGTATCAACTGTCCGACGAGACACATAAGCAGGCAATCTGGAACGCGCCCTGTCTTCTACATCGTGGTAGAGCAAGCGTGTTGCTTAGCCGTCAGCACTTAGCTTTTTTTATGTTGCGACACGAAACATACACGATCGGCATTGGTCACTAAACCAGATGCGGATGCCGAGTGCGCACGGTGAGCGCTCACATTCTCCTAACAAGGCCAGTGAAGGATTTCGATTTCAGTCGACTCAACGCTCCGGATTCCAGCTTTTGCGATCGACAGAGCTGCAGCCCTCCATCCCAACTGTTGTACGAACAAATTACCGCAAGAATTTGCTAGTTCCACCGAGCGCGAAACACTTTGCAGGGACGCGCAATGGCAACGCCCGCTTCACCCCGACGCCTCATACTGTATTCGTGCGTGCAACGAACGTCTTGGAGTAATGGATATCCCGACAACATAAAGTTTGTACGAGACTAGAGTTGTACAGCCACATAAAATAGCGATCCACAAGAAGCTCGGTGAAGTGCGCTCTTCGTCCCTCGTTGGGCAACCAGTCTGTTAAGACGATAGCGATCGTCCGCTCTCCAGCAACGCGACGCGCCTCGAGTATCCCATCGAAGGCGCGAGAGCGGCTGGAGTGACTAGGTTTTGTTCTATGAAAGGCTATCTTGTCATGCATGTGTAGAGACAAAGCTTCCGCGCCGTTGAGTTCTCATAGTTCGCTTCTCAGAAGCTTCATCAACTCCCTCACTGTCGCTTTCGCTGCCCCCGCTTGTTGACTCAGCTACCACGAAGCGTGTTGTATTCATGTTCATGAACCAGCTGCTGCATGAACATCGCACAGCCTTGCTGCGAAATCGCATTCTCTGTGTCAATTCCATCCGTGTTAATCCCAAAGTCTAGATGCTTGACGTGTTGTGACATGTTACAATTATTCCCATTCCTGTCGGACATTCTGGATGTCTTTTGCTGCCCACAAGATCAGGCTTGCGATACCAAGCCTCGCAATCACTTAGAAAGATCTGAATCTGATCGTTGATGAGGCATGCTGGCTTTGCTTGGACGAGCGCGACCCTGTATCACCAGCTACGCGATGCCGGAGACCTGGTTTTGTGTTATTAACGGTCCTTGGTTCTCCATATCATATCAGTGCATGTAATGAGCGCATCCGAGCAAAGGTCCTGACAAAATAGAGGCTCTAAAGAGAGAAAGGTCGTGAAGATTCGCATAACGACTGAATGACGGGTATTACGAGAGGCTTTAGGTCTGCAGTAATCGTTTCTCCTTGCTTGAGAGACACGCCATCATTCAGACCAGCGTAATCACCCTCTCTTCTGCGATGCAATGCGCTTCGAGGATCCGACCGACTGCATTGGAACCTCCGAACTGAATGAGTCCCGCTCTCTCGAACGTAATATTATCCCGTGTTTGGAGGAAGAGTGCTTCGGCACTGTCTGATTCCCCCCATGATGTTCCTGGTCTTTCGATAGCTTCGTCGGCTTCTTTGCCGTCAGATTTTCTTTCCTTGTTATTCATCTCTCTTCCCTGGTTCTCATAGGTTCCGATTTTGCGTTCTGCTTTGGAATGCTGGCCGTGAACGCATTGCTGCAAAACAACAATGTAGCCGTATTGTGGACCAGGTTGTCCTGTACCTAGGCAGGTATCCAGTTTATCCAACTGGAATTTCGTGTCTGGATCGGAGAATTCTTGCAGTGAATCTTGGTGCTCCTCACGGTTATCCACTAATCTGAATGTACCATAATAGGGAATGTATTCGCGAAGCGGAAACTTGGGGCTAACCTGCGCTGTGAAAGTGGCTTGCAACGGCTTACATCTGATCGACATTGATGCACGCTCCAATACGCCAGAGGTCTTAGCTTCCACCTTAGTCTCAACAAGTTCAGCCTCCGCATGTCGTGTTTTATGGTTCCAATGAAACTTGGTCAACAAGCTTCGGTGTATGCTGTGGTCTTGACAGGCCCAACTCCATGTGGGCGCTCTCCATATCTTCGTTTGGGAGACTAGATTTTCTCGATGCCAGTATAGCTGTTCTTCTCGAAGCCGGCTTATCTCTTTTCTTCGATGCCAGCATAGCTCTTCGATTATGTGGCCAAGCCACAGACCAGCAACAAGCTCATCCCCTGTCGCTCGGGATATCCATCTCGCGATGCCATTGATAGCTACAAGCTTATCGGCGGAGTGAGTGAGCACGCAACTTGCATACTGGTCTCAAAACGTAAGCCACTCAAAATAGGTAGTTGTGTCAAGAACTTTAGCGGAAAGCCAAGGGCTTGAGCTGTCTGGTAGGTCATCTTCGTTTCGATGCGTGATTTTGCAGACTCGGTTCTTCAGTGAAGTAGCGTCCCACCGCCAGAATGCTTGCGCCCAAGGTGGAAGATTGTCGGGGTAAGTTTCACACGCCAAACATTCGTGGCACTCCCAGAAGAGTTGCGTACTCGTGAAGTGCAAGATTCGTCGCGAAAGCTGTCGCTCTTGACATACCCAAGCTCTCTTACTCAGCGGCGCGCGCTCGACGCAAGATTGGGCCAAGTAGTGAACATCGCACAAATAGTTCCCTACTAGCGGAAACCCTGACACCTTTTCTTTCAGCCAGTCCGCCTTCTCGTCGAAGTTGAATTCCAAAACTCGTGGTACGTGTAATTGTGGAATTCGTTCGAAGAATAGGCCTTCACTGCTGTTTCTTGCCGCAGTTGCTGCGATAGTACAAACCGCATTTGCGTAAATATCACCCATCCTACTAGACTCATATGCCCAGTCATCTTCGTCATCTTGGAGAATGCACCTGGGAAGGTAAGCTCAAGCATACATATCTACAACACGGGCTGTATACAATGAATCAATCCAAATATACTGGATCTCAAGGCGTCGGGCGACCGCTATGGCGTCTTGAAATGTCTTTGGTAGAGCTTCAAGATGTACCCCTGCAGCGAGTGTACAGTATGTCGTTTGGTTGAGTGCCAGCGGTTTCGCGTCTCCCCAGCAGTGAGATAGACATACATAATCTTGTTTGGGTAACAGTCCAGTGCTACGAAGCACAACTAAGCTGCGCTGAGCAAGTCCAATATCCAAAAGTCTTGAAGGATAGATGTTGTGAGACGAGAACTTTGAAGGACTGCATTGCACGTGTGATTGGCGGCAGTGCCGGTATTTCTTGAGAAGGAACTCCAAGGTAGACTCTGATCGGCTGTTTGATGACATGTCTTTCGATACCATCAGTGTGCTTGTGTCAGTAATACAGTTAGCGTCTATATGTTTTATTTCGTAACAAACTCACCAGTCCAAGGTATAAGAACGATGTCGTTGCTGTTGTGTGAAACCGTGTCATGGCGATTTGATTCAAACCTTAGGATTCTTCTGCCATCGTCTCCCAGAAAGTAGCGCCCTTCCAGCGCTGACCAGGTTTGTACAGAAGGGGCGGTTTGGGGATTGTTCCAAGCTAGGCTACAGATTGAACAGGGTAAGCGCATTGCCGTCGCGAAGGATTCGAAAGTGTCATGATGATTGAATTTGACAAGCCATGGATATTCTTTCGTCAACGAGATATTTCCCGCGAGTAGCCGACGACAAGGTCCACAACACAGGTTTCCCGACATAGCAGTCACTTCGAGGAACACCTTCAGGTAGCAAGTAACAAAAGATGAACTTCTCAGTCGAATGTGGGTAGGGACAAGTACATATTGACACTGCTACAGAGCAATTTATCTAGATAGCCCCGCATGACATCATGGGACATGAGAAATGAGTAAGCTCGGCTTAGGATGTTTTGCACGTGTCGTGCCACCATGCCGCGTTGCGGGTCACTCTATTGGCTATTCTATTACCCACTTGCAAAAACGACCCGTTCACAAGCGGCCAACGATAGCATAAATTTCAGCTTCTCGCGCTGACCATAAGTCAGCAGAATGGCAGCAGCACAATGGAAGCTGTGACCAATGAAGACGTGCGAAACTGTTCCTAACTTTGGCGGATCCCCTAGCTACTCTTATATCAAGCCCAGAACCTGAAAGTATCCAGCCATCTAATCACTTGCTTCGACCCCGATGGCTTCCTCAAAAATGATGCCCAGCTGTTCACGACTAGCAGAATTTCGGTCAATTCTCTAAGAATCGTATGCCTCGCCGTACTTATCATCATGACCAGCAGCATCCACTTTAGTCTCTTCTTACTTCCCATCTCCTCTCGACCGTGATGGCGTAATTTGGGTTGGCTGGTACCTGTTTGTGATGACCGCATACAGATGAGACACGAACTATTTGCGAAGCCTTGATAGGTTGTAGCTCGATTTGTGAAGAAGCATCGTTGTCATCCATCAGTTCCGAGAACGTGGCAGTCGGGTCGAGGCCATGTGCCCTGCCTCCTTTCTTCGAGAAAAGACTGGTGTGCGTGCTACTTCCGTAAGAAAAGCTGGAGTTGGCGGCGTTCCTTGTATTGCTGAACAAAGGACGCATGAGCGGAATGCACGCCAGGACGATTGCGACAGCAGGCTCCAGTCCAGAAAGTATCGTGGCGAGCACACCTTCGTACGTCATATCCGTGAAGTCTAGATTGGGTAGCAATGTTTGTCGGTATATGGTGATGGCCCAGGTTCTACCTGAGATGTCAGCATCCCGAGATCAACAAGGAAATAATGAAATCCTCGGTCTTGTGTACTCACCCGACTCCAATGCTGAGTAAAGCCATAACGGCTAGCTTCCTGCGCCAGGCTATTCGTAATTTGTACAGATATGGCATGGGCAATGCGATAATCACAGCATCTGTGATGAGATTGACGATCCCCATTGAGAAGTAAAAAGACGGTTGACTTCCGCAGGTCCCCGATAATGTGAAGTTCCAGTTTTTCGCGAGCGGTCGGCATATCAAGAAAGCAGCGAGTATGTTGGCGATGTTCCACGTTACAACCAGAGCACCGAGAATGCGGGCCCATTGCAACATAGATGAAATCGGTATGAGTGCAGCATACATGGATAAAATCGAAAGTTTGCTGAAACACACGGTGGCATTCCATAGTATCGAAAAGGACATTATTCCCTATAATGGAAAGAAAGTTAAAACTCTGGACTCGGGAAAGGCTAGTTTTTGATCTCACCTTGAAGAAGAACGTTGCCGTCTGAGGTCCAAAACGTTGGTAGATCTCTGTTGTGTGGAACCCAAAACCACCATATGTGACTAGTGAGATGCAGCACGCGTGCATTGTAGTATTCCATAGCTGGTAGATGTTTTCAGAAACAGAATGGCTTTCTTTTACATTATTCGACTTACTGCGGCGGCGAGGATACAATAGTCACTATAATCAATCCTGTTCCCGATCTTCTTGGCGACAATCCGCAGACCCACAGCAACTATGACTATCAGGATGGAGATAGAAGAAGTCACTAAAACGCCGACTTGGAGTCCATTTTCGATGGGTATCGTTCCTGCTGTCATGGGATGAATCTGCTTCCTGAGTCCGTTGCATGGATATGCCCAAGGGGCGCAAGGGCTCGAACAGGTGGACCTAGGCTCCTATATGTACGCAACGAGCATGGACGACAGCTACAAGGTTGTTTCCCCGGCATGCACGTACAGCTTTGACCTCGCCACATCCTGAAAGAGGTGACCCTTGTCATGACCCGGAACACTTGGAGGCGGCTCGCGGATCCGTCAGATTGGAACTGGCAATGAGCAGCGGTATGCGGTACTCCTTCGGAGCAAAACTGCCAGTGGAAGCACCATCTCAGACTACATCGTTGCAATTGCTCAGCATCGCGGTGGTTCTGCTCCTGTTGTATCCATGATCCGAATGCGCAACCTGTGGCATTCGGTGGTCAGCGCATTCACAAATCGAGCCTACAGACCTCCTGGATGGCTAACGACGTATTTCAATACACCTGTAGAATTCAGAGTCAGTCGGTCGCTATCGCTGCAGTACCAGGTATTCTTTCGACCATCAAGCAGGATTGCTTCGCCACGAGAGGCGCGGCAAGAAAAGCGTCCCGCCTGACAGGCAATCTCTGTAGCGCAGGAACACTTTCCCTGTACATATGTATCACAATCCTTCGCACTGAATCCTGCTGTCGGCACTGCGAAGTCACGTCTAAGCACACGTAGCGTGGCCCCACCCGCTTTTCGGCAAGCTGGTTGTGGACCACGCCGCAATGCCAAGGTGGCGCGTTCGCGGACGATCCACGTCGTTGGAATCGCCCGTCTTTGCTGTATGCCATCGTTTCCACGACAGCTCAATAGATGAACATCGGCACTGAAATCCTCCATGGCAATAGGGATTTAAGGCTGCATCGTGAAGCATCAACTTGCAGAAACTCTGGCAAGTGCTTCTATACTAATTCTTGCGAGCGTTCATGCCAAACACCTGGTACGGCAACGAAGAAGCGCTAGTCGCGCTAATAGCTGCAGGTTCGTGTAACGGCTCGGGAAAAAGGCGAAATTAAGCAACTACTCCTCTCTCGAACGTCGAGTTAGCTTCTTGGGATGCAATGTGGGAAGCGTCATGCCCCAGTGCTGGACAGAAACGGGCATTTTCAATCAGGCAATTGGCGAGTAATGCGGCTAGATACAACCGTCCCGCTCTTTCAAATATGATCGATATCCCCTCAGAAATGTACCACGGCTATCTCTCGAATACTGAGACTTGACGACATGGGCTCCATTTCGCAGAACGAGCGAGAAGTCGCGATCATTACTGGTGCCACGGTCAGTCACGTCGCATGAATGTGAGGAGTGGAATTACTAACAGACTCCGATAGAGTGGTATCGGTTCCTGGCTAGCAGCTCATCTGCATGCGAAAGGGTACTGCGTTGCAATTTGTGGTCGACGAGAAAGTGAAGGACACAACGTCGCCTCATCGATTGACCCAAAAGAAGAGACAGCCATCTTCGTTCAATGCGATGTAGGCTCCTACGCTTCGCAAGTCAACCTCTTCAAGACTGTCTGGGAGAAGTGGGGTCGTCTTGACGTTCTGATCGCAAACGCTGGCTTCGTTGATCGTGGTTCCGTATTCAACTTCAGATACCGTGATGCAGCCATCAACAGCCCACCTCCAGAACCGGATACCAGTTGCACCGACGTGGTGGTGAAAGGAAGAATATATGGCACAACACTGGCGACGCACTACATGCGCAACAACCCAGGACGGAAGGGCGGTAAGATTATAACCACAGGTAGCATGCTAGGTGTATACGCATGCCAGACTTTCCCGGAGTATTGCGCGGCCGAGGCCGCGTCGGCCATGTGGGCGAAGACGACTGGACCCGTTCTGCTGGCTAAGGATAACATCTCCGTCAACTCTGTGATGCTGGGCCCAATCGAGACTGAAGCTATGCCTGGATTTAGCAAAGCTTTCCATCCTGAACAATTGATGATGAAGTCGACACTCTTCGCTGGTTACGATCGCTTCCTTGACGACAAGGAAAATCTCAGGACAGGTGAGACCATCGAGGTGGCGCACGACAAACTTGTAGACTGGGGTCATCCAGGCTACAAGAGCGGAGCATTTTCGAAGCGCTCAGAGGCCGTATTCGAGCCATGGTTCAATCTGGTGCATGGGGAAGAGAGTGGATTGGCTGGTACGCTCAAGGATTGGCCTGACCATAGTAAGAAGATCATCGCTGTCACAGGTGCGACAGGAAGCCAAGGCGGTGGAGTTGTCAATATTATGAAGAAGACCCCTGGATGGAAGGTCAGAGCAATTACCAGGAATCCAGACAGTGATGCGGCGAGAAAGCTTACAGCCGAGGGTATCGAAGTTGTGAAGGCTGATTTTGAGGATGAGGCGTCCCTGCGAGTCGCCTTTGAAGGTGCGCATGCCGTATTTGCTGTCACGAACTGGTGGGAATCGCTCTTCCAGGGTAAAAGCCAGCACGAGTCTGGTGAGATCGAAGAGCGACATGGCATGAACCTTGCTCGAGCTGCTGCCGCCACTCGTACTGTAGACCACTACATCTGGTCAACAACTCCAAGTGCCAAGCGCCGGTTCTGGGGCAAGCTAGAAGCACCCCATATGGACTATAAGGCGAATGTCGACAGGCGCATCAAAGCGGAGTTGCCTCAGCTCGCTGCTATCACTACTTATTTGTACTTCGGGTACTACCCCCAAAACATGGCCTTCTTCCCGTTGTGCAAGCCAATCGAATACGTATGTCAATTTTAGCCCTTGTTGTACGACGCATCCTACTAACATAGCACATAGCCCGGCACTGGCCAGTACATTCAGACTCTGCCTACCAAAGCCGACGCTAAAGTGCTCGTGGCCGGCGACATGACTGTCAATCCCGGTATCTGGGTTCGTCAAGCCCTTGCCACTGGCGATAAGGCTTACCGTAGATACGCCAACGTCGCGCTAGAGAAGTTGACCTTCCAAGAGATGGTCGATGTATGGTCAGAAGTAACTGGCAAGAGCTGTGTGTTTGCTGAAGTTAGCATGGAGACAGTGACGAAGCTGTACGGCGATATGGGCAATGAACTAGCGAAGCAATTCAAGTATGGAGAGGCGTGCGACCCGTGGGAGGTCACCGAAGATTTCATCAGTCCGGAAGAGCTGGGTATCGATCCTGGGGAAGTTGTCGGGTTCAAAGGGACAATCGAAGGACTTAAGGCTGTCGGGTTTTGGGCTTGATTCGAGTATGTCAGTCGGACATTTCCGCTTGTTCAGTCTCGTAATAGAGATCATCTGCATTTAAACTATGCTGCTATCGAATAACGCTGCGAAGAGAAGAAACAATGGATGCGACAGATGTTGAGACCGTTTTTTCAGGTGTAGAGGGCTGCCGCGTATGGGCCGTTGCCAATCTAGTCATAGCGTCAGCGTGATAGCAGACTGCATGAGAAGATGCGATAAACAGTATCGCAAGTAGTAGGGTGAGACGTGTCGCTCATTATGTGATACCCTACATCCATCGTGGGACTTCAAGAGTGGGATTGCAAACCATGGGTGCAGATATGTAAAGAGCAGGGTCACAGACTTTGTCTTTCCATGAAATCGTTGACTGAGAAATCTAGAGATGGCAGAGGCCATCCCATGATCTCGGAAGCATTTCTTATGACTTCGATGAGACTATTGGTGCCTGTACAGTCGAGGGGGGTGAAGACTTGTTGTCGTGTACGGAAAACCCTTCCTGAGTGCGGGCCCCCGTTCGCGAGCCGTAACGCCTATCAGTGACCTTTCAGTGCACGTATCGAAAGGCTTGTAAAAGCTACGGAAATCGGTGCGACATCGTATTGTCAGTCCCGAACATGAAGACAGATGATGGTGTTAGTGTAGGTACAGATGCAGCGGCGGTAGCCGCCCCTGTCGAGACTGGCCGAAGTGCCGACCCCGCATGCAAGCACGCAAGACCTCACTGAAATGGCAAGTTTCGTACAACTGTACCAATAAAGATGCTTGCGACCCCTGGCACTCCTGAATATACAACAACCCATCCACCTCACCCTGATCATGGCTGAATCACCTCCTATGGGCAATGCACTCGATGCGATCGGCAACACCCCATGCGTACAGTTGCAACGAGTTGTACCAGATGGATGCGCGCGGGTCTTTGTAAAGCTTGAGTCACTGAATCCGACGGGCTCCTACAAAGACCGTATGGCAAGATCCTTGATTGAAGAAGCAGAGCGGAGAGGTGATCTGCGACCCGGTATGACCATTGTAGAAGCTACTGGAGGCAGTACCGGCTCCTCGCTCGCTTTTGTTTGTGCTGTCAAGGGCTACAAATTCCACGTTGTATCGTCCAACGCCTACGCGGTCGACAAGCTACGAGCGATGGCAGCGTTCGGCGCTGAAGTGGATCTGGTCAACAGCCCTTCTGGTCGCATCACAGCAGACTTGATTCCATCGATGATAGAACGTGCAAGGACGATTGCTCAGGGCGACACTTACTATCCCACCGACCAGTTCAACAACGCTGACGCTTACGTTGGCTACAAAGCACTCGGGCTGGAGCTGGTTAATCAATTTCCGAACGGCATTGACGGGTTCTGCGCAGCTGTCGGTACAGCTGGTATGATCATGGGCGTGTCGAAAATCTTGAAGGAACGGTGGCCAAAAACTCATGTTCGAATTCTTGAGCCAGCATCTGCGCCCACTATTACCGAGGGGCGAAGTGGTGTGCATGGCGTTGAGGGCATAGGAATTGGATACATGCCGCCTCTTCTCGAGAAGGACCTCTATGACGACGCACGCGCAGTCTCGGAGGACGAAGGTCGTGCAATGTGTCGACGTCTTGCGAAGGAGGAAGGACTCCTTGTCGGTACATCCACCGGTCTCAACGTGACAGCTGCCATTGCACTGGCAAAGCAACTGGGACCAGACAAGACGGTAGTAACGGTCGCGTGCGATACGGGACTTAAGTACATGCATAGAGACCTGTACGAGTAATGTAGTCTCTCTGCCAAAAATGCGATACCCGATGCTGCCATCTGCCGGCGTGCCAAGGGAGAAGTGGGTAAAAAAGCTCGGAGCCGAGATGATCACGGTAGGTGACCATCGGCACCATCCAAATTCTTCTAAACTTGGGACTACAAAGAAAGATCGTTACCTGAAGAGCGTGATCTAACCTAGAACGACGGTCGGTGGAGGCAGGCCGATGAAAGGAGAATTGAGAATACTTTAGCATTAACGAATACCTAAGCACGACTTCTAGGACACGGTTCGGTTCCTGAATGTTGGACGATCTGATATGCATGAGTTCGGTTCCGACTTTTCTGAAACAAGTCAGTCCACACATGCAATTCCCAGACTATGACGCGATTCAGCTAGAAGGACCGAACACAACGTTATTCTACGAGCGCATGATGATATGTATACTTCAATTTGCCTGCTTGCCTCCTGTATCCTCCCCTACAACCCATCTTCTTCTAGGCAGAACCATCATTCTGTTACTGTTCTTACTCTCAACATGGATTCCATTCATACCAAAACTCGACAATGGCAGAAGCCTTTAATTTGGTCAGCATGGTTGGCAGTTGTCGTTATCGCCATTGCGGGATCATATCTTCACCAGCGTCCGGAGAAAGGAACTCCTCGTTTCGACTTTGACCCGCGCTTCAAACTTCCCTCGCCTCCAGTGGATACGCCTTACTCAGACAAGGGCAATTTGATAGCCATGGTTCTGACAGGAGTCAGTGGACTTTTCGCAGTCGCATGCGGTGTCCGTGACGCCCGAATCACGCGCTCATTGTTACCGTTGGTCTTGCCTTTGAGTGGTGGCATGAATGTACTTTCAGAAACTATGATCGATGTACTAGGAGCTGTTTATTACCCTTGGCCTGAGAACTACGTTTCGTTCCATATTCTAGGACGCGAGATCGTCCCTTGGATCCCAATCTGGTTCGGTTACGCGTCGATAATGCAGCTGGGGCTCCAACTGCTGCATAAGAACGCGACAACTCGGGTGTTATGGGCATTTTTTGGATTGACGATGATCTTGGATCTGGTTCTCGAAGAAATCTTGCTTCCATTGGGGATATACGACTACTATGGAAACCAGCCTCTTATCGTACTGAACAAATTCCCTTGGTGGTGGATGGGGCCAAATGCCGTCGCAGTATTTTTGCCGACGGCTCTTGCGTATCGCCTGCGACATCTTCTGGTCAGCTGGAAATCTCTCGCAGTATTCTTCCTTACGCCAATGTCGGTTTGTGCAGCATACGGTCTGGTCGCGTTTCCAGCTTGGACTGCCATCAACGACGATTATAGTTGGTTTGTGAGGGACTTTCTCGGTCTTCTAACGTTGCTCCTCGCACCCATCGTGTTCTGTGGCATCTTGGAGATCGTATTGGGAAGGCACCCGCTCGATATGGACGGGACTGGGAACTCTGATCAGATACCACCGACTCCGGAAGAAAACATCATTACATATCGGGATGACTGCTAGAGTATCGTACTATTAATCTCAGAGGATGTTCAAGTTGCGCAGTATGCCCAGGAGTACTCTACTTGAACCTTAGACTGTTGAGAAAAGGACCGGTTGCAAACATGAGTTATCTGCCTCCCCTATCAGCTTTCTAGTTCGTAAAGAGAGATTAGTATCTTAAAGATGTCAACGGGCTTCACGTTCAAGTCATTCACGATGTTGAGTGCACACTGCTTCGAGGACTTGGTACTGATTGTTTAGCATTGCACCCGCGTATAGATCGGCGTTGCAGCGTTCGCGCCAATATTGTCATCCGGCGCTTCTGTTACGACCATATTCGAAACTCTGCCTCACTCTGACCTATGAAGTTCCCTTTACTGTTCCCTCAAATTAGACATCATTGCAGTTCCCACCCCACAGCAAGTCCTCTCCGTTCGGGCCCTGTGGCCCTGTGCTCCTGCAGCAAGGAGCCCAAGCGTTGATCATTTGGTTCAGCGTAAAGCCCAGGCCATCTGTCTGCAATCGACATTCGCCGTTCCTACCATCCCAACTACCAGGTCGATCCCTTCCGTCGGGGAAAGTTACCCCGGAGGTGTCAGTGCAGCAGATATTGGCGGTTCTGTCTGGATTGAGCTCGGCCGGCCCAGTGCAGTAGCAAGCGACGTTAGCCTGAGTAGGTTGTCAGCCACATTCGTTACATGTAGGTTCGCAAGAGGTTTTGGAGTGGCAACTTGCCTGCGCGATACCTGCGAGGACGAGGACAGTGGTGGCAAGTGTAAACTTCATAATTGTGTAAGAGTGTTTTCTCGGTCTATTATAGGAGTCGCAATTCAGTGAAGACAATTAGCTAGATGTTCAGGCGGAGGAGAACAATGCTTTATAGGCTTTCTCTATAGCCTCAAGACTGGTAGCATCTCAGGATGCACCAGACTATCCGCAAGCTGCCTAAGACTGACGTGAGCAATGGTCTGTTAAGCGGGCGTACCCAATTTACGGCCGTAAATCATATATACGAGTTGTGGATGTGGTTCAGATTCCGGACGTTACTCCGGTATGCTACTTTGCAGAGTCATATACCAAGTCGCGTTGCGCTACCTTGCGCTGTGTTTGAGTGTTCTGGCCTCTTTTGCTGCGCAGTTAACTGTTTTTCAAAGCTGTTCCCACGTCTTTTCGTCTGTTACTGCGCGGTCGGTGTATCATGTCCGACAAAGATGTCTTTTGCAGGTGCAAGGTTGTTTCTGTATGTTAGTGCTTATAGGACAGGAGTAGCTACCACAGCAAGGGTATGGATGTCTCTTGGCAGAGGTCCGCAGCATTCCGCGCCTTGGTAATGTAATAGGTCAATACCTGTCACACATCCTGGTTGCGGAAGAAGGAGAGACATGAGAGTTCCAGTCAAGGTCGTACTTCCGTTGCCAATGTCGACGCGTCACTAGCGTGTCATTAGCGCGCTGACATGTACATACTTCCGGCTCACCAAGAGACGGACGCGTCCCCGTCAAACATTCCGCGACCGCCCATCTCGAAAATATCGACACGACACTGATTGCAGCAAACCGTTGTGGATTGGAACTGCTCACTGACACCCGGCTGTCGCGGCGGCTGGAAGCTTGTCGCGCTGGGTCTTGATCGAGAGGGTGAATGAAGACCGATGCTAGGGCAGGGTCATTGGGAATAGTGCATGCCAAGAGCACTTATAGCAGAGTATTCGAACCGAAATTACCATGGGGAAATGCTGGTATAATGGACACACAAATAGTTTTCAGATGTATGTACATGTTCGACGGAGACGATTTCGCCGGAACCGATGACGTCGACCAGCATGCGTAGAGGGAACTGAAGAGCTGGGAAGCGCATGCGCATAACGCCCTTCATACGATATTTTGCGACATGTCGCGCATGGTTCTATGTACATGGAAATGGTCCCAACACCAGAGAATTATCGAGCGATCTTGCGGCTGCGCATCTCAGCCGTGGGTCTTGCTTGAGCCAGCTCCTCGAGGATCTGTCCCGCACAGTCTACCATTCGCTTTGCCGAGGGGCCTGGAAGCAACCTATACGATACCGAAACACCACGATTGTGGTTACACAGCAGGGCATCGGTTACACAAGCTCATGGCTAGTCTGCAGAGTTCAGTCTAGCGTGGACCGCCTCTTTACCCGCTCCCGTGCTGAGGTCCGGCGGCACTGCTTACGCATCATGTGTATGGTGTATCTATTGGTCAAAACAAATGTATGAGCTTCGTAAACCTTCCTCATCGATCTGATATTACGTTCGCGCATCCATCCGCTGAAGGTACACTTCAAAACGATCCCCCCTCGATGTTTGCTCTGTGAGCGAGACCTAGGGAGTTATGTTCCTTTGCCTTAGAATGAAGACATATAGGACACTGCCTGTTGCGTTTGCACTGATAACAGCGTTTGTAGCTTACGCAAGTGGATTGCCTACGCGAGATGAGATCGCTCAGTCTGTCTCTCAGCGTGCCAGAGCTGGTACCCGCCTTGTACTTGCAAGAACTGTCGCAACGTTGCTGATCATTTCATCTAGACTCTATCAAGCTTGAAGCTATTCCAAGCTCTGCTTTGACATCTGCTCTTGAGAACATCGCTGCTACGTATCTGGATGTCGAAGCACCCAAGCTCGCGCAGCACAGTGTTTCCAACCTCACCAACATCATTGACGTTCATGGTATGCCCTGCTTCGAAGCCTTGAACGCACATCTAACAAGCTCTCATAGCGCATTGTGTACCTGACTGGTTTCGTGCAATCGCTCCCACAGCCGGCGGAAATCCGACGCCATCATGGAATGTCACTGCGCATCTTGACTTCATGGCCAGCCAAGGCATCTCGCACTCGGTTCTGGCCTTCTCATCGCCCGGTGCGAACGTTTACCCAGGAAATGAAGCTGCCACCGCAGCGCTTGCTCGGCTGATTAACGAGCAGTCTGCAGCGTACGCTCGAGCCTACCCAAGCCGCTTCTCCTTCTACGCTGTCGTTCCGCTACCATATCCACAAGCCGCTATTGCAGAAGCAGTGTATGCGCTCGATACGCTCGGAGCTGCCGGCGTCGCGCTTTACTCCAACTTTGAGGGTCGATATGTTGGCGATCGAGCCTTTATGCCTTTCTTCGAAGCGATGAACGCGCGCGGTTCAGGCCAGATCATGTATATACACCCCACAACGCCATACATGCGTGTGAACGGCTCGCTTGTGGAAGCAAATCCTACTTTATACCCTACTGGCAATATCGAGTTCTACTTCGAAACGGCACGCGTGCTTCAAGATCTCGCAGTCACGCAGACGATCCTGAATTTCACGAATATCGACTACATTATACCACACGTTGGTGGCGCATTTCCCTCGGTTGCAGATCGGTTGTTGAAGTCGTTTCCAGCTATCTACAACCGTACGATGGACGCCTTGCAGACGCGCTTTTTCTGGGATTCAGCAGGCCCAACATATTTCCACCAAGTTGGTGGCCTTCTCGCGTATGACATACCAACAACAAATCTCTTGTTTGGTACGGACTTCCCGTATGCGCCAATCTTCACCTATGCCCCGTCCCTGCTAGGCATCGAGACCTCGACATTTGTGACCGATGCAGAACGTTCAGGAATCTTCTTTCGCAACGCGCAACGGCTTTTTCACGGCCGTTTCTCTTTTTGAGTGGTTACATAATGGCCACTTGTATACGCGTTGGTTCTCATAGACAGAAGTGTTTGAAACCACACTCCACTATGTGCTATGGATTTTGTAGCAATCGAGCTAGCCTTGGTAGTATCAATCGCTACATTGTACTGAGTTTACGCTTCATTAGACACTGTGTCTGAGGGTTGTCGCGCACCGTTTGTCGCCGCGCTCGCTTCCGTGTGAGGCTCATCTTCTTCACTATGCGGCTGAAAGTCGCAGTGTACTGTGAGAACGAACACCGTACTTCCTCTTATGCTACCCGCAACGTGGCTCTTTCCATCGACCGCGCGCATCGCTTTTGCTCAGTTGTATATCCGATCTCAACACTCTGTTCGCAACTCGAGGTGTGCTATGTGCATGTCCTACAGTCCTTGTGCGGGATACTTCCGATGGTGATGGCGGAGGCGTGTTAGTGCTGGAAGCAGCACCATTTATGTATCCTCTGATGGGTGTGTTACGTTATGAGAGGTGCTCTTCCAGGAAAGATATGTTGATATGCTCGCTTATGCAAGCTCTTCATCGCGCTTCGAATTTTACTGTCGCGAAGAGATGTGGTGCCTTTGGATTTTTGTTCTCCTGTATCCATTCCACAGCTGTCTCCCAGAGCATCTCTAGTTCACTTTCCTCGAGACCGAGTTCGTAAGCTTCATCGTCGGGCGCGTTCTTGTTTGCCTTGAGCATCAGCGTCACTCCCTGTCGATCAAGATCATCCACATTTTTTCGTTTTACGGCCCATTGATGAAAGGCTTGGTAAAAGGCTTCTCCCGTATCGCTTGGATCGAACGACATCTTTATTGGTGTTTTGTCCCACAAACCGATTACATAAAGTTGGCCGTTTGAGCCCTCTTGAGTTGCAAGGGGGGTAATCGTTTGTGTTGGCTGACCACGGTCTACATGCTTCGGCTGAGTAGCCGAAGTAGATGGGTCAGCCGTGTGCATACGTTGATTGTCGCGCATGGCCTGCACACGTTCGTATGTCCGTTGGACAGCAGGCGGTGGTAGAGAGGATTGTTGATAGGCATACAAGGGCGCCGTAGGCGCATGTGGAGGTGGTGTTGGGTCGAGTTCTTCTACTCTTCCAAAGGGTTGTGGATAGCGCGCTTGCGGTGATTGTGCATCTTGAACGTCTTTCGTCATTACAGACGGGTCAGCGTGTTGAACGCAGTTCCTGCAGATTGTAGACTAACCTGAGGGAAACTGGGGTTCCATAGCTCCATCGGATCCCCAAATGACATCGCAGTCGAGCGATCTCGCTGGGACGATGTAGAACGTGTCCACATTTGTAGACCAGTCATTGGGACGGTGCCAGGTGAGGTTGACGGCGAACCTCACATTTTCCCATGTCTGGCGACCGGATGAGTGATGCACAGGCACCACCGACTCATCCACCACAAATTTACCTGCACCTAGGCCGCGACCGTATGCGACTTGGTCTTTGATCAAGTTGTATTTCCCTGTCGCGCGCCTGGAAAATACTGGTACATCTGTGCCTTCGTCGTCGCCTGATAGAAATAATATCTTTTCTATGCCCGCAGCAGCCTTGCTGGAAGCATGCGACTTGACTGAGCCTGCGCTGTTGGATGGAGTGTCCAAGCTGTGCTTGGCATTCGAGATGTTCTGTCGGGCCGCTCCTGAGGGTTGAGAGACGTTACGATGGTGCGAACGTGTCGGCAAGGGCCCATGGTGCTGCTCAAATGTCGTATCAAGCCTTGCTGGGGAAGGATCGTGTTGCCCTATGTACTGCTCGGCGTCTGTGCGAATATCCTTGTTCTGGAGGTAATCCACCAAAAGCTCGATGGCCTTTGTACGATAACTGTCGACAAGCTTTTGCGCTAATGTTACGCGATCGCCCATGTCGTGCAGTGAGAGGCAACCTCGTCGCAACCAGCCTGGTACCCGCGCGCCTTCAGCATGCGCTGTAACACTGGGGTGAGCGCTCGGCCAATGCAGCGCTCTATCTGAGAGCCATCATCCCTAAGAGCGCCGACAATGCTGAGGATTTAGTAAAGGTTCAGTTTCGTGTAACTGAGAAGAAGCCTGTGCGCCTGAGTGTTCGCATGAGCCCTGCTGCACGACAGGAGGATTTAGTGGGGCAGATCTCAAGCCTGAACATCATCAGCACGACAGGACCTGGCAGGGGTGGCGCTCGTTCTTGTGAGACGCTATGCCTCTCTCACTTGACCGGTAGCGACGCGGCAAATCGTCTGGATGGCGGGACGAGCCACGTGATAGTGATCCCCGCGATCAAGCTAATCAACGGTGAGCGTCCTGTAAGAGCCCTCAGAACCAAACATGCCGCTTTTGATACGGGCGTGAGCCGGGGGGCTCGGACAGCCTTCACATACAGCGTGGCCCCCAGCTGAGCGCCTTCATTCACCCGTTCCTTACGCTTTGGATCCCGGCGCTTCAAAGATGAGTATGTTCTACGGAAGCGGTGCCAGTCATTCCAATCGTTCCTCGAAAGATAGAGCTGGGTCATCAGCATCTGCCATTGGTCGTCTTACAAATGCCAAAGAAGTGGCACACATATCAGCCGTTGTTGGGAATGGAGCCCACGACAGTGCGCTACAAATTAACGGACATGTCGCAGATAAGATCAACCACGTCAACATGTCAGTATTTTCTCCACCACCTTCAAGAAAGCTTCTAACGTCTCCGTAGTAACTACTTTTTTATCTCTTGTCATGGCGCCGGCGTAAAAGCTGTGGCGAACGCAGGATCAGCCCCTCTACTACCCACTACCACGCTTGTACACCCTCGTCTCTCAGTATCGACGGAGCGTTCAAATCGCTTCAACATTGTTAGTTAACAAACATGTCTCACACTTTCAGTCACTGACGTCAGGGAAGATTGAACAAACAGAGATTCCATCTTTGAAAAAAACGAAACGGAACATAAAACTCTTGTCCAAAGTGACTGGAGAAACCGAAATCGTTTGCGTTATTTCGTCTCGGAAGGTAGAAGGCAACTTCATTTCCCAAAAGATAGTCGATCGTTTGGGTTTCAGAGCACATTCCGATTCTACGATAGTAGGCTCCGTCACTTGGGACTCGAGACAATTTTGTTCCACTGGCAGAGTCGTGGATCTTTTGATCCTAATGCCAGGTAGCGCTAAGAACATCGAGCAACGATTCCATATTTTGAAAGACTGTCCTTTCGATATGCTTCTTGGGATGCTTACAACAAGACCTTCCGTTCGTTGATACCTACAATATGTGTTCAGTCTTTCAGCGTGGGGCACACAAGCGTAGGCACAGTCTTTGTCATTCTGTTAGCATAGAGAACATACCATACAAATAATGTAATTACCTTACATGAAACCCTACACGTGGAGAAGACCGCCTACATACTCCGCAACCGCAAGCATCTTCTCTTCCTGCAGTCTCCGTCCAACAAGCTGCACACTAACATGCGCACCGTCGTAGATCTCCGGGTCATAATCATCCTGGATTCTCTTATCCTGCTCGTCAATCGCTTTGTAACCCTCGTCCTTCTTGTCAACACTCTTATCTGCATTTGTGACCGGTACAACAACACTTGTGTAATCTAGCGTGTTCACCCACGTCGAGTAGCCATAGTACTTGTACTTCTCTTTCCTCGCAGCAGGGAACGGCGCAAGAGGACAAATGATCGCATCGACGGGCCTACCAGTACCCGTTTTGTCAACGGTGCTGTTCCAGTACTCCATGTACTCCTTCTTCAAGCGGCGCACCTCGACGTTTATAGCAGCGATCTCGCTGGCAGTGTACTCTTTTTCAAGGGATTGGTAAAACGAGACCTGAGGTGCCATTGGCTCGCCTGAGAGCGCAAATGCGGAACGGACATCTTTTCCTGCATCGTAGATCCACGAGTTGAAACCAGTATCGTTGATAGTGCGGTGAGAAGGTGGTTGCCAGTCGATGACTTCGTGTCCAGCGGAGCGCAAAGCTTTGACAACCATTTCGATCGCGCGGCTGACGGGTGGGTGGGGGTTCACTATGCCGTCTGTTCGTAAGACGCCGAAGCAAAGCTTCTTTGCAGACTTAATCTCGGACTCTTGATCGGCACGCCAGGGCATTTCATGGACTAATGGGTCGTGAAGCCAAGGTTCTTGTTGGAGGAGGGCTTGGGTGACGAGGCGTAAGGAGGCTGCGTTGGTCGCGAGAGGTCCGACTACTGAAAGAACAGTGTTTTGACCTTCCATTGAATTTGCCATGCCTTCGTATGGCAGGCGACCAGTAGAGGGGCGGAGGCCATACAGTCCGTTGAAGGCGGCGGGGATACGGATGGAGCCGCCAATATCAGTACCGAATCCTACTGGCGCTGCAACACGTTAGATGATCCTATTATTGGGCCCAAAACAGCAGAAGCTTGAGCTTGTTTGTGCCATGTAACGAGACAGCCGACTTACATCCTCTGATACCAATCAATGCGCCTTCACCGCCTGAGCTACCACCAGCAGTCAAATGCCTGTTCTTCGGGTTAAGTGTATACCCAATGATATTGTTGATGGTCTCGCCACTCATAAGAGTATGCGGCACACTCGTCTTGCAGTATAACACAGCCCCTGCATTCCGCAGCATCTTCACCATCTCACTTTCGAAGACCTTCTCTTTACCAGTACCCTTCTTACCTTCGAAGGTGCCGATCCAGCCTACGTAACCCATACTGGTCTCGACATCTTTGACATGAAACTGATCTTTGAGTGAGATAGGTAGGCCATGAAGAGGCCCAAGTGTCTTCTTGTGTTTGGCATAGTATGCATCTAGGGCCTTTGCATCTTGAATGGCAGCATCGAAGAAGATCTCATGTAGGCAGTGTAGCTTCCTCGTCAGCATATTTCGCTCGACTTATGTGGTATGCGACGTACTAGCTGATGCGCCACGGCAGCTCGGTGACAGAATGCCCTCGTGACCTCCTCAGCGGTCCACTTTCCCTCAGCCACTGTCTTCGCAGTAACGTCCGCGCTGCTTTCTGTGATCTCGAGCTCTTTCTCGCTGAAGTACTGCTTCACGTATTCGGTGACATCAACTTGTTCCTCTACAGACGGCAACTTCTCTAGTCGCCATTCTTTCGGTATAGCGGCCAAGATGGCCTCGCGCTTCTGCGTTGCTGTTTCTTCCCAAGATGATGTCGTCATGGTATCGAGTATAGAACTAGTTGTATGTAAGATTGGTTGACAATATGTTTGCAGAGGGAAATATGTCCAAAGAAATGCTCTAGGGCGCCTTGCGCATAAGAGCGGCTCCGGACTGGAAATAGACAGCTTCGGGAATGACGTTGAGCGTTGGCAGGCCGTTGATAGCTTTGGAACTATCCAGTGGCTGGGTGGGGTAGCTCTGGGGCATTTGATCTAAGCACCTTCCATATCAGCGTAGCTCCACGCTGAATAACATCAAGCCAGGCAAGAGCAATGCAGGGCACCTTTTTGCCGATGCGCATGCCGCAACGACATGAACAGGAGGGGTAGCTACGACTGGGTGGAGTTTGGAGCTGGCATTAGGTCACGGATACGATGTTCCGCCGACCAATCTCCACTCTCGGTAATTGGGGTAACTCCAACATGAACCCGTACCTCACTTCCAGATACAACTTGTTCTCTGTATCTTGAAACGTTGACTTGTTTTCGCTACATAGGTATCTGCAAACAATGGCAACAAGGAGAAGTGATGAATGAATTTCAAGCACGGAAACGTTCAGGAGAAAGACGCCATCCCATGCGTGAAAGCAAGCAAGGTGCTGGATGCTGACCGCTCAAACAGGACTCGAACATGTTCGCTGAGGTAACAATAAGCAAGGTATACCAGTCTATGTGGTTAGAAATCGTGGTATCTTCCGATGGAACTTTGTCGACCAAGAGGATTCGTTATGGATATCGCACACGCATTAGGGATAAAGACCCTAGACAGTCTCGACATAGTTGCTGTGACAAGTCAGTGACTACTCAACATTTCGGCGCGAATGCGACGTACCTTGGGAAGATGCCTTCTCTGTTCCCGACTCTGCCTGTCCACCAGTCTGTCTCGTTGTCTGTCCTCTTCAGAATCGTGATGATCTCGCCCTTCTTGAAGCCCAGATCGCCCGGTTGGTCTGCGTCAAAGGTGAACTTGGCAATCGCCTGGTCGGATTGTAGCCCCGCCTTCTTCTGACCCGTTGTTTGTCCAAATACTGGCTTTGGAGCTGTCGGTCGGCCGGGCTTGCGATCGCTGTATGAGTAGTCGTCACCAAAAGTGGAGGAGCGGTTCCGTGTGTCCATGCGGTCGAATGTCTCGTTGGGGTTCGCGCGCGTGGAGAAGGATCGACCGAGGGGTGCTGAGGATGGTTGTCGATCGTAAACGTCATCTTCCCAGCCAGATGAGCGTTGTGGTCGGTCTCTGTACTCGTAGTCGTTGTTTCCTTGGCCTAGAGAACCTGTACGATCCCTACGTACGCCTTCGCCCATTGCTGAACCCTGGCGCCCTTGCCATACTACATTGTCGCGCGAATCGTCGTAGACGGGAATGTCGTTGTACATGGCATCGTTCGTAACGTTCTGGGCTCCTCCGACGCCAGCAAAAACTCTCGAGTTGAGTACCTGTAGGAGCGGGGCGGCGGCTGGTGGTGGGGGAACCTGTCCGCTGAGAATCTCGCGCGCAGTCCATCGGCGGCCGTACAGCTTCTCGTTGGCGTCTCTCCGCTCGATGATACCGCTTCCCTCCAGACTGACACCCGCGAAAAGTCCCTTGGTCTTGCTGTAGCTGAAGATGCCCGCTACGCCCTTCAAGCTTGCCGCGCCGGCAGCCTCGGCATTGCGACCAACTGGCCCCGCTGCAATAGAGACGTTGCCACCGAGTGTCAAAGATCCTGCCTGCGCGAATGTACGCACTGCCGATGCATCGTTCAGGATGAAGACGAAGTCGGTGAGCTCGAAACCAATTTGTCCGCCGAAGCCGCCGCCGATGGTTCCGATGGCTGTGGGCGCCGACCACGATCCGTCAGCGAGACGAGCGACAACGACACCTGAACCAAATCGCGCTGTGCCGAGGAAGCCAGCTTTGAATACTGTGAGAATCGCGAGACCCTAGACGCGTGTTAGCAGCCCATCCAGTATTTGCTTGGGCAGCATCGACAGACGCCGGATGCGCAGGAACACTCGTACCTTTGCATTGGCGAGAACATTCGGGGGAATAATCTTGTCGGGTCCAAAGGCTTGTCTGGGGTCGACAAAGGATGCTAGAATCTTTCCTGTCTTGCGACATTCGCCTGGGGGAGCAGTTGTCAGCGACGTCACCGGCCCGCAAGCGGCGCATAAACAAAGTGGGCTGTTAGCAACTTACTGCTCATGGAAGAGGGCAGGGGGTTGTTGAGACTGAAACCCATCTTGGCGCGTGTGTGTGGGGAGAGAATAACAGAGAGTTGGGGTATATAGGAACGGGTTGCGGAGAAAAGAGCGCGGCCAGTTGCTTATGCTGCCGATGGAAGGAAGCATGGCGGGCGGTATTCAGCGGGCATTATGTCATTTGCTGTGGCTGTGCCTCGCACACGACGCGTCCGCCCTTGGCTTGCCATGGCCTTGAACTTTCCACCACTTTCGCCCACGTCGCAGCTTCGCCATAGGGTGTGAGCCTGCACCGGATCGCGCACCAGTCACCTAGTCGTCGTGTGTAATGTCGCGATTGGGCGTTCAATCTGCTATCTTCGCGAGACGCGTTCACGCTCAGCCCGACTTGGGAAACAACACTTGCGACACATCAGACGTTGCCACTTTTCAAGTCTTAACAGCCCAACTCATAGATCATCAGCGCACACGTATACCATGTGGCAGCGTACTGCGCCACATAGCCTTTCACATCGCATCTGGGGGAGTTCTGTCGCCTTCCAGCCCGACTGTCGCACCGGATCATCAAACATCCCGCGTCTCCACCCGTGAAGGGTGAAGGTTATTGTTGTACCCAGTTTCACTGCTTACGGAAGTTATAGGGAAACATATGGGAGTCCATGTCCGCCGTATGTTTACTTACTGATAAAGCTAGCTGTTCTCAGATCCCTCCTACAGACGTATCAAAGCCTCACGAGAGAGTGGCTGGGAGAGTCGACGTCCTGTACATGCAAGCGACTGATATCGAGATGTTCACAGAAGCCTTGCAGGATATCATATCGCGTTCCTCGTCCATATACACAATCCGACGTTCATGACTGGCTCGCCCCCAGTTTAACCAAAAGACCGACTTGGCAGACCTCACTCTACAAATGAGCAACTCGAAGCGAAGCAATGTCAGCACTGTATACTTACGCCCTAGCGCTCATACACGCCCTGGCGTATGTCTTTGCGCCCTTTACTTTTACCGATAGCCTGTATAACCACCATGATACTGCTGCCCTCATATATAAACAGAAATCCTTTACATGGCATGGGTGAACGAACACAAAATGTCGACAACTCAGACCATTATCCCGTTGGAAAGCCTCTCCTCCGACAAGCACTCACAGACTCGCCTTGATGCAAGTGGAAATGACTCAACCGGTCTTGAATCTCTTTCCGATCCGCAACCTCCACCCTCTGCCACAGAAGCAATCCCCAATGGAGGCTATGGCTGGACTGTGGTCGCCTCATGTTCTTTCCTGCTCTTCTGGATTAACGGCTACACGACGGCCTGGGGCGTCCTGCAAACAGCCATCCTGAAATCACCCAAGTTGAACACAAACGTGCGTACCATCACTTTCGTTGGCAGCCTGTATATGGCTTGCATGGTCGCTTTTGGCATTGCTTCGATAAGAGTTATGAGATCCTTCGGCGTGCGGTACACTGCTCTTACTGCCACGACAGTGTTTGGAGTGGGGTTAATTGCTACGAGTTTCACGCTGGACCATGTTGGTGGGCTGTTCTGCATCGCAGGGTTGCTGGTGGGAGTTGGTACATCGCTGCTGTACACTGCGACAAACAGTCTGCCACTCCAGTGGTTCATCTCGAAACTTGGTATTGCGAACGGCATTGTCAAGGCTGGTGGTGGTGTAGGTGCCACCGTACTGCCCCTCGCAGCGCAGGCACTCATCGATAAATTCGGACTTGAGTGGACATTCCGCGTCCTGGGTATCCTTATCATGGCCACTGGAATACCATGCACTCTATTATTGAAGGAACGTGCGACCACTGGAACGCTCTCCCGATTCGATTGGTCGCTCTTGAAGAACGTTCCCTTCCTTACGCTGACCATGGCCGGTGCCGTTGGCGTCTTTGCTCTCTTCGTGCCACCGTTCTTCTTGCCACTATTTGCAAGTTCAATCGGTCTGTCAGCGTCGACTGGTGCGGGTTTAGTGGGCGGATTTGGTGCTGCGACGGCAGTGGGTCGTATCCTGGGTGGATTGACTTGTGATAAGATCGGCAGCTTCAACACCTTGATGATCACTTGCTTGGTCAATTCGGTCAGCATGCTAGCCATCTGGCCAGTGAGCACATCATTGCCACCTCTCTTTATCTTCGCTCTTGTCAATGGATGCGCGAATGGAAGCTTCTTTGTCAGTCTGCCTACTGCCGTTGCTGTCGTAGCTCCGCACTCTGCTGCAGCGTCGATTGCTTTGATGGTATTTTTCTGGACCTCAGGCTACCTGTTAGGAGCTCCTCTTGCCGGGCTGTTGATTGAAGCTACAGGTGCGGCAGATGCCTCATCGATCGAACCGTATCGGGCTGCTATCTTCTACGCCGCTGGGACTGGTGTTTTAGCGACACTTCTTATCGTCATTGCACGACTACGATTGGACACCAAGGTGCTAAAGAGGCTGTGATGGCGCGTTCGATGCGCTGCAGATTCGGTCGCAAGTGTCACTATAACAATGTCTAATTGCATAGCGAATATAGCAATGCCACTGAGCTATCTAAGTTCCTGGTTCGATGTTATACAGCTCGCGTAACATCTCCTCTCTCGCATCTTCAGAAGTCCAGCACATCTTTATAGCATTCTCCGCCAGCCTTTGAATTTCTAGATTTGTAAAGCCACAGTACCTCTTCACCACTAGCAAATTCTCCAGCGCCCATGTGTCCTCCATAAACGCTGGATCGTCGCTTGCAATAGCAATCTTGATGCCAGCGTCGAAGAGAGTTCGAATTCGCTGGAAAACCTCGTCCATTGGTTGATGGCGGATGTACGACCAAGGACAGATTGTCATGCCGAGGTCTTTTCCCTTGATAAGAGTCATGAGATCTGTATCGCTAGCAGCATTGAGTCCGTGGTCGATTCTATCGGCCCCTGTGCCTGCAATACTCGTCGCCACCTGATGAATGTGTTCGAGAGGATAGGGCTTGCCAACATCGCAGTGCGCCGTAAGACGGAAGCCATCATTCCTAGCTCTTACAAAGACTTCATCAAATAGCGATGGTGGTCTATCAACTTCATTGGAGTCGAGGCCAATTCCTACTATCATATCGCGGTATTTGAGTGCTGCGTCATAGTGTTCCATTGCGGACTCTGGTGTTTCATCCCGAAGGAAGCACATGATCCAAGCAGACTTCACCTACAGTATATTGTGAGCAAAAATGTTTCCGAAGGGAGATAAAGAGCTTACGTTGAGGTCCTGCTCAGCTTTCCGCTGCGCTGCTCGGAAACCTTCCATCATCATCTCCCAACTCGTCCCAACGCGCGTATGGCCTTGCGGATCAAAGAAAATCTCTGCATATCGCACGTTCGTCGCTGCTGCATGTTCGTAGTAATCCATAGCAAGATCATAATAGTCCTGCTGAGTCTTGAGGGCCTCAAAGCCACCATAGTAAGCCTCGAAAAAGGACAAAGTCTCTTCACTGTTGTCCATGCGGTTCCCCGTACGCGGCTTTAAGGTGTCATGTGAATCCCGAAGCTCAGCAAGTGAAGAGAAGGATTGACCGGTTCGTGGGTTGATGATTGGTTGGCCATTCCGCTGCGAGAACTTCCACTTCAGATCTGCACTTATGATACCTTCTATGTGAATGTGGAGTTCGACTTTTGGGATTGCGGCGATGTATGGGTCTTTTGTAGCTGCCAGGGAGCGCCTCAGTTCCCCTCGTTCTGCTACGGAGAGCGCATTCTCTACGTCCGTCATTGTAGTCGTGATTTGATGTTTGTTAAAGTGATTCGAGTGTATAGTCAGGAAATGCGATTTCAGGAGGATAACAGTACTCAATCCAAGATCTGATTGCCAAAATATCGCTACCAATATATATGAAAGGTGATCTGATGACTGTGTACATATTCGGTGACTCAGCGTTAGGCCCTGCGGCTGATCATTGTACCGATCAACCGAGCTGTTAGGTGGAATATCACACGTTGAGCATGTTGACTTTGCGAATAAACAGTCATTGTACAGGTCTACCTAGAGCATCTGATGATGAGCCAGTACCTCACATAAAGTGAATAAGGTGCACGTGCGCGGATTTATCGTATAGTCAGACAGGATGGAAACTTGGTGATCACTATGGCATATGCGATGAAGGTAGCAGGAATAATCTTCATAAAGCGTCGTATTAATTAGGTAATTATAACCGGTGGTAGAACATACCATACAGCAGGTTTAAGAGCCTACAAATTCTAATATCTACAAAGCCAAAGCAACAGCACCGAAGACAATAGCCATAACACCACCAGCGACGTTGTCGGCAGATGCAGCACCAGTGAACTCGACAGAACCAGTGGAAGTGGCAGTTCCGTTACCGGTAGGTCTAGCAGCGCCGGTGCCAGTTGGCTGCATGGGCACGGTACCGTTCATCATGCTGGATGGGTGCACCGCGCTCATCATGCTAGATGGCTGAACGGGCATGGCGCTGGATGGCAGGAAACCTCTGCAGAGTCCGCCGCTGCAGATGTTGTAGGCACACTGCGCATCGCTGGAGCACTCAGCGTTGAAGTTACCGCAGCGGGCAATCAACATGGCATTGCTAGCCCAGCAGTCCACACCGTTCGCGCATTGGCTTGGGTTGACGTAAGGGTTGCATTCGGCGCCGAGGGGCAGAGATCCAGCAGGGGCGACGATGGTTGATGAAGGAGCAGGCATTGGGCCCGGTGCAGTCGGTGTAGTGGTGATCGTTGCTGACGCCGAGGATGATGAGGCCGAGGAGGAAGCGATGAAGCCGTTGCAAAGACCTTGCTCAAGGTTGCATGTGTTGAAAGCACACTGCTGGTCGTTTTTGCATGCGGCCTGGAAGTTGCCGCAGACGGGTTGGAGCATGGAGTTGACTGCGTAGCAGTTGGCGCCGAGTGCGCATGGTGTACCGTTGGGGTCGCAATTCTCGCCAACGGGAATGAGGGTGCCTGTGGGAGATGCGCTGGCTGGAGAGGAAGAGGACTGCGCTGAAGCGAATGAGGCAGCTGCGGCCAGAGTAAAGATGGTGTAACGCATGATTGCTGTTGTGGGTGTTGATTTGTGATTAGAGTATATCAAGATGCTAAGATATATGAAGCGAGTGTTGTAATAGTCTGGTAATGAGCTGGTGATGAAGGTGTTGCGAATGAGGACGAGCTGACTATATACCTACCATTCTCGTGTTTATGCGAAGTTTAAGCTGTGGTACCTCAATAGCTTTGAGCTGATAGTTCAGCTAGCACCTAGCGCTCGTAACCAGCCTCCCGATTCGCCACATGACGCCGGCTACACGGCCGCTTCGCGAATTACGATGCTCAAGTGGCCGAAGCCACCTCCGCATACACGATCCACGTCCGTGCAGCAAGACTCGACTTGCGTATTTTTAGGATTTATAGTATAGCGTTGTCGGGTTGTCGCAGCTCGGCCGCTCGGAGTGGCGCCGATATGAGCCGAGTGACTCCGATCGAACGTTACTATGGAGATTCATGTTTGTGCTTGAAATCATTCAGGTTCTTCTTGTTCTCGACGTCGCAATATTATTGCTATTTACGTACGTCAAGGCTCGTTTTTGGTAAGCGTCTGGTCTTGCGTTCAATGATGTGATGCGCAGTGGAGATGGAAGAAGCAAGAGTTATCCCTGGACGGACCACAAATGTGGAGTTCAATACCTTGCAGTTGGCCGATCACCCCAACCCTTGGGCCCGTTCTCCCAGCCTTCTTCCCTAAACACCAAGCATCTTGGGCTTCCGTCATCGTCTGACCATGCCCTGAACATGCCTCCGCAATTGAAATCTTGTACAACGTTAACTTTGTTGCCGACAAGCTCTATACCAATGATACCGCCGGTGCCTTCATGGGTTACGCCCCAACGCTTTCCAGCAGATCGTTGAAGCTGACCGTCGGGTCCCGCCATCCACGTTGTCGCATCCGAGAGTGATGTCGCAGAGAATTGTGATCTAGCAGCTGTGGTGCGAGCTGCGCACGTACGAAGGAATGAGTCGCCATTGCCGGTCCCTGATAGACCTACAGCGTGACGTGTCGACACGGGCTTCTCGTATGGTTTGGTGGATGACAACACATTCCCTCGTACCGTGGGCGATCTGAGGAATGGTATACAGTCGTCTACTATGCCGCGTATATCGCCTCTCGATAGTTTGTCGATCGGCGAGGCAGGAGAAGCAGAAGGTTGGTACACCATCTGCGGTCTAACGGTCTTTTCATCGTACCACTCTCCAGCCCAAAACCCTGCGCCAATAGTCGGTGTATCTCCAACGCGCCCAGGAACTTTGTTCGTCAACCCGCCTGTTGAGGTTGCCGTGCAAACGGTACCAAAGCTATCCACGACCACTGCACCACAAGTTCCAAGCGGAATATAGTTGTCTTTCTCCCAATCACTCATCTCATTCATGCTCATACCCATCTCGGCCTTCTTCTTCTCATCTGCAAGTCCGCGCTGATGTTCATCCCATCTCTTTTGTGTGAAGAAGTAGCCTGAATCTACAATGTCAAGCCCCCATTTCTTCGCGAGTCCTTCGACAAACTCTCCGCTGTATTGACAATGGTCGGCTGCACCACCGCCATCCGCTTCCTCACCACGGATGAGCAATTCTCGTGCTAGCTTGATTGGGTTTCGGACATGCCTGAGCAGCATGCATCCGACACCTCGTTTGCTGTACCCATCTGAAACCATAATGCTGCATTCAAGTTCGTTCTTGCCTTCGCGTGTAAAGACTGCGCCTTTACCGGAGTTGTATAACGGGTCGTCCTCTAGGAGGGAGACTGCATACGTGGCTACGTCTAGCGCTGTTGAGCCTGGCCTACGTAGAAGTTTCTCAGCTTTGTCAAGAATGTTGAGAAGCGACGTGCGGTATTCATTGTAACGATCACGAGGAATGGACGTGCGCGTTATGTTGCCCGCACCGCCGTGGATGATGATGCGAGGGCTGACAGGCGATGCGGCGTTTGCACATGGGACACGCTGTTCAGTCATGGTGTATACTTGGGCAGCTCTGGAACTATTCAGGTTTCTTTCACAGAGAAGCAGATAGTTGAGATGAGGTCTGTAGCCGTCTGAGTCTCAAAGTACCTAGAAGAGATAGCGATCGAGCCAAGAAGGGTTTAGCGTCGGCTTCCCCACCTTCTTCTCCAGGGATTCTCGCAATCTCGATCTTCGTAGGGATAGTCCCTCTTCTATTGCATCACCACAAGCAACACTCTAAGACTCGCTTCTCTTTACCACTCGAGATTCGCTATGCGATTACTCAACACGTCTACGTTACAGGTGGAAGAGTTCCTGCAGAGCGAAGTGCCCGATTACGTTATCCTCTCGCATACTTGGGGCTCTGAGGAGGTTACTCTGCAAGATATTCTGTCGAATGTAGCGCCATCGAAGAAAGGGTTTGCGAAGCTTATCGGCTGTTGCAAAAGAGCTAAAGACGATGGCTTCACGTACTGCTGGATTGACACTTGCTGCATCGACAAAACCTCGAGCGCTGAACTATCGGAGGCGATCAACTCAATGTACCAATGGTACAAAGGAGCCTGTATCTGTTACGCATACTTGGAAGACGTGCAAGGCAACCCGCAGCTAGACGACTACAAAGCGTTCAGCAAATGTCGATGGTTCACACGTGGGTGGACCCTGCAAGAGCTCATTGCTCCTGGCATTGTAGAATTCTACAACGTATCATGGGTAGACATAGGGACACGAAGTAGCCTCCAAAAGAGACTAACGGCCATAACTGGTATCAACGAGAAGATACTTACTGGTGGAAATCCTCTCAACTGCCCAGTTGCAGTAAGAATGTCTTGGGCTGCGCGTCGAGAAACCAGCCGGGTTGAAGATCAGGCTTACTGCCTTTTAGGAATCTTTGGTGTGAATATGGCTCTTCTTTACGGAGAAGGCCATAGGGCTTTTATAAGACTCCAGGAAGAGATACTTCGCATTGATGAAGACTACACCCTGTTCGCGTGGGATATAAACTCATCGACAGGAAGCCTTTTGGCCAGTTCGCCTTCGCAGTTTCGTACCTTTATGCCCAGATCTGACTTACTGTTTGACGAACTCGAAGACTCTACCCAGGTGCATGATCGCGACAACCTATCAAGAACCCCTTTCTCGTTACTTCCTCCTCCGCATGATTCCAGGCCTCCGCAAGTAACTAGCCGCGGTATCCATATTACATTACCAATCCTGCACTACCAAGAAAACACGTGGCATGGCTTTCTTGCCGTGATAAGAATCGTACCAAACCAGACGTATCTCTTGTGCGTCGAGTTGTCACAGATAGGCAATGGAGAGAATCGATACGAGAAGACTTATCGACACCAGGGTAGTCTTGTACTCCGGCCTGGAAGCACTGTGGATGAATTTCGATACACGTCCATATACGTAAATCCATCCGTGGCCCATTTTGACGAAGCTTTTCCCGCCGATCGTGAAAATTGGCATCCTTCGATAGTCCGAGTTGAGCTAGATCCAGCTGTACTATCCGGAATTGCATGCATCAGTTCTAACATGATCAACCTGCAATCTCTATACAAACAAAAGCCGAATTCTAAACCCTCGAATACCAAAACCACATTCCGAGGAATCAGTCTAGCGGAATTCGATATCGCACCAGTCCGCCAACAAGTCTTTCTAGACAAACTCAGGACGATATCAAAATCTCTGTGTAAAGATGGTAGGGATACTAGAACAACAATGACTGATCTGCCGCATGTATACTACGGCTCGGCTTCCTGGGGTGGAGCCGGCAGTTTTCGGTTCCATTTTAGTCAGACCGTCTTTCTAGATCTCGACTTCCCATACGGTTTGGAAGGCGAGCCTTGTTTCACTGCCGAACTTAAGTTTGCGGGGAAACGTGGATCCATACCTAAGACTGTACAAGGACTGGATATAAGCAACGCATCGGACCGTGCGACTCTACAGGTCAGAGACGCGACGACTGGAGGTGACAAAGGACTGCATATCAAGATAGCTATGCGACGTGTAGCAGCATTGGCTATTGCACCCAATTCGAGGCACTTCGTTCTTATACTCAGTGAAGAGCACATGATGAAATGAGGAAGCTCCAAATTGAAAACGACTGTTATAGATTATTCTCTTACGAGTGGTTATGCTGCTTCGTTGTATTAATAATTGCATGTCTCTTGTACTATATAGTAAACGAATATCTCATGACCAACGCAGATAGCTACAACTATGATTTCCAGTTGTGACTATCATGATTAGATGATGGCGTGGTAGCGTACACAGGCGATATCACTCGAACATTATGTTAGCGTATTTCCGCCACCATGCCCCAGACCTGCATCGTCTCCCGTCCTGTTCACATCCGGCTCATCTTTTTTATCCCTCACTTTCTGCACTTCGTCCGCTGGCCCCTCATACCCAATAGCCTTCAACCACTGAGGATCAATGTTCCCCAACTGCAGGTACGGACTAACATCAGCCTCTGGAAACTGCTTGTTACGCATCGCATAGCCCATACCCAGGTGTGCCCAAGGATTCTTGTGCATATACTGGATATCAAAGTCTTCGTATCGCGGAGTCTCGATCACCTCAGCATATTGATTTGATGAACCTGGCCAGACGGCATTGACTCGCCCGGTGTCGTTGTTCTTATACCAGGATCTACAGTCGTCTTTCCAAACTGTGTGCTTGATCCACTCTTGCGCATGCTCGTTGAATTGATCTGTGATATCTTGTCGTGGAACCCATGACTTGATGTGGTCGCGTTGCATCTTTTTGATGATTTGGATTGTGTACTCAGCAACTGCCAGTAGAGGGCCGGTGACTGAGCCATTTTCTACAGGCCAGGTTGGTCCGATGAACATCAACCAGTTGGGCATATCCGGACATGCGAGACCGAGGTAGCCTTCAGGCTCATTCTTCCACTTTTCGTAGAGGTCGACGCCATTTTTGCCGATGATGGGGAAGCGTGGACGGTAGGTTACATCGAAGCCAGTTGCGCAAACTATTGTGTCGACTTCGCGCTCGATGCCGTCCGCGCCAACCACACCCTTTTCAGTGATCTCATTGACAGCTGTGAAGTGAACATCGACGTTTGGCTCCTGTATAGCCTTCATATAGGGATCACCTGGGGTTATGCGTCGGCCTGCAGCAGATCAGTGACCAGTTCCAGCAAGTATCGGATGAAACTTACAGCCAACTTCAAACTTTGGCGTGAAGCCTTCCAAAAGCCGCTCATCCTTGAGGAACTCCTTCATTCGTTCTCTAAACAGGACTTGAGCGTCCTTCTGCGATTGACTTCCAGCATAGAATGCCCCCCAAAGCCCGTTTACCTGGTTCTCGATGTCTTTAGCGTGCGCAACTAGCTTTCTCGGATCTTTCCGAAACTCATCGCGTTCTTCTTGTGAATACTCCTTATTCTGGCCGAAATTGTTCGCGATCTGGACGAACCACACACCAGTTCGGACGAAAACATCCATGTGCTTTACGTGTGGCTGCATGTTTGGCACGGTTTGGATGGAAGAGGCGCCAGATCCGATAACAGCTACACGGTCGTTCTTCCATTCCTCGCTCTGGTAGTCTTTCGGCTAGGTCGCCGTGTGGACAATGCGACCCTTGAAACTGTTGATGCCTTTGATCCCTGGCCATTTATAGTTGTTCAATATACCAGAAGCGTAGAGCAGAAGGTCGCATTCCTCTTGAAACTCTCTTTCTTCGCCGGATGACGTCGTCTGACGGAGGGTGACCTTCCATTTACCCACGTCGTCTTTCCACTCGGCTCTGGTAGCTTCGGTGTTGAATGTCATGTACTTGCGCAAGTCGAAAACATCGCAGACCTTTTCGAGGTACTTTTGTATGTCTGGAGCGTACGAGAAGAAACGAGGCCAGTCAGGGTTCAGAGCGAAGTTGAGTGTGTAGGCATGTGACGGAATATCGCAAGCACATCCTGCAACCTTTAGCTCAACCTCAGCCATTTTTGTTATATGTCCATACCTGGATATCTGTTTTCCAGCCATGTGCCACCTAAGTTGGCATTTTTCTCGTAGATTACGTGCTTAACATTCTGCGTGTTCTTCTGGATCTGGTATGCCATCTGGATACCCGACAAGCCAGCTCCGATGGTCAAGATCTTGAGCTTCCTAGATGAGGGGTCCTGGAAGATCATCAGTTCAGATCTGAAGTATTCCAGTCATTGCGACGTACATCATAGACTATGTCCGGGATATCGTAACCGCCAGATCCTGGAGTAGAATAATCCCACCGCTGGCCGCTTCCTATTGCGTTAAGATCTGGCGCCATGATGAAGGTGGTCGAACGGAGAAGTCGTGATCAAGTGGGTGTAGGGCTGTGAAAGAAATCTGTGTTACGATATAGCCCAAATTATGTCGAAGTGTGCCGGAAAGCACATATATATTTCAGTTCTATGTGGCGGCCTCAGCTAATAATGCTGGCGCATATTTGTCCAGATTCGATCCTACATCGTTCGATCTTTTAAGTCGGGTATCGGGTATATGAGTCGCCAGTGCTGACAGCCTCGTGTGACCTCACATGGGCTACGCGGCGCACCAATGGGCAGAACAGCATACAACGGGACGCACAGTCACTACCTTAGCATTGAACACCGATCAACAACTTGGTCGGATACTGCGCGGGGTTGTTGCGGGGTACATCATTTCAGGCAGTGGCGAGGTCGCTAAACCAAACCGGTCGTCTATTTTACGCCTAGAGCAACCATCTTTCATTTGTTACTCAACCCTCTTAGCTTATACACAGCTCTTGAATACGTACTCAGTGCTGGCGCACGGCTTGGCTGGAATTGTAATAATGAATCAGTGAAGTGGTTACGTCTGAGCAATCTGTAAGCGTGTGTCATTACAGTGGTATACAGCATATAGACATCTTCAAATGATCCAAAGGCCATGGAGAATGCAACTGGGAATCTTCCAAGGACAGCTCGAATATTGATTGTTTCATGGCGCGTCGCTAGGTCGGTTCCACCGCATACAATAGGACGCGTAACAGCGTGGCATAGTGAGACGATTGCGTGCACCCCGAGTAGTAGCACAGTGTCCTCGCGCAGGGAAGGTTTCGTGGTTGAGTGGAGCTGCTACACATGTGGAGCGTGAATGTTGTATTTCGACGGACAGAAGGAAGGAAGACTGATGTCGTGAGGGCGATTGCCTGTACGTGCGATGATCGTGCACGCCTGTGTTAGCGTGTTGCGCCCTGCAAGTACGTCATCGCGGGCAATGCAGGTACCTCAACCTCCGTAATGGCGGCCCCAAGATAGATCCAGAGAGGCAGAATTGTCTAGAAATCTACCTTTGACAACGAGAAGTACCAATACAGACAGTAGAATTGCAGAAGACTTAAGTCAGACAATCACAGTCTCGGAATCTCCGTAGTAGCAACTTTCATTTTCAGACGGTTAACGCCCCAGTCCGATGAGACCCTCGACTTCCTGTGCAATCTTTCCAAACGCCATTGCTCGCTCCCCGTCCGGCTCTGCTACCACAGTCGGTTTCCCGCGATCAGCATCGTCGCTGATGCTAGCATGTAGCGGAATCTCGCCCAACATGTTCAATTCATATTTCCCGCACATGGCTCTGATCTTCTTCATATTTCCAAATACTTCATGTATGTCGCCGCAACCCGGGCATTTGAAGCCCGCCATATTGCAGACAATACCCAGGAGCTTTACATCGACTTTACGGAAGAGCTCGACGCCTTTCACTGCATCCTTCAGCGACAGATCCTGGGGTGTGGATACGATGAGCGCGCCATCTAAAATAAGCTGTTGGGTGATTGTGAGCTGGACATCGCCTGTGCCGGGGGGCATGTCAAGGACCAGGACGTCCAGGCCTCCCCACTCTACTTCGTGTAGTAGTTGCTGCAGGGCTTTCATTACCATAAGGCCTCGCCATGCTACTGGTGATGATTCTGGAATGAGATAGCCCATGGACATGGATTTGAGACCATAGTTAGACAGTGGTAATAGTTGGTTGTCTGGGCCAAAAGGTTAGAGGTGGTTTGTATGATGGACTGGTTCACGGACTGACTGGCTGAAAGTCTCGGTTCACCGGACAGGTTGAGTAAGGTTGGTATCGACGGGCCAAAGATATCGGTATCAAGTATTCCAGCTTTATAACCACGGCGAGCGAAGCTCAATGCCAGATTCACTGCGTGATAGTTTTAGATTTCTCATATTGGCCAAGTCTCCGACGGCGGAGCATACCAGCAATGGTACTCTTTCCAACGCCACCCTTTGCCGATGAAACAGCGATGACTTTCTTCACATCTTTGATGTTCCTCTTCTGGGGCAATCCTCGCTGCATCCGAGGCATCTGCGGAGGCGCGCCTGAGCGTGGAAGACCCTGCGCATGACATCAGCCAATGCGCCATATGAGATGGAGGTAATAGTCATACGAGAGGGTTCTCATGCTGGAGACAGCGCAATGTCGAGAACAATCGTGGCTTCAACATTCTGTCGTGATTAAGATGGGTTTGCGGAGTTGATCGCGGAGGTGACGTGCATCGGTGAAATGAAACGCCGATGGCATTGAACTTTTTTGTGGGGCAAAGTGAACTTTCTCTTCGTACACGATCTGCCAGCAACACGCACGACAGATTACCTATACGCCATGGGAAAGTCCAAGATTAGAGGTAAAAACTCCAGATAGATGCGATGCAGGATAATACTCACACGATTAACAGATTTCGACCCTGAGTCGCTTCTTGACCCTGCGCCGAGCTCCAGCGAAGACGAGCACTCCGATGCAAGCCTCTCAGAAAATGAAGATGACAATGCTGGGCGCGAGCATTACACTTCTGTCGGAAAGAGCAAGCTGAGGAAGCCAGTTGAGGTACCACTTGGCCCGGAATACACTGGGCGCAAGGTGGATCGCAAAGCGCTCGAAGACAGCGATAGCGATGATCCGTTCGCTAGAGGCTTCGATGATGAGGACAGTGAAGCGAGCGACGACGAGATTGAAGATGGCATGAATGGAATAGAGCTTGGCGATGAAGACGACAGCGCCGAGGAAGACTCGAACGGTGATTTCGACGAGGACATGAGCGACGAAGACGAGGAAATGGGAAGCGCAGAAGAGAGCGGAAGTGACGACGATGCCAATGAAGCTGAAGACTCAGAAGACGAAAAATCTGGCGACGAGGCCAAGCCAGACGCTTCTACCATCCGCGATCTCATGTCTGCGAACAAGTCGTTCACGTCCACAATTGCCGCCGGTACGCAGAACGACGTAGCAAAGGGAGAAGCTGTCAAGACCCAGCGGAAGACATTCGACACATTACTTAACTCACGCATTCGACTACAAAAGGCGCTCATTTCCACAAACTCCATGGCTGCAGAGCCTTACAAGACGGAGACTGCGCAAGATGCGCCCATTGAGGCAGCCGAGGCCGCTGCTCTAACTCTTCTGAACAATCTCACGAACCTCCGACTTTCTCTGGAGGAGTCGCGGACAGGCCAGAAGCGGAAGCGCACAGCATTCGATTCCACGACGCCGTCATCTGAGATCTGGGCGAATATCCAAGACAGCGAAAAGACCACCCTCCCGCACCGCAAAGCCGTTCTTGAACGCTGGTCAAACAAGACGAAAGCGACAACCGTCACGAACAACAAGGCACGCCTCAACGCATCCGCGCAACAGACCCTGACGGAAGTCCTCGACTCCCAGCTGACATCGTCGCACCTGGTGACCCGCACCCAAACCCCACGTTCCTGTGCGCCCCTCCAGTCCTCTGGCAAAGCTGTTCAGCCCGACCCCGCAATCTACGATGACGCCGATTTCTATGGCCTTATGCTCAAAGAGCTTCTCGAACAACGCTCAGCCGATCTCAACGCAAACGGAACCGCCGAGTTCGTCGTACAAGCGCCCTGGCAGGTTGCTCGCGAAGCCAAGACGAAGAAGGTTGTTGATACAAAGGCTAGCAAGGGCAGAAGGCTACGATACACCGTGCAGGAGAAGCTGCAGAACTTCATGGCGCCCGAAGAGAGAGGCGAATGGGGTGATAGGCAGAGGGATGAGTTGTTCAGTAGTTTGTTCGGGCAAAGATTGGGGCTTGGCGAGAATGATGACGTGGAGAGTGAGGAGGAGGCTGGTGTCGATGCTGAGGAGGCTGGACTGATGTTGTTCAGAAGTTGATAGTTTGTATATGATGACTGAGATGGTCATGACGCCAATTGAATATCTGACATATCGAATTGATCAAACCATGATTACGCTGTAGCTCGTAGTCAAATTATTCTCGGTAGCACTATGATGATCACCATATTCTCATGCGGATAGCATCTTATGAAAAAAAGCAGTGAAGAAAAATTAATAGTATTATCCGCCAGTCATACCGGCACAGAATTCTAAATAAAGTCTTTCACCTAAATCGGGGGCTTCTCTTCGCCCTCAGCATAATCCACGGCGATCTTCTTCGCGCCAGGAGTCGGCTTAGGGTAACTTGTCCTCCTCTTCGCTCTAACGTAAAAGTTCATCGGCCTGATGAGTTGGAACTCTGGGTCATATGATACCGCCTCCTCACCCTCCTTGAAGAACTCGTACCTGTACACCAACTCTGGCAACAGTACCTTGACTTCTCCAAGCGCAAAGTTGAAACCAATACAACTACGCGGGCCAGTGGCGAAGGGCATGTATGAGTTCTTTGGTCGGTTGGAAACCTCTTCGGTACCCCAGCGGTCAGGATCGAATCGGTCAGGGTTGGACCAGATCTGTGGGTTGTTGTGGATGGCGTGTATGGCGCAGATCACGACGGATCCAGCTGGCAGCTTGTAACCGCCTGGGACAATACAATCGACCTTTGCTGTGCGTCCAGGTTGGAAAGAGGGGTTGTGGAGGCGCTGAGTTTCTTTGACGAACTTGTCGAGGAACGTCAGGCCGTCGGAGAGCTCTGGAGTCCATTTTGTGTTCTCATTTACGCCAGCGTCGACGAGTTCTTGAAGAAGGCGATCTTGGTTGCCCTCGTAAACACAAAGGGAGTAGAGTAGCCATGATAGAAGGGATGAGGTTGTGGTGAAGCCGGCACCAGAGATGGGAAGCATATTGGGGATGACAAGCTCACGGGGTAGCTTGTTGCCGTTGTCATCGGTGGCGCGTTTCAGGTAGTCAACTACACAGCTGGCTCCTAGAGCTGCGGAATGCAAAGGTAGATCTTCTTCGCTGCTTCCTTTTGGTGCTTGATCGATCGCTTGGTTGAGGATGGTCCATAGCCTGTACCGAATCTTGTCCAAGTCATACGCAGCTGTGAACGGAATAGCGCTGAGCTTCGCATACCAAGCACCTCTTGAAGCAACCTTCTTGTTCAAAGAGAGTGACTGGGCGATCAAGATGACTAGCTCGCTCAGCGGTGAGTCTGGGTTATCGAAATGATGGGCGTCATATCCCAGCGCGAACTTAAAGACTGTTTGAGACGCAAGCTTCAACATGTATTGGTACACATTCCAAGCTTCGCCTTCTTCATCAAGCTTGTCGAAAACCTTGAACGAGTCTTTTACTGAGGCCTCCATCAGGGGTGTGTAATGTCTAATTGCCTTTGGTGCCATGGAAGGCGGGATGAACTTGTGCGCTTGCCTCCATGCATCGGTGTCGGTATCGCAAATAAACAGTGCTCTGTTATCCTTGATACCGGCCAAAGGATGCTCAGGAGTAATGTGCTTGCTGAAGAACGCAGACTCTTGGAAAGCCACGGACGCGATAGCAGGGTCATTTGTCAAGTAATTCTGCTTGCCCATCGTCTCGTATTTGATCAATGATCCATACTTTTGAAAAAGACGTGCATGGTTCCCCTGAAAGATGTTAGTGGGTGTTCGCAGTCTTGTTAGATTCAACTCACAAGGTGATCGGGGAAGACCTCGTAGTAGCTTCCAACGAAAGGAAGACCCTCTGGGCCTGCGGGATCCCGAATGGCTTGACCATCAACAGTAATGCCAATCTCTTCATCGCAGTCCAACACAGCGTCCAGGTCTGGGAGATCGTCTCCCTTGGAATCTTGCAGCGCGATGCCTGGTGGAAGGTAAGGTTGAGTCCGGCTCAATGGTGAGTGTGCCTACCTGTAGATTGGATGATGTTGTATTGCTCGGCTACAGCGACTTGCAGCGCTTCGAAGTCATGATACTGATCGATGTGAATGTCCTGGCGAAAGACATTTTTGTCTTGCCCAACAAGGTAAAAACTTTTGATAGTCATGATTGCGATGCAGTGAAGTTTGGAGATGTCGCACAGTCAACAGGACTACAACAAGACTAAATGAAAGCACATCAAACTACGTATATCCTTTTCGCAACAACCCAGCATCTGCAGGCGCTGTGCCTAGGGTGCAAATATGACGCATCGCCACTGACCAGCAACTGGCGCAGGCGTGGTCGTACGAAAATCGCCGAGGGGCCCAATGCGCGCCAATGTAAAGCAAAAATGCACGTCGTGCGAATAGCCCGGCCGAGCGTTGATCGAAATTTTGTTGTGGTACCGTTTCAGCGATATCATTGCGCGTAAGGCTTGGAAGAAGCCGGTCGCCTTGTCGCAGCTCCGATTGTCAGCGGAGGCTTGATTGGTTTAAGCTCACAAAGTGCCGAGGTAAGTGGGGGCTTGGCTCCACTAACACCGGACACTTCGTGGTAGTCGCTGTAATAGCGCTGTCATTTGTCATGGCGCATCAACAGATCTTGATACTGCTCATGTCCGACACCTCGGTCGCGCCTACGTAGTGGATCGGTATGGCCGTTGCACGTTTGCTGCATGAAGCTATGGCGACGATGAAGGGTCTTGGCCAAAGGCTTTCACCGTTGCCATTGACCTTCTCAGCGCCCCCTTAGTGACTGAACGCATCCATCTCTTTCAATTCACACAACACCATGGCCGACGGTGTATACACTCTTCAGGAGGTAGCGAAGCATACCAGCAAGACTGACCTTTGGGTCACCTTGTGGAATCACGTCTACGATGTGACAGACTACCAAGAAGACCATCCTGGTGGTAAGGAGTTCCTGCTCGAAAACGCTGGCACAGATGCGACTACCGCATACGAGGATATCGGTCACTCCACAGACGCCAGAGAAATTCTCGAAAACTTCCGCATTGGACGTATCGCAGACGAGGACTGGACCGACCATGAAGCCGCGAAGATGCCCACCATCATTCCCAGCAGAGTTCATGTTGTGAACAATTTGCCTGTGCCAAAGTCGTATCGCTTCCATCTTTCAGCGCTCGGCTTTGGTCTCGCATCTGTCGTACTCTCCATCATAGCCGGTCGAAGATTTTCTCCGCTCCTGCACCGATTCCAGAGCGCTGGGTTCTGGAAGGGATTCGCTGTCTCTTCTCTTGCCAGCATGGCTTTGGCTGGATATGCCAGTCTATGGGCAACGAAGAGCTTCGACGTCGCGCACAAGGACTTCCAATCCTACCCAGCACATTTCAAAGCCAAGTCAACTTCGTCAAAACCATCGAGGAAGAAGGATATCAACCTTGGTGTTCTCAACGCTCGTGTCTACCAGCCCTTCCCATTGATCGACAAGTTCAACATCTCTCACGACACTATCCGCTTTGTCTTTGGCCTGCCCAACGAAAACTCTGTTCTTGGCTTACCCACTGGCCAGCACATCGCAATCAGGCACGAAATAGATGGAAAGCAGTTTGCACGATCATACACGCCAACATCTAGCAACAAAGACCGCGGCCGCCTGGAACTCACCATCAAGATTTACGAGGGCGGCAAACTGACACCCTATTTGAGCAAACTGAACATTGGCGACACTGTCGAGATTCGAGGACCAAAGGGCGAGATGAAGTACCACAAGAATCTTGTAAAGGAACTTGGAATGATCGCTGGTGGCACTGGTATCACACCCATGTTCCAGCTCATCCGCCGCATCTGTGAAGACCCCCGCGACAACACCAAGACGACTTTACTATACGCCAACAAGACCGAAGGCGACATTTTGCTCAAGGACGAACTTGACAAGTTCGCCGAGAAGCACGACCAGTTCAAGGTTCACTACGTTTTGAGCAACCCATCGGAGAGCTGGAAAGGAGAAAAGGGTCGGATTAGTAAGAAGATGATCGAGGAGCGTCTCCCTGCGCCAGCTGGTATGGACTCCAAGGTTCTTGTCTGCGGACCGGATCCTATGATGGATTCCATGATCAATTATCTGCAAGAACGCGGCTTCAAGGCACCTGGCAAGATCTCCAAGCCGCAGGATGAGATTTTCACTTTCCAGTGATCTTTTCGTTTGAGTTTCATTCGACAACGGATTCTAGGGTCTGCAGGGGTGGCGGCAGTGGTGTTACTGGTGGAGTTGTCGTAGACTGGGCACTATCCAGGACTTGTTTTAGATATCTTTCCATGATCTTTCGTAGGCATTGAAGCTGCCAAAGTTGACTATTCCATCAACTGATAAATTCTGTTTCCATTCTTCACGTGCGTCTGTAGAGTCCCTGACGTTCAAGATGCTCACAGTATTTTTTGAAGTTTGCTGTTTCCAAATGTTGTCCAGACCCAGCAATACCTCGGCCGACACTTTTCTACCCAACAAGCTGTGCGTACTTTCAACTTCCGAGCACATCTCGCACGACAAAAAAGCACAGTCAGAATGACGTCTAGGCTAGATCGGCACTGCACGGATGTCTACAGTTGTTGAGCAGTGACGTAACACCTACATGAAGCATTAGCGGCTACCAAGTATATACATCATGCATCTAGATGCGCTTCGTAGTTACAGAACCAGCAACACCCCAACAGTAAGAGTCATTACCTAAACCAGAAACACGCCTTTAGCGACGATGTCTCTATGCGTACGACGACTACCGAAGGGCGTTCGGAGAATCTCGGCCGAGCCTCCTGTGAGCTATGCGACGTCGCGGTGTTTGGGAACGCGTATAACAACTCGGACACCAAGTTTGACAATGAACAAGTCATCTTTTCACACCCGCTCAACAACATTACCTTACTCTACCATGTCGAACACACAAATACGATCTGTATCCAGCAATACCCAACCCCAATGGACGGCACCAGACACATCATCAAGACCAATCGCTGTGTTGGGTGGAGGAGTCTTGGGTCGACGAATTGCTGCTTCGTGGGTTGCTGCTGGCTACGAAGTCGTTTTGTGCGATCTTAGCGACGAGCAGAGGAACGCTGCAACACACTACCTCGAACATCATATGAACGAGTTCTCGAAACTCACAGGGAATTCCAGGAAACGAAGCGAATTTGCTACCGTCAAAGACATCAAAGAGGCGGTCAAGGATGCATGGTTGGTGGTTGAAGCATTACCAGAGAAGCTTCCGTTGAAGATTGATATCATGGGCCAGCTTCAGCAGCAAGCACCGAAAGATTGTATTCTAGCTTCCAACTCGTCATCTTACAAGTCACGATTTATGCTCGATAAGGTGGATGCGGGCAATCGGCACAGAGTGTGTAATATGCACTACTACATGCCACCGGGTAACAACGTCGTCGAGCTCATGACCTGCGGCGAGACACATGGAGATATTCTGCCTTTCTTGCAGAGCAAGCTCAACGATGCGGGTATGCAACCGGCTATTGCGCGCAAGGAATCGACTGGCTTCATCTTTAACCGATTGTGGGCTGCCATCAAGAGGGAGAGTTTGCTTATCATGGCAGAAGGCGTCTCGGAGCCGGAAGAGATTGACAGATTGTTCCTGACCATGTTCAAAAATAACCCGGTTGGACCTTGCGGAATGATGGACGCGGTAGGGTTGGACACAGTTGCATTCATCGAAAACAACTATGTTCAAGAGCGTGGAGGCGATCCCACAGCGCGCGACTGGGTTCAAAAGAACTTCGTCGAAAAGGGCAAGCTAGGTGCGAAGTCTGGAAAGGGTGGTTTGTACCCAGCAGGCGAGACTACCCGCAGCTCCAAGGATGAGAGTGGCCATCACGACAACCTCGCAGCACCTAGACTGTACTTCTTAGACATCGGCATTGGAGGCAATGTCACTGATCTGCAAAAGGTCGTCACATCAGGCAAGATCATGACAGCTTCAGCAGACGGTAGTAACGTGCGCGAGATCGTTGGCGGTCAAGCTATGCCGGATGGTATCGATGTATCCATCTCTGCCGGCCGTATCTTCTGGACGAACATGGGTGCCTCTCCATCCAAGAACAACGGCAGTGTCATGTCCGCGAACCTCGACGGCTCTGATGTTCGACCTGTCATTCCGGAAGGTCAGATACACACACCCAAGCAGCTCAAGATCGATCACGACAACAAGAAGTTGTACATCTGTGACCGTGAGGGTCTCCGAGTCCACCGATGTGACTTTGACGGCAGCAATCACGAAATTATCGTGCAGACAGGCGATGCCAACTCGGCGGCCGGCGAGGATCAGACAAAGTGGTGTGTTGGTATTGCCATCGACCCTCAGGCAGGAAAATTCTACTGGTCGCAGAAGGGTCCGTCGAAGGGTGGCAAAGGCCGCATCTTCCGCGCAAACATGCAGATGCCAAATGGCGAGACAGCATCCTCCCGTTCAGACATCGAATTGCTTCTTGATAGCCTTCCTGAGCCTATTGACCTGGAGTTCGAGCCTGAAAGCCAAACACTGTACTGGACAGATCGCGGCGAATACCCGCTTGGTAACACGTTGAACAAGGCGTATGTAGGTAGCGAAGCAAGCGCAGAGGCTGGAACGGAGGAGAGAGGTGTCACAACGCTAGCGAGACATTTCCACGAACCGATTGGACTGAAGATCGACGCCGTCAATCGACATGTTTATTTGACGGATTTGGGTGGTACAGTGTACAGATTCGATATGGACGGAGGTAACAAGAAGAAGGTTTATGAGACGGACAGCGCGTATTCTGGCATCGCACTTGCGCACTTGCACTAGTAGAGCTGTAGTAGATATTAATGTAATCGTGTACAAAGTTGAATGAATGATTGCAGTGGCTCTGGGGTAACAACCTCGGGGGATTTCGACGTCGGTGTTTGAGCGATGGAGCATTTGCCGACAAGCCTTCGGTATCCCAAATGCATGCAAGCCGCGAACCGAAAGTCCAAGCTCCGCAACACCAAATCCTCCGACCTTGACACATCCCACGCGACCCCCTCGTTGCCTGCGCTGTCCCCGTCTCCTTCACCCTACACAGGGCCCTGACCACCAATTCCTCCCTTACGGCCTGGCGCTCCACCCATCGCCACCATGAACACAATCTCGCCTCCTCCGCAAATAAAACGTCTATCAGGCCCAAAACGCTTCTTCGGCATCCTCGTGGGCATAACCGGCGGTCTAGGTGCCAATGCCCTTCTCGCCTACTCGGTATCTTCCTTCTACACGCGCAACACCAAATTCGTCCCTTACGACACCTCATCGCCCGACCTCACCACCAGCGTCTTCCGCGCGCACAATCCCCACGGAAACCCACCGGTGTGCATAGATCATGCCATAAAAGAGGTTCCGTATGGCAAGCTGCCGGAGAAGTACTGGGTAAAGGGTAGTGGGGGCAGGATATCTGTCGATCAACCGGCATTGGCGACGGATTTCTGTAGGGGCATCTGGAGCGGTGTTGCATTCAGGGTACAAAGAAGATTTTTGGAGAGGAAGTACCGTGCGATGGAGGGCAGGGATAAGCAGCTTTGGGATGTGAAGCAGCTGGAGAGGGACGATTACAAAGTCGGCACTGGCATTGTTGATCATTTCGAGGTTGTCGAACATACAGATGAGAAGGTGAGTTTGCGCGATTCTTTTTCTATGTGAGAATTCAACTAACTCGGCGTGTTTTCTAGGTAATTGTGCGATGCGGAGATTCACCATTCGTTGCCGACCACCGACCTTCAGACGGCCTGTTCTCAATGGAGGTCTCGAAAGACGATGAAGCGCAGATCGCTACCTTCCACCTCAAGTCTGTTTTCGTAGACACAACTCCAGAGGGCAAGAACAACCAACCGCAGCCTGGCGCCATCCAGTGGCTACATAGGTTGTACACAAAGCTCTGGATGGAGAGTGCGACACGGAAGTTGATCAAGGAGGCATAAGTAAATCAGGAATTGTAATGCAAATCAATATGCTTGATGAAGCACCAGGCCACCATAAGGTCTACATACGAAGTTTAATTTCCAGCGACATCTGCATGGTATATTGTTAACACAAAGTACATAATACCCTAGGAAATGCTAGTTATCTTCGCTGCCACATTGGACGAGTCTAGCGTTGGTGGGATACCTAGGTAACCAATGACACTCACTGGTTTGCCGATCTCGGATATGACCCAGTCATGGCCCTTGACTACAACAACTTCATTGTTCCTCCATCTGGAATGTCATCACTCGAACTTCATCCTTGACACACATCTTCGTTGGACCAAACATTACAACACGATCTCCGCGCGCCATGTCGGCCTCGAAGCTCTCTGAACGCGGTAGCCATGCAAGTACAACGGGAGCCAAAGACTTCGTGCGTGTCACATCTTGTGAGACATGCTCTTCTGTTTAATACCCGTGCAGGAAATATGGGACATAATCACGAATATGTGGGACCCAAAGACGAACCCTGAAGGCTATGTGTCTCTCGGTCTTGCAGAGAACAGCCTGATGCACAACGAACTATCGGACTTTCTGAACTCAAAACGACTAGTCGATGACACAGCCCAGGGACTCACCTACGGGGACGGCCCACAAGGGTCTAAGCGGGTCAAAGCTGCAATCGCGTCATTCTTGAGCACCCATTTGCGCTCGATACGGGAGCTGAAGCCTGACAACATCTTCATCACGAACGGAGTTTCATCAGCGATCGAGCATTGCGCCTGGACTCTCGCTAACCCCGGGGAGGGTATCTTACTTGGACGCCCATACTATCGCGCATTCCTACCAGATATAGGTATGAGGACAGGAGTCCAAATTGTTCCGGTAGCATTCGGAGACGTCGATCCCTGTAACTCAGACTGTGTGGGAAAGTACGAAGAAGCGCTGCTGAGATCGAACGAACAGGGTGTGCCGGTTCGAGCACTCATGTTGTGTCACCCACATAATCCTCTCGGACGATGCTATCCAAGAGATACAATCATTGGGCTAATGAAACTGTGTGAGAAGTACCAGATTCACCTTATCAGCGACGAGATCTACGCACTTTCCATATGGAAGAATACCATTGACGACATAGCTCACGCACGCGCCGGTTTTGAATCCGTTTTGTCAATCAGTGGCAAGGACATCATCGATCCTTCGCTGGTTCATGTTCTGTGGGGTGTGTCAAAAGACTTTGGCGCAAATGGAATAAGGCTGGGTGCCGTCATCTCACAGTCGAACCCAGCTTTTCTTGATGCATTGCGAACATGCAGCCTATACTCCTCAGCGTCATCTCTCACAGAAAACGCTGTTGTGCACCTTTTATCCGATACGTCATTTGTCGAGAGCTACATCGCGACAAACCAAGCGCGTCTCTCGGCTGCATATGAACAAACTGTTCGTGCTCTTCGAGCGCATGGCATTGAACACATGCCTGGTGCCAATGCCGCTTTCTTTCTATGGATCAATCTGGGTAAATTTGTGCGCAAGAAGACATTTTTAGGAGAGGAAGAGATGCGGGTATACTCGAGGCCAGAAAGCACACAGATAATCCAAGACCGGTTACGGGCGAGAAAGGTATACCTGGTTCCTGGGGACGCCGTAGGTGCAGAAGAGCCAGGCTGGTTCCGCATGGTCTTTACTCAACGGGAAGAACTAATAACTGAATGCATTCGGCGCATCGTCGACGCATTGGGGTAAAGACAATAGCCACTGATCAATCGAAGCAACAGTGCCGTCACGACTGGTTCCTTCGTTTTGCTCGATGCAGAAGTTCCGTCCTACCGACCTGTCCCGCCTCGGCGCAATCCATATAATCCCTTGCGCAGCCTGATTCCCATAGTATAACGACTTCGACCGTGAATCTGCATCTGCTCTTGCGTCCTTTCCCAGGTGAGGGACATGGTTTATGCGCAATATGTCCCAGTATTCTTGTATGCGTCAATTCGGAAGACAAGACAAACGTTGCGTGTTGACGCGTGTCGCCTGTAGATAGCATAGACTTGGCTACACCCAGTGTCAGAGCTGAGGTGTCGCGATCATTCTGTCAATCGCAGCAAGTGTAGCTCTCATGTGCAGCGGGCTCTCCTTTAGTCTTCTGATGGCTTTTTTTACGTTGAGCTCATCGTGTTGGCATTTTGACCAGTGAATTGGAAACATGAGCTGTTGGTTTAGTGGAATCGAATAATCAATATCAGGGTTGACTTGCCGTTGTTGGTACGGTTCTTGCATGGCTCAAATCCCATTAACCTATGCTCGAAGAGAACATCTCGGGTACACAGCAGCCGAGATCGGTCCGCCGCTAAGCTCGATACAGCTACAATAGTGTTTGTCATCAAGCCATCTGATCTATGTGTCTTGCACATCTCCCTAGATCTTTCGACGTCGAGGTATTCAACCTAAATCAGTGGAATGGCCTCGAATCCTGGTATTGCTCTGTTCCAATGTTCGTGGCCTGAATGTACTTCGAGTTACCAGCGGCGAGAACATCTCAATCGCCATTTGAGGAAACATCTTAAACCAAAGGAGTTCAAATGCCCATACTGTACGAGTGTGGTTGGCCGAAGGTGCGTGTTCTTGTTTTGTATTATTTTGTGTAGCATTAACGCCCAGAGATTCCAGCGACACTTTAGTTCGCCATATTTCACGATACCACGAGGGCAAGGAGTCGTTCCGGTCCCGGGCGCTTCGGGCCTGCGACCACTGCAAGGCTCGAAAGGTACAGTGTAGCATGGGCACACCGTGTCATTCGTGCTTGCAACGAGAGCTGTCATGTTCTTATGGCACTTCTGCTATATCTGATCAACCACAGCAAACGCTACAGACAAACTCGACCCCCAGCCAAGTCGCGCTCCTCACTCTGGACCAAGAAATTTCCGAGCTTGATAAATACATAGCCTTATATTTCACCGAGTTCCACCCAACTTGGTCGTTCCTTCATAAGTCGAGTTTTCGTCCGAAAAGGGAACCACAAGTACTGGTTCATTCGGTGGTAATGACAGGCCTATGGTTGAGTAACGAGAAAGGTGCAAAGGAGACAGCAATTGAGATGCACCACACGCTGATGACGTCTATCCAGCGTCAACGCGTATGTGTATTGCCCCTACTGTTTTCCCGTTATCGCTCATATGTTCCTGTAGTGCGCATGGGATATTTCTCACTCCGATACAACCAACGACGCAACGACTTGGCCCATAGCCACTTATCAAGCCATTCTCTTGAACATCATACTTCCCTTGACAGCCCGGAAACAAGTATCGAGCGCGGTATTGGAGTTTCCTGCGCCCGATTACGAGATCCTGGTCGCTCTCGTGAACAGCAGCCTGAAGAGAGGCATGTTCAGCTATCCAAGTATGCTTGAGCAGTACCAGCAATCGGCCTTGGCTCGTCGCACTGCTCCCCATATATGGATTGGTGTCGAGGAACTGAAACGTTTCGCGCTGACTTTGTATCATGTGTGGATGATATATTGCGAAACGCAGATGCCGAGTAGAGACGAATCTCAGGACCGGCTCTCGTCGCACAATCTGCAGTTTTCTGCCCCGATCAGTGATGACTTGTGGAACGCGGATACCATACTCGAGCTTATTACTCTCGTAGAAGAAGAAAAGGCTAATGGTAACCAGATATGCGACAATGAGATGAACTGGATTTGTAATTGGTCATGAGGTGCAGCCTCTGCAAGATCTAGGAATATATTCAAATTGATTGCGCATTCCAGGAGTTGCGCACAAGATTCCTGACGTCAGGTCTCGGTGTTTGGCAGACCCATCCCTTCCCAGCCAGCCATTTTACTCGACCATAGCCTCTGTGCCGTACCCCCACTTTGCCAGCTCCGAAGTTCTCTCTCATCGCTCTTACCTTGAATGAGGTTTAGGATGGCCACAGCATGCTCAGCACCAGGCTCAAAGGTCGAACCCAGGAAAGGCGGGAGTGGAGCATAGGCTTCACCGGCGAACCAAAGCCTTTTTAATTGTGGTGACGAAGCGGATGTGTCGCCACCCTGATCCCAACTTTCTTCATCGGTCTCTTCGTCGTCGGTGCTTTCATCAAGCTCATCGATGGAGATCGGTCTCATGGTCAGAGGGGTAGCAATCACTTTGGTAATCCAAGGTGTATCACACTTTGAGAGCATCTCCCAGATGGATTTTGGAAAGCTGTTTTTGGCGGCGTCAAGATAATCCCTCCATTTCTCTGCACGTCCTTTGACATGTCGCCCTCGGTCTACGAACGTAGTCATGACATTCTCAAGGTCTCGGTCGGCATCCTGCTCGTACGGATGATACCAACACCATTCGATCACTGTACCGTTGTTGTCATCGGCATTGCCAAAGCCTGGCACACCATACCTGATAGCAGTCAGAACACAAGTATCGAAAGGACTGAGGCAGAAAACACACAGGATGATATATTGAGACCCGTGCATCTTGTACCAGACAAGCAGGCCTTTCTTGATTCGTTCATCAATCTCCTTTTCTTCATCGACAGAAACATCGGCTGGCACTCGGCCGCGCCATGCCACGACCTGCTCGTAGTTGGGCACTACACCCGGTGACGTGAGCCTTCGTATGGTGGATTGGGCACCGTCTGCGGCGACGAGCATGTCAGCTGTCTCTGTCTCGACACGATTGGTGACTGTCGAGTGGTATATGATAGTCCATTTGCCATCTTTATATTGTGCGTTTTCCACATTCGCGCCTACGCGGAGCGTTGGGCGTGCCTCGCTCGCTGTTTTCCAGCTTTTCTCGGACTCTACAACAACATCTCGCAGTAGTACCTGGTACACATCGAGCCAAGTAGTCATTATAACACGATGCTCTTCTGGCACAGGCACCGTCTCATCGTTATCTGGGGAAAATATCAAGAGCTGTTCACTGCGTATAGAGCGTTCAAGTAAATCAGGCGCAGGGATGTATTCTTCGAATATCTTTCGGCCCCAACGTCCAAGAGAAAATCCGCCGTTGTGCTTTCCTGAGTAGAGCGCATCGTTCTGCTCCAATAGGATGACATCGCATTCGTTCTGACAAAGGTTCGCGATTGTCAGCCCAGTTAGAGAACCCCCAACCTAGGAAATAAGTTAGTAACGTAAGCCTCTAGCACTTCCAGGACAGCATAGTCAAGCAGAAAGCGAACGAGAACGTACTATTACTAATTTTCGTCGTTCAGACATCTCGATGATGAGCGGGCATGGTTATGCCAGCGTGTCGAGAAGATCCTAACCCCTCCGCACGCTATGAACCTAGTAGGCTTCGGGGAGATCGCGAAGGTACACCCGGCAACGCGACTGCAGTATCCATAAGTGGGACAGGTGAACCTAGCATCGGGCCGTTTCCATGCCTGTTTCGCTCTCTACTATGATAACGTATATCAAGAGTTGTGCGTAAGCATATTAAAAACCTAGAAGGCTACAACGCGTGTAGTCTTTGTGGACCTTCTTGTTAGAAGTTGATATAAGCTTCAAGATCACGCCTGTTATCTCTGTACGTGTTTCGTTTTCCTCTCACATGCGGTGCTCAGGGCCCTCCGACGGCCGCTAGCATAATAGCGTGAAGTCTCTCCGGTCCATTACGTCATTCCAAGCAAAAAAACTAGACACTTTCTCAACTGTACCTTTTTACAATCAAAGCATGAAATGCTGCAACTTGAATCCCTGACCACATAGAGTATGGGAAGGCGATTCTGTGAAGAGCACTGTAGTTTTCTATCGCGCTGTGCAGTAGGTGTAAAGTCCCTGTCATCTCCGATCACCGAATGCGGCCGAGCAACGGGACTCATTTAATTGATCGAATAAATAACTTTTCGTATATCCTATCGCAGGGTGACATCTTCTTAGCCACACGCGGCTCACACCTCTGTTTCTGAAGACTGCATGGACAAGCATGTCCTGCCGTTATGCGCCACCTTTGTATTCAAGTTCATTCTTAGTAACTAGGTAAAGTGTGCGGCGAATGTGTTGGTACAGAACGTCTACCGCGTCTCCGACAAGGGCTTGCACTTGCGTCTATTTTTCCTGCATCGACACTGGACTGGAGACACGTGAATTAAGATGGCAGATCAAGTTTTACGATAGTATTGGGTCTCATTCTACCTAGGTATATATTCTATTATCCCTAACTTTGTCTTGAAACTGATCTATTCCCCCAGCTCTATTCTTGATTTTCTAGTCGCAGCTTCTTTTGCAGAAAGCGCACTACATGCTGAGAGTGATTGGGCACCACCGATGTGCTGCTTGCCTTCTACACCTTAAAATTCTATAAGGCCTGGCACCAGTCGCCTTTCCTGATCTCAGACCCGCCATCGTCATTGCCTAGGCTTAACTCATCTTACGCAGTCATCCCAACTACTTGCTCACATCTCTCCGTTTCTTTCGATGCCAATGCTCACTTGATTCCATATGAATTGTGGTGAGTTATCAAGATGTGGAATTATGATCTTGCTCCTACTGTACTACCATCGTCCGACCCTCCGTACTGGTCCGCGATTTTGTTACAGTAGTTCCACGACTTGGTATGTACACCGGTAAGTCGTCCAATAGTCCCAGCCAAATTCTGGTGGGCTAGTCCCGAAAGTACACAACAGAGCACAAGTTGTTTGGAGTTTCAGGCGACAAGGTGGCCCTTCGCATCATCATCACCTACATCTTTTCGCCTTACTGGTGCAATGGCAAGAGCTGACAAAGGTCAAGTTTGCCATACCACAGTAAAGTTAAATATATGCCTCTTGAACGGTCGACTTGTTACAATTATGACGAACTGCCGGGTATCTTGCTGATCTTGGGTGCCGGGCATAGTAACGATCAACTGTCATCTCGTGGTTCACACGCTCGGATAACGTAGAAAAGGGTCTCGATGACGTCGTGCAGGTGGGTCGTGCAGGGGTTAAGAAGAGCAACGAAGATCCGGGGGTCTCCACTCTCCTGCCCCTAAGCCTCACGAAGCTTCCCTTATAACTCTCCTTGTCTGTACATTTTCCTTTGTTAAACGCGTTTCGTCGTTTCTGGTGGCGCGAGAATCCCTAGAACACCATACGTTGCTACGCGACAGGAGTTGGGCGCGTCCACAAGCGATCTCCGATAGCTCCGCACCCCTGATCCCGAGTCGCGATGCCTGTCAACACAATTTCTGTGGGCGCCGCAGTTACGCCTACGGTTATTCAAACATACCTCTCGCATTACCTCAATCGTCGCCCGCTTGCGCAGAAACCCACGGCGCATATCTCTTATCACGAAGGCCTTGAGCTCATCCGCCGTTTCCTCCACTATGCTTCCTTCCACACAGTCGACGAACTACAAGCGTTCACGTCACAATGGGTTCCAGTGCCGCGTTGGGTGCACGTAAATGTGGTGGAAGTCTCAAGCAATCTGTTGGAGCGCTCGGCACAGCTACTCAATGCGCAATTGGGACCCGAAGGCATCAAAGCCGTAGGAGGAAAGAACTGGTGGCAGGTCAGGCAGGGCCGATGCTCATGTACGATTGAAGCTAACACCTCAACAGTGGAGACGTGATGGGACGACACTAAAAGCTGAGTGGATCGAAATGCGTAAAGATTACGATGCGAGGAAACAATTAGCCATCACCAAAGGCGACCGCATCATGCTGTATGTTCATGGCGGCGCCTACTTCTTTGGCAGTGTCGATGAGCATCGCTATCAGATGCAACGACATGCGCGCAAACTCAAGGCTAGAGTGCTGGCGCCCAAGTATAGACTCGCGCCCCAATTTCCTTTCCCATGCGGTCTACATGACTGTACGTACTTCCATCAACACCTCGGAACACATGCTGACTACGCTAGGTTTGGCGGCCTACCTCTACCTTCTCGAAGAAAAACACGACCCTACGACGATTATATTGGCAGGCGACTCGGCCGGTGGCGGCATGGTTCTGAGCATGCTGGTGACACTGCGCGACCAAGGCATACCACTCCCCGCAGGTGCAATTCTGATCAGTCCCTGGGTAGACCTGACGCACAGTTTTCCCAGTCTTGGAGGGGATGACAAGATGGATTACATTCCCTCACACGGCTTCATCCACAAGCCGAGTATGAGCTGGCGTAAGTTGGTTCTCTTCAGCTTGCTGTCGTATTACTGACACAATATAGCACCACCCAACGCCGATGATATGCTCGAAATCGAAACTTCATCCAAGAAGACCACTGGGAAGGATAGCAACTTAGACAAAAAGGAAGACCGTGCAGCGAAAAAGGAGGCCAAGGCTGAGCGCGTACGAGGATATTCAGTCCAGTCAGGAGATCGCCCACCTCTGGGAGATATCGTTGACCCTTCAGCTACCGGGCAAGACGAAGACGTCTGGGTTTCCTCAAATGGCAAGTACAGCGTCGGACCGAAGAGTCAATTATCCGTACAGCTTGAGGATGTACGTGTGGAGATCAAGGACCAGATCCAGATGTACGCAGCAAACCACCTATTGACACATCCTCTGGTCTCGCCAGTTCTACAACCAACACTCGGCGGCCTGCCGCCTCTACTCATCCAAACGGGTGGCGGTGAATTGCTCAGAGACGAGCAAATCTACCTCGCGCATAAGGCTGCCCAACCACTGGCATACATACCACCCCCGTCCAATAATCAGACCGCCGAATCCATACAGGCTCAAGCCGCCAGCTACAAGCCCACCAATGTTCAGCTCCAAGTTTGGGACGATCTGTGCCACGTTACACCTACACTGAGCTTCACTCGACCAGCAAAGCACATGTACCGCAGTATTGCTCAGTTCGGCGCCTGGGCACTTGCACGGGCTCAGAAGAAGTCCATCGACATCCTTGATGACGATGACATTTCCTTCATGAGCAAGGACTCAAGTACCTCGTCAGAGTCGGACAAGGCGGGCTCAGGGTCTTCGTCAGATGATCCCAAGTCTTCAAACGCGGAGGCCAAACGATTGAAGGCAGAGAAAAAAGCCACTCAGGATGCACGTGTGGGTAGAGCTGGTGATCCCATCCCACCATTCTCGAGCCACATGATACGCCAACGTATCGATCGACACGGCCGTATTTACGCACTTGCACCCAAAGAAGAGCTTGTAGCTTTGAACATTCCAAGCATCGATGTCGGTGTTCCAAAAACTGGACCTGTCAGCAAATGGATGAAAGCGCAAGCTCAGTGGAACAACAAGTTCTCCAAGCAGAAGATCAAGATTCAGAAGCAGCGTATCAAGGACATGCAAAAAGGTTTCGAGGGTTTTGAGGGTGAGACACCACCGCCAACCGCCTTAGCTGGCAGAAGGATAAAGGGAATGAAGGCCCAAAAAGCTGCAAAGAGGAGTTGGGGTATGTCGATGTGGTCTGGCTGGGGAAGCAAACACGACGAAGCCACTGTAAGCGCAATGTCTCTAGGGAACTGCAAAGGATAATGTTGCTAACACATCACAGATCGTACGCGAGAAGAAAGCAGATCAGAACCCCGATACCGAAGTCTCTACCTCTGTCGAAGATCCAGCCCACGCCTTGGATGGCACCGCAAGCAGCAAACCCGAACGAAGCCGTGCCACTGGACTCGCCGCTCCAGATGTAAAACGATCCCGCTCACGTTCACGTCACTCGGCCGTGACCGACCAAGGTCAAACTGGACTACCCATGGACGACCTCACGAAAATCGAATCGATTGTACCGCATCCAGGTCTGGCCGACGCAACGACGATTGCTCCAGAACGCTCTGCATCCCCTCTTCCATCTCCTACAAGCGAGCTCGGCAGCCCTGGCTTGCCTCCGAACATCATCGTTTCAGACAACCCTGGAAATGACAGTACTATTATTCCGGCGACTGACACACTGACTACGCGTCCAACAGCGGGCGGTATCGCGTATCCTTTCAGCCTCAAGGTGGATGGACTGGATGGGAAGGATGTTAATGCTAGTACGCTCACGCTTGCTAGTGTGAACATAACTACGCCCCCTGCTGTTGACGACGCGCAGAATGAGGAGAAACAACTAGGCAGTATGGGGGCGGTGACTGAGACTGTCAATGAGCAGATCTTGAAGGAGGAGAGACCACATGTTGAGCGGTACTTCACTGCTGGCCAGGGCGCGGGGCTCTTTAGCAGTGGTATTCCTGAGGCGAAGGTTGGAGAAGGAGAGACAGCAGAGAGGCCAGGTGTTGAGAGGTTTGAGACCGCGCAGGACGGTTTGCAAACACTTGCTGCCGGTAGCGAGAAGCAGTGATATAGCAAACGAGCTTAAGGCAGCGAGGATAGCTAGGTAACATAGTTGTAGATACCCCATTTTCTTTCGTCCATAGTTCTAATACAAACGTACACATAGGGCTCAGACTTCTTGGATCTTCCTCCAATCCAATGTCGCGCTAACATTCTGTGATGGACTAGATTATAAGGTTCCACAAGTTGTGATGACTTCAATCTGGAAGTCAACCTAACCTCTGGTACGTACCTCCGCCGGAGATAACGTAACTCCGCGTGACATCACCCCGCTTCAACACTACCCATCCTCGATCAACGAAAACATAACTCTTTCTTCATTTCTTTAACATCAAATCGACTCTTTCAAATCTTACAATGTCAGTCTTCCGCTCCTCAGCCCACGCTCTCATCACAGGCGGCGCATCCGGCGTCGGCTACTCCGTTGCCCAACTCTGTCTAAAGCACTCAATGCGTGTCTCCATTGTTGATTTCAACCAATCATCACTCGACATTGCGGGCAAGAGCTTGAAAGGCGAGGTCAAACTCATCAAAGCAGACGTATCCTCACGCCAAGACTGGGCATCAATTCGCGAACAAGTTGGCACAGATGTCGACTTCCTTATGCTCAATGCCGGAATAGGCGGAAGAGGAACATGGGGCGACGAAGATTACTTTGACAAGATCTTGGCTACGAATCTAGGTGGTGTGGTCAATGGACTCAACGCATATGTTCCTTCGTTCAAAGAGAGAGACGGGAGAGGGCCATCAGCGATCGTGATCACGGGCAGTAAACAGGGTATTACGAACCCACCTGGTAACGCCGCATACAACGCTAGTAAAGCAGCTGTGAAAACTCTCGCTGAGCACCTGAGCTACGACCTGAAAGATACTAGTATTGGTGTTCATTTGTTGGTTCCGGGGTGGACGTTCACTGGTCTCGTAAGTCGCCTTTCTCCGATTCGGCCCTCTGTTATATCCTCTGCCCTATCTTCATCCTAATTTCTCAACACTAACCTTTAAAAAAAAAGTCCGGAAACACACCCGGCTCTGAAAAAGCGAAGCCAGAAGGCGCGTGGTCAGCCGACCAAGTTGCAGACTACATGTACGCCAAGATGCAGGACAAGAAGTTTTACATCATCTGTCCGGACGACCAAGTTACAGAGGAGACGGATAAGAAACGTATGCTATGGAGCGTGGGAGATATCGTGAATGAAAGGCCGCCGTTAACGAGGTGGAGAGATGAGTACAAGGAGGAGGCGGAAAAGTGGATGAAAGAACAGAAGGTGTAGTAGGTGGCTCTGAGGCGGCAGAACGTATGAGTGCGTGTTCACGAGCAGATCGTCGTCAGTCGGAATGCATTTCTGCCAATATGTCGGTCGACCGAAAATTAGAAAGAACTAGAAATAAATACCGCGACGGATAAAAAATGGGGTATCATATGCTCCTTGACCCAAACGCCGATGAATGCAAAAGTAAAATGGCTCAGAGGTCGGTAAATCGTCCGCCCCTGCATAGCGTATGATCAATCAGAATCGTAGCCCACCAGAGCTTCAAGCAGAGCAGGTTTCTTGGTTGGCGCCTCAGCATCTGCATTCTCAGGCGCCACGTCTATACCCCTTGTGTCAGTATCTCTCTTCCTCTTCAATATACCCAAGTTGACTCTGGAAGCCGGCATGCTACCACTTTGTAGAAATGGATCAATGACGGCCTTTGTGTTTCCGACAAGTGTTTGCTGCAGTCCTAGTCGACTCTTTTCCCTGGCTATTTCTGCCTTGAGTTTCTTTGTCGGTGGTATACGATGAACAGCCTTGTCGTTTGTGGCCTTTTCTTCCATATTTGTGTCCGCGAAAAGAGGTTTCCACTCCAAATGACCCAGTCCCCGGTCGTCCGTCGCTGTAGAACCAAACTCGACCAGCCCAGCTCGTGTGCGGTCTGCCTCCGTCTCGTCCACGATATCCAGACCCAGACTGAACTTATCCTGCATACCCTCCTTGTGTTTGTCTTCTTTCTTCCAAACTTTCCGCTTTTCCCGAAAGTCCCTTCTCAATTTCGCATTGACATCGTATGGGTCCCTCCAAACCTCCGCCTTTTCATACAACTCCTCAACTCTTTCCTTATTCTTCTTTTCGATCCCTTTATCCTCCAGCTTCCCCTCTAGATTTGCGAAGGCATCTTCCCTCCTCTTCTGCTTCTCTTCCTCAGTCAGGAATTTGAGGTCTCCCTCGGCTAAAGCCTCGTCTCCTTTTCCGGCAGGCCCATAATCCCTTCTTCGCGCCCCTTCTGTAACAACATATTCGCTATTCTGCGGATCCGTTCTAATCTCCCACCAGCCACCACAAGCACTGTGTTTCATGCGGAAACTCCATATGGGCGTACTGTGGTAGTTGCCGACTTTCTTCTTCTCGGCGTTGAAACGTACACCTTGGCCGATGATGGCGGGCGGGCTGCAGTGATCACACCACACGGCGAAGGGCAGTTCGAAGCGGACGGTGAGGATGCCCTGGGAGATTTTGTTTGCGCGTTTGCCGAGTGGGTGTGAGGAGTTGTTGAAGCTTGGAGGATTCGAGGCATCAGGCGGGTAGTACCGCCCCATATTAAAGCCCTGCATCGTGGGCGGGTGCGTATGGGGAGATGCGCGGCGTGCGCTGAATTCCGGTGACGGCTTAGTTTGGTGTTGAAGTGATGCAGTCGCGAAGTTTGGCCGCGGGAGTGGATGACGTAAGCACAGACAGCTCTAGGAATCGCGACTCTGACGTGAAGAGGCTCTTTCGTAACAGGATGCGGTATGACGTCATGCTTTCGTTTACGTGCATCTAGCTAAGCCTCCAAACATGTATGCATGCTGCATGGACTTCCCGAGTTGGAAGGTAAATTAAGGTTGCTGTTGATTACGGCACTAAAAGGCTTGTCTCACTATATACTTGCCACGGCCAACTCCGATGCCTCACGAACAATGTACATAGAGACTGGATAGTAACACACGATGTAATATACATCATATATGATGTTGAAAGAATAGTCGCAATCATATTGTTTTCGATGTTTGGTCTATGCTGGCCTTGCGTCCAAACGCCGTCGATCAATAGGCTACTTAGTCTTCGCCTCTACCCTTCTTCCAGATCTGTTCATCCGGTTGATCATGTATCATTTTACTTCAACACTTAAGCCTCAGGGTCCGTGATGAGCTTAGTAATCTTGCCAATGGCAATTGTCTGACCTTGATCACGGAGGGTGAATCTACCCAGCTGCGGGTAATCCTCGAATCGCTCTACACAGATGCTTCCAGCAGTACCGGTGATTTGCAAGCGTGCAATGATGCTCATGCCCTTGGTAGCGAATCCTGGTGCCTTCTTCGATTTACGTCCAGTGCCCTTCTCCAGCTTGTGCAACAGGGCGGTAATGGTGACCTCTTCTTGTGCGGCGTGGACGTGGAGCACGCAGTTGAATCCGGCTGTAAGGATGGACTTGATGTCAAGAAGTACGACCTGGGCCTCGAATTGAGAGACACAGTGGACAGGTCGCTTAGGTGAGCAAAGAACGTAACCCTATAAAGAAGTTAGTAAGCGATCATGGGAGGAGGATTGATCAGAGTACATACAGGCAGAATATCTTCTTCTTCAATACCTCGGAGTCGCACGCGAATTTGGTCACCGCAAGTCGCTCCAGGAATCTCGTCTTCTTGTTCACCGTACAAAGCCGAGATGTGGATTGTCTGTCGGTTGGGCATCATGAGGTACCTTGGTGCGGTTAGTAAGTAACAGGTGCTGATGTCAGAAGATTTGACCTACTTTTGCTCCTTCTTGATGATACCGGACTCGATCTTGCCTTCAATCATAGTACCCATGTCCTTGTACTTGGCGGCGATGGGCATCATGAAGGGCGCATTGAGCTTACGCTCGAGCGCTTGCATGTTGTCGAGGTACTCAAGTAGAGATGGGCCATCGTACCATGGCGCCAAGTCCTATTGACCAAATCAGTTCATGTCCCTATTACAGACAAAAGGTTACTTACCTTTGGTACACGGGTCTTGATACCTGTGAATGTTTGTGCACTGACCGGCATCATGCTGATGTCAGTCTTTGGGTTGTATCCGAGACCCTTCAAGAAGGCTACTACCTTGGTAGTGCACTCCTTGAAACGGTCCTCGGACCATTCAACAGTAGGATCGTCCATCTTGTTGACAACGATGAGAATCTTGTTAACACCTTGTGTCTTGGCCAGCATAGCGTGCTCTCGGGTTTGACCACCCTTCTCGAAACCTGTCTCGTACTCTCCCTTACGGCCAGAGATGACGAGAATACCGACATCTGCTTGCGAGGCACCACTGATCATGTTGGGCACATATGTCTTGTGGCCTGGCGCGTCCAGAATGGAGTATCGTCGCTTCTCTGTCTCAAAGAAACCTCGACCGACTTCGATAGTCTTACCCTGCTGTCGCTCTTCCTTGTTCAAATCGAGCGCCCACGAAATGTACCAGGTTTCACGGCCAGCGTCCTTGGCTTCCTTCTTGTACTTGTCGAGGGTACGCTCGTCGACCATACCAGTCGAGATCAGGATACTGCCACCAAGAGTGGACTTTCCTGCATCGACGTGGCCCAAGAAAATGATGTTGACGTGCTCCTTGCCGTAGATTTCGGCAAGAGTGGCCTCGTCAACCACCTCCTCCATTTCCTTCTCAATGTCCTGTGCTGCCTTCTTCTCAATGGCCTTTTCCTTTGGTGTCGGGCTGTTGCGGCCAGAAGAAGGAGTTGGCGAAGTCCTTCCAGAGCCCGCGGATGCTGGGGTAGCCTCGCCAGTCTTCTCAATGGCCTTCGCGGCGGTGACCTTGGTACCGGCTTCAGGAACGCTCTTCTCCTTGTCTGCCTTCTCTTTCGCGGCCGATGGCGCGGCTGGTGTACCCAGGCTGAGGACGTTTGTGCCACCTGCCTTCTCGACCTTTGGTGCTGTGGTGTCGCCTCCGATGGACAAGACCTTTGCCTTGGGTGCGCTGTCGCCACCAATCGAGAGAACCTTCGCCTTGGGGGCGTCCTTCTTGGCCTCAGCAGGCGCAGCACTGTCTGAGGCAGCCACATCGTCGCCTCGCTTTGCTATCCTCACAGGAGACTGGCCCTGTTGCGGCTGCTGGGCCTGGAAGTTCTGCTGGTACTGCTGTCCGTACTGTGGGTACCCTCCCTGCTGTCCACCATACTGTTGCCCATATTGTGGGTAACCCTGTTGTTGCTGGTAGCCTCCGTATTGCTGACCACCGTACTGGTTGTAGCCACCGTATTGCTGGCCGTACTGTTGGTAGCCACCGTAGCCACCGTAGGCTTGGCCGGGGACGAAAGCGCTCGCGCCCGGGGTGAATGACTGCGCTCCTGGTGTGAAGGTGGGCGTGTTGTTGAGGTTCATGCCCTGCGCTTGCTGCGCGAGGCGTTCCTCCTCTTGCTCCCAGTTGTCGGCCATTGTGACGTCGGTCGTCGCAGGGATGTGTCGTGTGGTTGGGTTGGTAGGGTAGCGACGGCGTGCGTGTAATGCGCTTCGGGGACGACTATGTCGCTCTTGTTAACGAGTAGGCGAGAACGTGCGTGAATTCGTCCCGCAACCAAAGAGCGACTACTGAGGTATATAAGTGGACGGGCGTCGAGTGTCGTCGGCGAAAAGTGAAAATGTGCCGCGTCGTTGCTGCCCACGCAAGATTTGGCGGGGTCGCTTTCGGTGGCTGAGTGGGGCTGACTCAACGCCTCGCTGCCTAACATTGGCTAGGGCTCCTAACAACAAAGACACTCACCTACACGCAAACACTCGCGTTCATTGTCACTTGCCACAGATATTCCCGGTTGCCTTCTCCAGCAACCCAATACTCTGACCTCATGGTTCATCTAACCCAAATATCTCATCGCCCAATCATTTCCATACAAGGGTGAAACCCAATCGACAGGTCAAGATGGAATCACTCCTAGCAAATGTATGACTACACTTTGACTCCCAATACGTCATAAGCAGACACAGAGTCATCCTCCTCGTACCCAGTGCCCATGCTGACATGTGATAGGTGACCAAGCAGGCTATGAGCTATGCTATCAGAAGCGGTATAGCGATCACCAGCCACTATGCGCTCAAGCAATGCGGCCGACTGATGAAGACGGTCGAAGGCCGTGAAAAGCAAGAGCTCGCCAATTTGCAAATAAGACTAGACTCCAAAATCAAAATCATCTCACCTGCGATCGACATGATAGAGCTGATTGCGGCACGCGGAAACACGTCACTCGAGTCTGCTGTAGGACTCACAAAGTCTCTTCGATGGGACATCCAGACATTAGGTAGCCGTGTGGAAAAGGCTGTGGCCGAAGAGCAGCTTTCAAGAAGAGGCAGCTCCAAAGCAAAATCGCGGGATCAGAATGACGCTGAGCTCAAGATCATCATCGAAGAGATGAAAAGGTTGCTGGAGCGTATCGAAGATGCTGTGCCACTCATAAATCTGGCTATCACCACATCTGGTACTAGTCTCTCCACCACCCTCCCGGCTACTGTATCGCCATCACGGCTTCTACAGGCCAGCACCTTTCTCACTTCTGGCGACATGCAGTATTGCGCGTCAAAGCCCAGAGCCCAGCAGATTGGACCGACCTTCACCCTCTCCTTGTACATGTTGTTCGCCGGATATGCTCATCGAGCCCATGAGGAAGACGTTCGAGAAACAACATGGAAGGAAGTCATGCACAAAGCACGTGTTACACTGATGAGAATTCCTCTCGATAATGTCTACGACTACCCCATGCCTTTCGGACAAGACAGCAGACGAGCCGATGAGGCTAACCACCGCCACATTCCCTCTGATAGCATGTTGCAGGAGTTTGCCTATCAACTGCTTATCGTTGAAGACTTAGATGATGGTCGTATGCACGAGTTCGAGGATGGCGAACCCCAACCAGGGCCATACGACGGTGTGGAGCAAGCCGGTGTCCGTGAGATCATACCCATTCATGAAGTCTCAAAGATCTTTTACGCCGATACGGGAAAGATATTGAACATCGGTTCTGACAACGAGAGTAACAACCCGATTTTGTTATTGAAGCGAGACGTCAATGCAGCACCGCCACGCCGTATGATGGAACGTGATACAGATGGACCTGGTTACGAGTCGGATGACTCACATACTATTGGCGACGACGAAGAAGACGCTGAACAAGCAGAACTGGAAGAACAACTCCGGCGTGAATCTACACCACATCTTGAAGAACAACCCTCACCAGAGCCTGAACAGCCCCCACCAGAGCCTGAGCAACCAACGTTTCCCTGGCGACTACCTCCCACGCTGGACCTAGAATGGATGGCATTCGAAGTATACACTGAAGACCCGACCTCCGATTCCGAAATCGATGAAACAGAAGAGTCGACTGAAGAAGCCTCTTCGCTGTCCCCAGCAGCCACACCTACACCGCCCGACTTCCTTGGCCGTTTCTCCGCCCTCAACCTTCGCCCTAGTACGCCCACCTCTCCAAAACCAACACCCCACAACCAAATCATTCCCTCTCCCCAGAAAGCTTCGGCACCAACACCACAGTACCAACGACAACCTCCAACGTCCCTTCCCACGGTGAAAACTTCATTATCCCTACTCGAAATGCTTATCCGCCTCACTGCTCTCCAACAATTCCAGCAATCCTCCCACCTGGCCATTCCAGACGAATTCCTTAATTTTTTCCTCTCGGATAGCAGTACAGTAGGGGCAGGTGGTGATGCTGAGTTAAGGCGAAGAGTCAGGAGGGAAGCAAGGATGAGAGTTGGATTTGATCCGTATGATGAGAGTCCGATCAAGAGGAGAGGAGAGGAATATCTGGAGCATGAATTGCATGAGCATGAACATGTGCAAGATGGGAGAGACGAAGAGAGGGCTGTATATGGTGATGAAGATACGTTGACTGGAAATGGTGGTGGTGGGAGGTATGATTACGACGGCTACCCCATGGGTCATCGCGCTTCTTCTCCATACTCTCGGTCACGAGGCGGTACACCTGGCTCACCACGGACACCGACCATCCCAACATCCAGTCGCTCAAAATCCTCAGTTGATGTTTCACATACTGGAAGACACAGTCTAGGCAACATCTCCTCCCCGAGTCCACTTCTCAGACGAGCGACCACACAGCCAGGTCAGAATCACCGTGAACCACCACAGCTTCGTACCTTGAGGCAGCCTGGCTTCTCGCAAAGGCCAAGCAATCCAGCGGAACCTCGTACACCTGGTAGCGTGTCTCCTGATACGCCGCCTAGCAGTGTGGCCAGACCATGAAGAGTTCGTCTATCACAGACAGTGAATGAGATCCTCGTGTGTTTTTGCGTTTAACAAGCGATACATAGCATCATGACGGCGTTCAAGATACCATTTGCTTTAACCAGAGAATCCACCTTTATGTAGCGTAGTTTAGCATAGCGAGCGAGCGAGCACTCATGATCAAATCTTCCATGAACACGAGACAAAGTAAGAATGTTTCACATCATTTGCAATCCCTGTCAACATCTCCGCCCTTGACCCGAAAGAGTCGACTAAACAAACACACAACACGCCCATACGCCATGTACACCCAAAGTCGTATTCACATATTCATCATCCTACTTCACCATTTCCTATCCTCATCATTACTTATTCCCAATCTTCCTCTTCGTCACTCTCCTCAGCCACAACTTTCTTCTTTCCATCTCCTACACTTGGCGTCCTTGTTGTCGTTCCAGAGACTACATCATAACTGGCATCGCTATCGGCCACGCTCTTCTCATCGTTTGATCGACGGGGTTGTGCTGAAGCTGCAGGTGTTGTGGCAGGTTTGCTGGTTTCTTCGGTAGGTTTGAGAGTGTTGACAGAGGCGGTCAGGTCGGTTGGCTTGGGTGTGCTTGTTTTGGGTGCCGGGGTGGGTTTTGTGGTAGAGGGCTTTGTAACAGTAGCGTTATCGTCGTCAGAATCGTCATCAGAGTCTTCTTCCGAGGAAGATTCTTCTTCGTCATCCTCCTCCTCGTCATCATCTGATTCCTCTTCCTCTTCTTCCTCCTCGGAGTCTTCATCCCAGGCTACCTCTTCGTCGGCGGCGGGTGTAGATGCTGTAAAAAAAGAAGTTAGCGCTTGGTGCACCTCCAGCACACTGAAGTCAACATACCCTTGAGCATTTCCCTCCTCCTCTGCTCCTCACTCTCAATGACATGACGGAGGAAGTAGTATCTGCACCAAAAGACCTTGTATTCGACCTTCTCCGGAACACACTTCTCCATTGCACTCCTCAGCTCCTCATGCTTCTCGAGATCCTTGGCAATAGCCTCAGTCTTCTTGTCCACATCAAACGCTACCTTCCACTTCTCCCACTCCGGGCTCGCAGGATCCTTGAGGAAAGAGTCGAGCGTCGAGTGGATAACATGGAGCTGTGCGTCGAAGCGTGTCGCATGAACAACCTTCTTGCCGCTGCTATCCTTGGACTCGAAGAGTACGTCGCCGTTCTTGTCAGCCTCAGAGCCCGCTTCGGGAGGCGCGATGGTGACAGCGTCGCGGAGGAAGTTGCGGATATTGCTGCCGAATTTGAGGAGTGCCTCGTCGGCGGCGTCTTCTGCCTTTTCGACGTCTTTGAGCCTTTTAGCAGCTTCGGAGCGGAAGCGTGATAGTATGCCTTCTGCTTCCTTTACAATGTCTGCGGCAAGGGACTCAGGACGGTCGGGGTGGGCTTCCGTGTCTTCCTTTGCCTTCTCGGCAAAAGCGTCCTTGTCGGTGGATGCGGATTTGGAGGTTGAAGCGTCGCCGGGCTGGAGGGAAATCTTTCGCGCGTGACTGATGATGTTGGAAACACTAGCCTGAGCGTTCTTGGTCAATGGCGCATATTGCTTGCTCGCATTGTCGTAGTATTGCTCGCCCTGTGCCACATGTAATTAGCAGGTGAGCGCACAATTACACACCGCTGTCTTACCTGCTTCCTCACGTTACCCAGGAACCCTCCCAAGCGCGCAGCCCAAGGGCTGCTCGATATGGCTTTATAAGCATCTTGGAACTCGGCGTTGAAGTTGTTGGCTGTCTCCTGGTGGGTGTTATCTCCGCTGGCGGACGACTGCTTGGTGGGGTCCTGCGGGTAGCTCTCCTCCTGGATGTGGTCGTAGGCGGAATCCATAGCTACGATAGTCCAGAAGGGAAGCAAGATCCAGAGGGGTTGTGTGTTGGGTGAGAGTTAAGGATGTTGTAGTGGTCGTCAGATCAGTCGGTCAACCAAGGGTTCAGTCAAATGCGGGCGGGGCCATGCATGATGCTCCGCAACTCACGCTAGTGATTTGGCGACTACAAGCTCGAGCCCTGGAACACGCTCGCGTCACACGAAGACATGTCCATCCAGCCGACATGACGAAAACGTATTTGTTCGAGTGCGGAAGCTCCTCCTCTATCTCAGCGCGTAGAGCATGCTACACTACATCCAGCGCATTGATTATCCGGTGCTAACGTGCGCACTTTCTGCGTGTTGCTTGCTGTCTTGCGCGCCCATCCTAGATGCGCGCAGTAGCCACCTACATCACTACTAACATTCTCCCTTGCCTCAGCTGGCCTGGTATCGTTGCTCATAGTACACCTCTTCGACGCCTCATCTCTTCTTCTTGCCGACTACCTTGGTGAAGCCCTCATCGTCCACCTCTGGCTCTGGCTTCGGTTTCGCGGGCACAAGCGCAGGCGCTTCGCCCATTTCGACATCATCATCTTCGTCGCTCTCCTCATCCACACTGTCCCATTCCCCCTCTTGGTTCGTCTCCTTGACATTAACACTGCCAGTCGAGACTTCCTTTCCTTTGCGCTCTTGCCACTTCTTCTGCAGCGCATCCACCGTCGCCGTGTTGCCCTCGCCAATCTCCTTCCGTATCGTCATGATCTCGCGCGCAACGGCGACCTCGGTCTCGTCTTCTACCCGCACGCCGAATTCGTCCTCGAGGACTTGTAGAAGGACGACTTCAACATCCTCCGCATCTGTCAGAGGCTCGGCTGCGAAGAGTTCTGAAATTTGGCCAGCGAGCCAGTCGCGTTTGTCTGAGGAGTCGGGCCCGCCCCATTGGTTTTGGACAGCGACAGTCAGGTTTGCCCAGTTGAAGAGCGCGTGCCAAATTCCGAGGTCGAATTTGTCCTGGTGTGCCTCTAGAGACGGCGTCAGAAAATAACATACATTTTTGTGCGAGTACATACCTGCGATTGGGCCGAATGCTGAAGACATTTTGGAATGTGTTACTGAGCGGAATGGCTGAGCGTGGGTTTGCGTCACGAAACGTCGATAATTTTGCCCGTTATCGATAGGAAATTTAGGCCCCGCCATTTCATCACATTGACACGTGAGGACGCGCCCTCGCGTTGCGCCACATTGAATACACAGCAGAGTTGCATTAGCGGCGAGAATTGCTTTTCTTGGTTACATGCTGCAATTCCTCAGCGAAGGCCTGAGGGTTCTCCAAAGAACAGGCAGGCTAAGACTTCCTCACCAACCACTCCAACTCCTTCGCCTGTTCTGTTGTAACAAGCTGCTCAAATCTCTCCGTCGTCAAGAAATCATGATCCGAGAACTCAAATCCTGGTATCACTGTCTACAAAGTCACAATAACGTTAGCTCTCCCCTTCTTACTATCCCAGCCCAGTGACGAATACGTACCTCACTAATCAACAACCTTTCCCCCTCCGCTCCATCAAGTAGAAAGCTCGCTTTGTATTTCCCACCCTCGACAATCCACACGCTCTTCTCTCCATGCGCAACGTCTTGTCCAACGACGAAGGTCTCGATGCGTTTCTTAGTGCCGGGTTCATCGGCATGAATGAGGACGTAGCGGCCCCGACCTGAGATTAGGGTGTGTACCTATGCGACAAGATCAACACTCAATATTCAACATGAGTATCGCATACGAGTCTCCTCCACCGGCTTGGCATGTGCTAGCGGGTTCAAGGGGTTTGAACATAAAGGATATCATACCGTCCTGCCCTTGTTTCTATGGAAATGTCCCTGCGGATTCAATGCGCTCAACATGTAGTATATACTTGTACTCGCATTTCTGATGGCGTTGTCACCCGACATGGGTTTATCGGCCGTGTTCTTTACTTCTTCTCCTTCATCTCCGCCATTCTTCAATAAGAAGGGGTTAGGGATGGTAAGTGGGTTGCGATCGATTTCTGCATAGTAGCCACCTTCGACATGTTTTTGGAGGTTGAGCGCCGAGATGATGGCTTGGGTGTTGGCGGGCTCCGTGGTGTTCGGGTCTGGGGTGTACACTTGTGTCATATCTCCTAGTGAGGCCATTTTAGGCGGTCAGGGTCGCTGGTCGGCTGCTTTGGCCAAGATAGGATGGGACGTGTGTGGTTCTTGGTGTTGGTAAATGATGACGTCATTCCCGCTAGTCGCTGATAAGGCTCCAACATATTGGCAAATTGATGACACCCAGCGACCAATTTGATGATATTGTCGATCTCACATCGCTCGTTCTATCGGCCGTTTTGCTCTATATATGCATCTCCTAGTTGACTTGTCAATCTTATCACTCTTCGATCACTCCCGTGACGTCCCGTTTCCGCAACCTTCATCTCTCTCACCCCAGGGAAGCAAAGAAACAGACAAAAACAGAAACAACAAGCCCTACCTTACAGTATGCATTAGCTGTAATCAAGAAGATCTACAAAGATTGGTAGCATTATAAGCTTCTAGGTCCTTTATCTATATCTAAATAGCTCTAGATATGATTTGTTGTAGTAAGAAGAAGTACTTTACGCTGAACAAAAGTTTACCTTCTCTCTTCAACATGCTGTTCTTCCTGGACAGCTCCTCTCACATCTCCATTCTCTTTGTCTCTTTTACTTGCCTCCCCTTCTAATTTGTCTCGAGAGTGCGTCTCGTCGCTTTGTGGTGCAGCGTTAGCTATCGCTCCTTCAGCAGCAGCAGACGGCTCTCTTATACTTGCACCCTGGCTGCGGAAGAACTCGATCGCAAACTTCACATCTCCAACCGTCATAGCCTTATTACCGTTCTTTCCCGCAGATCTCGCATTCCACTTGTCCCGAATCTTCGCCCACGCCTCATCTCTTTGCAAAGATCCCGTGATTCGAGCCAACTTGTAAAGTTGCTCTAGGAGCTCACCTTTATACGAACCTCTGAAGTTCTCTAACCTCCCGCCACGCTTTGGTTTTCTATTTGGAGCTCTTTCAAACATGTCGTCAGGAATGAGGTCCTTGCAGTCATCCACATTCCAATAGTGTTGTATCCAGCGATTCCATTTCTGAAATCTAACGGCTTCTGTGTCATCGGGGAGAATCGATGGTGGAAGAGAATCTATTCCGTTGTCGTGCTCTGACGCGGTGATGCCACCTTGCTTATACTGTGGACTTTCTTTATTTGCTGTTGTGATGCCGACGCTGCTGGTGAAGTTGCCAGATTGGCTGACGAGGCTGTCGTTGTCTCTGGCAATCAATCCTGTATCTGCGCATATCAGTAGTCGTTCAATGTAAAAGCACTCAGCAAGAGGTCGAACTCACCATCCACGTTCTCATTCTTACCAACCAACTTTCCCTTTCCTTTTTCCCGTTCAATCGGCTCATCCCCACCATAGTGTTCTCGGACATACTCTAAATCGCTTAGCTATATCTGTGCTGGCAAACTGTTTGGCTTGTCCTTCATCCTCTTCTTCTGTCCTTCTTCCAGTAGATCGTAAACTTCATTCCACGCGTCATCGCCCGGCATATCACTAGCGAGGGCGCTTATGCCTCGTAGGACTGGTAGAGGCCAGGTACTGATGGAGCTATCGTACCGCGTGGATTTAGGGATGAGCCTGCTACATTCTGTCCTGGGATCCCACTTATCTTGGATATTGGAAAGAAGCTCTAATCGCTCTTCGTAGTCGGGATCGCTTTTTGGTGGAAGCATGGTATGGCTGACGATCGATGGCACCAGTAGAGAAAGTAGAGAAAGTACTCACTGTGTCTGTATATTCAAGCTTTTTCGTTGTTTGCTATTTGCTAGATCTTAAGCCATCGAGAAGGACATATCTTGCCACAGATGTCACGGGTAGTCACTCTAGAGCAACCTTCCTCACGTGGATCTAGACGTAAATTTCATGTATTTACTTGCCTGACCTCTTTAATCCTCTCACTCAGTGCTAATTCACCTTGCTTCGTCCCGACACTACCCTCCTATTCGTCCCTTCCCTCGTGATGTACATGTACACTCCTGTTCAACGGTTTACCTCTCTCCCTAGCACTGGAGACTAAAATCCCAAAGTAGAGCACTATCGACGTTTATCGGAAGTTCCAAATTCAGCATGTCACACTCATTGAGCTTGCCACCCGGCTGACAACCGCCCATCAGGTCATCAACCGGCCATTGTGGAAAAGGACCCATCGAACTGAACGATTGTTGACATCCAGCAGTCGCTGCATCGGTCCCTGGGCTGGGATTTGTGTCATAATGCGATGACACTGTCGGAACACTATCACTCCCTTCATCCTCGGGGACTGTCCGTGTACTCATATCGCGTATTGCTTCATCCAACATATCCGATAGATAACGTGCGGCTAGGAATGCCATATCGGATTTACGACCGAGATACCAGAGACCCTCGATACAATCGCTGCATCTCCGTCTCGCCTGGGATCGCTCCTCCTCACTTGGATCCGAAGCTGCTATCTGGACCAGAATGTAGCCGGCTCTGCATAATGAGCGCACGAAAACTACTGTCCACGGCTCTGTTAATAGCGCAGCTTGGCTCAAAGCGAAATGGAAATCTTTTGACGCCTTTGTGTCATTGACGCTGTGTATGCTTGCTAGACTTAGGTCGGCGACTGCTAGAGCATTCTGTCGGCGCAACGTAGCGACAAGATTCGAAGCTTGCCGGCAAATTCTTTCGTTAGAAGAAGAGAGATTGGTCGAATCGATCGTTGCGAGAAGATCGGAAAGCAAAAAGGTTCCAAGATGCCAGTGTCCTGCCAAGAGAATGTACCAGGACTGCACACGTGTAGGGAGAGTGGCGTGATGCTTTACGCAGTCGGAGAAGAAAGGAGCATAGTTACGATGCCAGTGGTTGTATACTTGGAATGCGGCGTTTATCCCTGACTGTATGCATGGCATAGTCAGTCGAATGATCATAGTCGGAAGACATGAAAGCATTGGCTTACCTCAATCCTGTCGGATAAAGCTTTACGCGAGACTAGGGCTTGGAGATGTGCCACACGCCGGAACAAGAGCACTTTCACTGGTGCGGCAGAGCTGAGTGTCGATGCGGCAAGTCTGTAGCTACATGGCCACCTCGCTGCTCCAGGGTTCACTTCCAAGTTCCCGTAGCGTGTGAACAGATCACCCCAAACCTCGTTGCTTTCAGCAGAGGGTTGTGATGTTTGGGTGTTAGTAAAGGTATTAGTCGCATTCTTTGGCATTGTGAATCGATCATTGTAGATGCTAGGAGGGCTGGCCCACACAAGGGGTTCTCCGTACTCGTGGTTGTTTGATCGTGGTAACTCGCTGTCCTCATCGTCGACTACCACCGGGCGTTGGGAGATTGCTGCAGATAGAGTATCGAACATAACCCCTAACCAATACAATAAGTTGAACGTATCTCGGTCTTCCTGACGTAGCGGGTCTGTTTCTCCATTTCCTTGGCTTGCCATCTGCTGTTCTATCCGTTCCAGTTTCCTTCGTTGAGCGAGGAGCTGTCGCACAGCTATCTCAAGGAAAATCGGAGCGTCATCATCCTGCACCAAAGCTTGAAACTCCTCGTAATGCGTCCCCAGCTTGGAGTTGGTACGCAGAGATGGGCGTGTGGTGTCCAGAGGCCGCTGAGTCAACGAGAAGATGATCAAGGCAAAGACCACGCGAAAAGAGTCGATGCTAGCAGCCCGATGAAGCAGTTCAGACGTTTGATGCCAGAGAGTCTCTTGCATAGAACGCTCAAACTCATTTGATTGAGGGAATCCATCCGCCGTGAAACGGGATTCTGCCGGACAACCTTTGGTCCCTCTCTCACCTGCTTGAGCCCATTGTGAAGCGAAAGACATGATGGTCATATTCAGTGCTTTAGAGACAATGCGCTCCTCATCAGGTGTTAGTTTCCGAATAAGAAGGGTTGCATAGGCTCGGTCAAGCTGAATGACTCGATTGTACATCCTGTTAGACCAGGATCCACCCCATTCCCGTGAGGCTTTACTTGCAGACAGGATGGAAGGCTTGTAGCGTGTCATAGTATACGGACAGTTGTGTTCTGTAAGCCAACACGAGAGGGAGTTTTCCATGCTGTCGTTGTAGATGCGCAAGAATCCATTGGTTACGAAACCTCGTGATGTCCTCTCCCCCAATAATATGTCCATGAATGGAGAATTGGCGCCATTTTTTCGGTTACGACCATAAGAACGTACGTCTAATGAGTCTCGTCGGGCGCGGGAAGAGACGAAGAATTCTTGTTCAGCACTCTTTTCCGACTGTGCCGCACTTGGGTTATCAATAGATATCGGTTCGCTCGAGCCATTGTCCACGTTGTCGTTCTGCGTGATATCGAAGCGATCTTCTTGTTCGTCGTCTTGATCCAGAGACGACAGCGATTGTGTCCCTCGATTTGGTACCTCGTAGTAAAGTCCGTTTATGGTAGAGTCGAACGGGGCTCGAAAATGGTGGCTGAGAGAGCGAGTGGATGCTGAATCTTCGGCACGATCGTAACCACTCTGTAACGATGAACGTCTCCGTTTCCTATCTCGCTCTTGATGGCCCTCCGAAGCTGTCTTCAACCAGTTAAACGTGCAGGCTTGGTTCTTCCGGAGGCAGTTCGAGCACGTTTGATTTGTAAAATCGGCGCGCTTGTCTGCATCGCAAGCTCTCTTTCCGCGCCTACACGAGTCGCAACTACGCCATTGCTGACGACGAGGAGGTAAGGGCTGTTGTGTGGGCTGAGAGTTCGCGGACGATAATTTAGGTGGTGTTGTTGAGTTGTCGGACCTTTCTGCATGAGATTTGCTGGGTACTTCGGTCATAGTACTGCTTTCGAAAGTCTTCAACATTTTTGCTTGTAACGTCGGTGATGGCGATGGATGAGACAGGTTAGGGAAGGATAATGATTGATCTTAACAAGAGACTACACTGCATACAAGGTAGCCGGCATACGACGTTGCTAAGCGCGGACGCATACAGGTTATTGCAGCGACCCCGCTTTTTCACATTCACCCTCGCCCATGCGGGGGATCAGCTGCGAGGATGAGAAGCCTCGAAACTCTGGGATACGTCATGGTTGAGCTTTGGTCTGACCAAATGGTGGAAAGGAATTTTTAGTTCCGCTATATGCCGATAGGTGCATTTAAGTGTGGAATGTGGTGATCACGATCGAGAGGCCTCTTTGCCGAAGAGCTGAAAAAGAGTGTCAGAGGATCGGACCGCTCAGGACGTTGGGCCGTTGACAAAACATCACTTTGATTGATATCGGTGCTCAGCCATTCTACTTTAGGACTAGCGCACCTTCGGCTTCTTTCTACCGATCGATCCTTAGTATCAACCGCACAACTCCGATCCCGCGTCACGAGACTCATCCCACGTCACAGTTGCTGTCACAGACATATATAACGTCCGTATTAGTCTCCAGTTTACAAAGCCTGGTAGACCGCCGACTCGATCTTACCCCATAGATTCAATACTTGTCCGTCTGCAAAAGGCAATAGCTGCGTGGCGACGATGCCAGCAACCCCCTTCTCTCGATCGCACCACCACCAAAGATTAGGTAGGCCTGCCCAAAATGCAGTGCTTGCAGATCTTCCGGTTGCGCCTGCACCGCTCAACATAAATGTCAATCCCCAACCCTGCGGGCCATTGCCAGGTACGGGATATATCTCCGGTATAGCGTTTGTCAGATCCGGCTTCGCAGCCGGGATGCTTTGACGTGCGAAGTCTGGAAATTGGGTGATCTGATTCTGGAACATGATTTCCACGGTTGACGGGGAGAGAATCTGTGCGCAGGTCGTGGGCGACGTTCCGTCATTTAGGAGCATTGCCAGAATTTCTAATGCATGTCAAACGCTGATCATTGATCACACGAAGGGTGGAAGAGCTGTGCTTACGGGCATATTCTCGGGGCTTTGCAAAGCACCCGGCTCCCCCGCTGTAGAAGAAGCTAGGTGAATGGCTCTCGTCTGGTAACAGAGGACGTCTCAGCAGGTGGTCCTACCGCGGATAAACAGGTCAGTATATACCCTGTGACTGAATGCCAATCGCAGTGCTTACCCTCCTTGAGAGCTTTCCGTTTCCATCTCGGCTGTTCATATATGCCAAATTTCTCAACATCTCGGCGTGCGGCTTCATGGAAACATTCTTTAGTCCGAGCGGGGCGTAAATCTTTTCCTGACAGTATTCTTCAAGCGTACGGCCTGTTGCTCTTTCCAATACTTTTCCTGCCCTGAGAACACCGCATCAGTACTTTTCTTATACAGATTTCGTCCATTTTACATACCAGTCGATGCCGAGCCCATATTCCCAACCCTCGCCGGGTTGATGCACGAGCGGCTGCTTGATGTCGAACTCTAACCCGGAGAATTCGTCCCAACCCGCGGGTCGACTGAAGTCTCTTAGCTTCTCATTGAAGAAGGTGTATCCAAATCCTGCAGTGTGAGACAGCAGCATGCGGAGTGTGATGCCTCGCTTCTTCGGCACGAGAGTTCCATCGGCCTTCAAGACCTGAACCGCTTTCAGTTCTGGACAAAGCGATTCCACCTGCGCCGAGTCATCCAAGCTTAATACACTCCTCTCAACAAGCTGCATCACAGCAACGCCCACTATCATCTTCGTACACGATGCGATCCAAAACACACTATCGAGGGTCATAGGCTCATGGCTGCCTGCTCCACGTCTTCCGGCTGCATGGGAGAAGAGTTCCTTGCCATCCTTACCGACAACCACAA